CTAACGCATTACCCTCTGAAACACCCTGTATACCATGACCCAAAATTCTCTTGGTAACCCTTGTATTCCAAATTGAATAAACTTTCAATCAGATGTAACAATTTATTGAATAATTACTCGCTTACAGTAAGTTTATTATATTATTTAAGTATTTATATTACAATCCTATATATTGTGATGTAGTTGAAACAGGAATAATGATATTCTGAAAGCTCTCATGAAGTGAATATAGTTTTTTTGAAGTTCTCCCCTTACTAGATTGCATCCCTGAAGAAATTAAAAACTTTCGGGATCAAAGAGACACTGATCTCTGAAAGTTCCAGCATTTTTTACATTTATAAAAAACTGGATAAGCCTAAAACTTGATTACTCCAAACATGTTGTATTGACGGAGATAATTATCGTTGAAAATATTATTGTATAATAACAAAAAAACCTATCATTATTATGGTTTCCAGCTATAAAATAAATCCTCACAAATTACTAGTTTGGATTTTCACTCTATATTTATTCTATTATTGAAATAACACCAATGCCATTCATAATTGCGATTTTTATTATATATTCATTCTTGAAATATTGAACCCATTTTGAACAATGCTTTATCTATATATTTTCAATTATCACTGCATATCATAAAACAAAATCCCCCGCACTTTCTGTCTGTATGAATTCCATGAACTCAAAAACTACCGAACGAATTTTCATACCGAAGAACGGAGTGACTCAAGATAAATGTTTATGAATATAGTTTATTGCTTAAAACGATTTGAATATGAGAAATTGATGATTTCACAGCTTGACAAATCTAAAAAGAGACTTGAGAATTCTCTCTTCGTTTCTCTCTTCTTCAAACGAACGCACATATAGTGGGCGGAACCATAACGGAATTCAGAAAGCTCTTCCTGCATTTGGCAAGCTGTACCTAGCGGTGGTGCTCCCCGTTTGAATTCGGGGCGGCAGTGCTACCCGTGCGAAGCTGGGGAGTTTCCCTCGAAAACGCTTCCTAATCCCTTTGAGATATAACAAAACAATTTTTCAGATTTTTCATCTTTCATGGGTCTACAGAAAAGTCCGCGATGGCATATGTCTATCTTTTGAGGATACCCTACTAGAGGTACCTATTTTGAGGTTTAAAAATGGTCACATATAATGTGGTATTCGGAAAGTTATTTAGACGGATACGTTACTATTCTATATTGAATTAGAGTTAACCACTTAATATTTTCAAGTACATTTTTGTATCGCCTTCAGGTATATGGGCATATACTTACGTATTTTACAATTGAAATTGATAGATGTAAACATACTTTTGTTTGAGTGAATTTAGTCTCAATCATTGGACATCCAAACAAGACAGTGTTTCAAAACGCATTGATACTGTACTCAAGATTGACATTTCAAAAATAATCATATTGAACTGCAAAAACCGGTAACGTCAATATCGTATATAATACATCTCAGAAGGCATTTCATATAAATTAAGAGTTAAAATTTCATAGGAGTGTATTTCCACAGGAGTAATTAAATTATTTATAAATTTGAGAACTACACAAAAATCATAATCATCATTATTATTATTATGCGAAGCGTTGTATCGAAAACCAATGTTCTGAAGTTAATTTGTAGAACCTCATTTTGAGGAAGCACCTCCAATATTCTGTCAAGTCTGTGCTTTCGCGGTAAGATAATAGGGTCAGGAAAATTTCTCTCAAAAATGCATATGACTATGAAACGTTTGTACTCGCAGGAAATTAAAAAAAGTTGAGTGAATTAGTTTAGATGATTGCAAAAATATATCGATAACCCTGGAAAATATTCTCATAAACGCTGAAATCATGGTCATCATGATAAATATTTCCTTTTGTTCATAACGTCAAATTATTATTATTATTCAAAAGTCCAACATGAGGGAATAACACGTCCATTCGCACATTTCACAATCAACTGAAAAGTTTTTCGAAAAACAAGAATAACTCACTGTCTGAATATGGGATGCTATCATCATTAATTTGACGTAGATATATCAACGCTTCCTAATCAAGTCTCCTTGAAAACCAATTCCATAATTTCTGTTTGTTGTTTCAGTGCACGTGGTTTCTGTGGTGAAGTATTAACTCGTATTATTAATTAATCCTCCTTCCAGAACAGATCTTAATTGAAGGTTGTTCAAGGTTTGATTTTGTTATGATTGAGAATGGTTAAATAGAATGAAAAAAATATCAGAAATAGCTTGAGGTTTTTATACCCTCTTAGCCACCAATTCGCTCAAAATTTAGGTTTGTCTTACCTAATTTGTGTTTGAATGTATGTGTTCAAAAATAAATCAACTTTTACAACAAATCTGAAACTTCATCAACATGATACTAGTACCAAGAACCATTTTCATTTACCCTTAGCTAGATTTAAAGTAACATTATATGGACCGGAATACATTAGTCCAAAGATATATAACCACCTTGCAGATCATTTAAAGGCCCTGAATAGTTTTTCTGTGTTCAAAAAGTCATTGATGAATTATTTATAAGAAAAAATTTTTTATGCTTTGCAGGAATTCTTTGACGAACTCATATTCATCTTAGTTTGAGAGTATGAGCCTGTTTTTCCCTTTTCTTTCCTTTTTTGATTTGTATTTTGTATTGGCATTTCCTACACAATTATATTGGCTGATTGTGAATAAAGAATTATTATTATTAATTACACGAAAGAAAAAATACTTTCGAAAATACTAATTTCATATGAACATTAAATTATCAAAAAAAAAACTTTTTCCCTTTCAGTATGTACTCTAAACATTCGTTATGAAATTGAATCAGATATCATTCACAGGATTGCTACACAATATAGTACGAAAAAGGTAAAATTTCTCTTGCATAGAACACTATCATCCTAAATAAATTGAGTGCTTCACCTTGTAAAGTTATTCAGATTGGTGCTGAAGAGGCAATAAGGCAAGTGTCATATTCCGAAACATCGTATATCCGTCATTGATGAAGATTGATCTTCCTCTTGATGATGATCTTCCTCTTTGTAAGATTTCGTTTCTCTCTCTGATTTCCATCGAAAAAACAAATATTTCCGTGCCAGAAAAACCCCTACATTCCTCAAGAAACAAGACAACAAGATTATCTTTCTTGCCCCTATTTCAGTGAAAATTATGTATGTAGATGTAAATTATGCAAGTATTTCAGATACTGTTTACAAAAAAATAGTAAAAAATATTGAAACACATAGATTGGAAGACGAAGCTCAGTTAAATGACCCCCCAGATCTCCAGATTTAATAACACGGAATTTCTGTTTATGTGAAAATCTAAAAAATGTGCATGATACAACTCCTACGGTAGAAATGATCTCTTACTGAATAGCAAATTTCTCTAGAAGATTTACTATTGAAAAAAAAAGGACGAGATATTTTCTGGGAAAAATATCATAATGATAAAGAAGGAATAACTCCTTACTCATTTAATCGAATTGTAGACATATGCAGAGATATTTGAAACGTTCCGTATGAATTCAATGTGGCTTAGTAAAAAATTTAGTCAGACGAAATTTTATCAGCAGGATACTAACAAAATACTAAAAAACTAAATATATTTTCAAAAAATAAAATATAGTAATGGAGACAGGTTCAGAAAGAGCCAAATTTCAATTTACCCTCATGAATCACTACGAAAAATCATCGAATGTTACAATCAATCCGAAGGCGACGATATCAGATTTACATCGTCGAAGCGTTTAGATAAGTAAAAGTACCCTAAAAAAGTGTCATCTCTTTTTTTTTTCGATGGGCAAAAGCATCAAATACAAGTTATTGAACAACAGAATTTTTTTTTGATTGATTGTAACTTTGCACTTTCTACAACTGCAGAAAGTTCATCAATTTTTCCAGATTATGAAAGGTGAAAAGTTCCATAAAAAGTCAATGAAAATAATCATTCCTCCATAAAAAATAAAAAGTATAATTTTTAGAACATGCGGCTAAATAGACGTTCATCGTTTTATTTTTTCTCATCGGCCACATATACATTCATTAACGAATAAAAAACAACGATATGCGTCACAATAACAGGTCAAATGAATGAATAATAAATGGCAAAATAATCAGTTTACACGCCAGCCGAATAATATCAAGTGCCCATAATTGCAAAGAAATTACCGCCAGAACGAGTAAATAACTAAATGTCCAGTGTTGCCAAATCATTGTTGCTATTTTTTACGAAACTTATGTCAAAAATCCTATCAAAAGGCTCGAAATGAATTCATAGAGAAATGAAGGTCCACTTGAATCATAACCTCATAATAGAACCTTGTACCTGAAATTTCACAAAATGTAATTCAATTTGAAGGCTTTCACAGCCATTATATTATTCATTAGACATGGTTTCAGGTTTTTGGTGATAACGCAAAGGAATTTGATATAATTTGTCGCAATTGCAGGCAAAATATCAAGCCCAAAAACCTGAAAACCACAACTAACAAACTCAAAAATAGCAAATAATCTTGATAACTAGAATTGAAACCTTTGATGTGAAGTGAATCTGTTGAAAGCACTCTTCCCACACCAGAAAAAATACTCTTCCACAACGAATTTCGTTAAAGAACCGAGAGAGAGAGTATTTTTTTCAGGTGTTAAAAAAGTTTTGTTCGATAGAGCGAAGTATCTGTTGGCTCAAATTATATTTTCCATGAATTGGTAATTGGTACATAGACCACAGAAGAGCTGAAAGGGTAGTTTGGTCAATCTGAACCACCCGTTCCACCAAAAATTCAACAGTGAATCATAATAGGCACTCTGAGATGAACCTGATATGTGAGACAAAGTGACGAGAGGTTATGAAATACGCAGAAAATCTGCAAAAACTAGGGAGCCCAATATTCGCCCAGATTCAGCATATTTTGTGTCTTATTGACAACACTGTATATGACTTATGTTCTTTCAAGACAGAAAAAGCTTATCGGCGATTTTTGCTTGTATTCGATAGCTGTTGGGGTTTGGGAATTACCATAGGTACAAATATTAAGAAACGATTAAAGAGTAAAGTTGGGAATTCCGTGGACGTATATCATATATGAAGAAAGTGTACGCCTCTGGCTACGCAAAACCCGAGGCAACAGCCAACTCAAAGCCAGAGGTTGGCTGTATGCATGCTGTATTTATATCTCGAACGAGTTGAATTCAAGAACTGCAGAACTGAATTTATATTTGTTTATCCTATAAACGGCTGTATCGAAACTATAATTTAGTTGATTGTGCCAAAAATGGTTTCTAATAACTTCAATGTCCAAGAGGAAAAGACATGGCCGCAAGTTCTGGCAATTGTAACATGTAAGTATTTTTATTTTTTTTGTTTTTAGTTAATTACTACCAAAAAAATCAGTGATGTGACTACTAGGTTAAAGAGAGAGAGAGAGAAAAAAAAATCATTTCATTCCTGCAAAATTCATATACTAATAGAAACAGAAAATGATATTCATAGTTTTAATATCAGTAAGTAAATGAATTCAGTTCGAAGATAATGAAATTTTTCATAATATTGCGTTTTTCTTTTCAATCTATAAAATATAAAACATATTTTCATTTTGGAAAATAATTTGAGTGGGCAGTAACTTTTCTGAAAACATGAAAAAAAAATAATACCATAATAATATGAGAAAAATAATACCATGAATGAAAAATGCTACAAAGCTGAAACCAAATTTTCATTCACTACTTATAATACTTTTTCCAAAAATCTTCTTACGCAGATGAATTTGAATATTATTATTTGCGATAACCATGGTATACGAGCGTTTTATTCATTACTGATGAACAAAAACTATTACTTTGACCTGAAAGATAGAAATGGAACCACTGGCGTAAAATAAATCCAAACCAAGCACTGGTCCAGAAAACCAAAACAGCAACTTTCTTTTCGGCGTGCATTTTATTAAATCATCTAAAAGAACAATTTGTTCAGGCCAGTCTCAACTCCCTACACTGTAAGTTAATGGACTGACACCTATCAGAACACAACTACTCCCTTGGCTAATATCATGAAGGGCGTTGGATAATATCCAACATGTGTCCGTTATATATAATATATAATTCAACGCCCTTCGTGGTATTAGCCAAGGGAGTAGTTGTTTTCTCATAGGTGTCAGTCCATTAACCTACAGTGTAGGGAGTTGAGACTGGCCTGAACGAATTGTTCTTTCAGATGATTTGATTTATAACCAGTCTTCAAATATGTCCACTGACTATATGTGAGAAGTGCGTTTTATTAACCAAGTTGACGTCTTCAAGGCATTCGACCGTGTGTGGCATGAGGGTTTTCATGCCAAACAACGATGCTATGGCTTGTCAGATCAGTTTTGTGTATGGTTCTTCAGCTTAGCTTCTTGAAAGAGCGTTTCCTGCAAGTGACCGTTGAATACGTTTACCATCAACGCTGGAGTACCCTGGGATCCATATTGTCTCCAACCCTCTTTTCACTGTATATCAACGACTTATTGGAAAAAAACAAGAATCCAATATTTTGCTTTGCTGACAGCACACTTGTCTCGTCATTCTGTTTGGATTCCAGGACATCGGCAGCGGATGCACTTCTTCACCGGCAGCAGGAGGTTGCATGTGTTAATGAGGATCTAGAGGTGATTTCGAATTGGGGTGAAAGTTACCACTTTCTGCTTCGATAAGTTTGTTGGGGGTTAAAATGGACACCAGTATGTTTTGGCACAATCATGTCGCTGGAACTGCAAATATTGCTTCTAAAATGCTTGGAACACTGTTCCGAACCAGAAAACTATACATACCTCAGCAACTTTTGATGCTTTATAAAGATCAGATCTCTGGAGTATTGTTCTTATGTATGGAGCTCCGCCCCCAAACATACCCTGAAGCTGCTGGATTCCATCCAGAAGAGAGCCATTCGTCTGATTGGCGACACGAACATATTTTTCAACCTTGATAGTCTGGAACATCGAAGAAAAGTTGAAGTCCATTTCATCTCTTGAAGAAGTCAACCTGATTGGTGAAACTCTCTTCAACAGTTTTGTATTTTTGACGTTTGGAAGAAGTGCTTGTTCACGACTCATTAGATTGTGATTGGTTCAAAATGAAAGACTTCCATTCAGCTTACAATGGACGTCACATTATCAATATACACTTTCAACAATTCGATACAGAGCCCAAGTCATTAACGTGTTCATCAAATCTAATATCAGCTGACGTATTCAAACTAGTTTTATTTCAAGTTGGAACCTAAATATTTTTCAAATGGAGATTAGAAATTGTCAATTACGACTTTGGTTTTCAATGCAGGTTTTTCGTTATCAAAAAAATAGTCGAAAAGTTCAACCAAAACCATAAAATATGTTTTAGACATGCGATAAGATTCCATTCCAGAAATTCAATGTTCCTTTTCTTGTTTCAGCATGCTTTTTGGGAATCCCGTTCGGTATGCTCTTCTCCTGGAGTTCTCCTTTCATCGTGAAAATCACCGAAGATAAAGTAAACTACAACATAACAGAAAACGAAGCATCCGTATTCACCACCATACCACCCATCATGATGATTCTTCTGTGTCCAGTTTTTTCCAAGTTATGCGATATCATCGGGAGAAAACGAACTCTCATGTTGATAGCTGTTCCTCAAATCATAGCCTGGTTACTGACTATCGTCTCCAACAATGTGTGGGTTCTGTATTTATCCAGATTTTTCTCTGGAATCGGCGATGGGGGGATCATGGCGTCCCTTCCAATGTACGTGGGAGAAGTAGCCATTCCTAAGATCCGGGGAGCCTGGGGGAATATAATGAACGTATTTATTTACCTAGGAGTGTTTCTGATCAACGTAATTGGTTCTTACTGTGATGTGAAACAGACTGCTTACATTTGCATATCTCTACCGATTCTTTATCTTGCAATTATGAGCTTTATGCCAGAATCGCCCTATTATTATATAAAGAAAGGCGATCCCGCGAAAGCGAAAGAATCTTTGAGATGGCTGAGAGGTAAAACAGACGTCGACCAAATCTATGAAAAGCTTAAAATTGACATTGAAAAACAGATGTTGGAAACAGGCACTTGGAAAGATCTTGTATCTATAAGAAGCAATCGTAAAGCCCTACTGGCAGGCATATTCCTCAGAGTGTCTCAACAACTAGGAGGTGCAGCAGCGTTCAGTGTGTACACCAAATTCATTTTCAAAAAATCAGGATCGGATATATCTCCCGCGGTAGCAAGCATGATTTATACGGGTTTGTGTTTCGGATTACTCTTCGTATCAGGATTTGTTATAGAGAGATTCGGGCGGAAGAAGTCTTATATGGGCGCTTTGACGACTTGTGGCATTGTTCTGCTGTCACAAGCGATATATCTATTCATAGATCAACAAGTTCCCAGCATTGATCTCTCATCGATAAAATGGTTCCCGGTGGTCGGAATGATTCTTTACGTCATCTTCTGCTCCTTTGGGATATTCAACATACCCACCTTGATGTCTGGGGAACTCTTCTCAACTTCCATCAAAGCGAAGGGCTTGAGTGTATTGACTATTACATTTGGAGTGATGATTTTTGTGGCCAACAACATATTCTATTTGCTCAATACTTCGATTGGGCTATACTGCCCTTTCCTATTTTTTGGGGTCTGCAATATTATTTCTACCTCCTTATCCATTTATATTATCCCAGAAACTAAAGGAAAAACTTTGGAAGAGATTCAGGAAGATTTGAAGTCTGAAAAGGTACCCAAAAAAGTTAAAAGTCAAAGTCCAGTATGATTTCTAAAATATGATATGGAAATAGGAAAGGATTCTAGGACAAATATACTGTGCCGAGAAAAGATCTTTAGAGTGATCGACCCAAGTATGAGAGAATTGCACCTATGATATTACCTGCTGATAACTGAAGCTGTAAATTTATTTTCAAGATATACGATTTTTTTCATTGGCAGTGATTTATTATTTTGCATCATTTTCGACTGATAACTTCAAGAATAAATTGTCAAGTAAATACTAGTCAAATATATCTGTGAATTGCATTTAAATTGTTTCATTTCCCCACCAATGAAGTTGCATTTTCACAGCTTAATGGGTAAATTTAGATATTTGGTGATAATTTGCTTAGATTTTCTCATTTTCTCATTTCTCATAATTACAGAGTGTCATCTTGAAAAGGTGAACCTTGTATATGCTATATTTCTATTGTGAAAGAGCTTTATTCTGGTAACCAATTTTTGAGATGAAATAAACTGAGGATGTACCATGACAAAAATAATTGGAACTTCAAAATTCGACACCCTGTACAATTGATGCAAGTTAAAATCGAATTCGTGAGTGGAGAATGAATTATATCATGTGTATATGGCTTGAATTTATCAAATAACAAAATACTAAATAATTCACTGAATGATTCATGGGGAATGATTTTGATAATGTGAAAAATAATACAAATGCTTGATACTATATACAGGGTGTAACTGAATAAGTATAAAACATTAAAGGAAGTGATTCCTCATCGAAAAAAAGATAGGATATTTCATATGAAGAAACTTCATTGGAGCATCCCTTGTTAAGATACAGCCCCTTGAAGGGGGTACATAAAATTTGTATAACCATTTTTTTCACAACCACTGAAAAAGTTACAATATTGAAATTAACCTGACGTTTTGTACTACCAAAAAGACACTTAGCCAGTAATTTATTTACTTTACCCCATGGTTGTGAGGGGTGGAAAACGCAACCCCTAAAATTTATTTCCAATATAACTTTTTGTTTTAATGAATGTTTACCATTTAAAAATGTATTTCCCATAGCCTGTTTCATTCTAAACAAAAAATGTCTCTTGGGTTTTGTGCCCAAAATAAACCAGTTCGCAGCAAAAATTATTTTAGGAACAACTATGGTTTGTCGGATCATATTTGTGTATGGCTCTCCAACTTCCTGAAAGGACGTCCCCTGCAAATAGCCGTCGATGGATATCTCCCCAGGAATCCAACCCTATTTTTATTTTATATCAATGACTTATTGGAAAAAATCAAGAATCCAATATATTGCTTTGCTGATGACAGCACACTTGTCATGTCATTCCATTCCACATCTTCACCGGAGGCAGGAGGTTACATATCATAATGAGGATCTAGAGGTGATTTCGAATTGGGCATCGGTCTTCCCCAGAAAAATAAATGTTTCCGAACCGGATATAATAATGTCGGGACAGACAATTGCGCTTTCTGCTTCGATGAGTTTGTTGGGGGTTAAAATGGACAACAATATGTCTTGGCACAATCATGTCGCTGGAATTGCAAAGGCAGCTTGTCAGAATCTTGGAACACTGTTTCGAACCAAAAAACTGTACACATCTTAGCAACTTTTGATGCATTATAGAGCCCAGATCAGACCTTCTTTGGAGTATTGTTCTCATGTATGGAGCTCCGCCTCTAAGCATACCGTGAAGCTGCTGGTTTCCATTAAGAGAAGAGCCATCTGCCTGATTGGAGATTCGAACATCACTTGCAACCTTGATAATCTGGAACATCGAAGAAAGGTTGAAGATTTTTCTCTCTTTTATAGATATTTTCACAGGAGGTATTCAAGTGACTTGGCTCATTTGATTCCATCAAGAGCGGTACATATCAGAAATACGCGACGGAATGTGTGTGTCGATTTGAGGTTCAACTCAGTACACCTCAAACTTCACTGCTTAAGAACTCTTTTGCACAGGCACCGCTCTTAGAGCGCCTTAAGGATTTTCCTGTAGTGCTTGTGCCTGTAGAAATAATTTGAAAAGTACCCAACTTTTCTTCACTTCCTTGAAAATTTGTGGATTTGTCTCAATTAAAACGTTGAAACACTTCAAATATTTGAGTATCTGTTGATCCAAACCCTTTTTCATGATTCTCGACCTCTACCGAGAATAGAAAAACTGATTAAGTTGTTGGGTCTGTTTTCCCGATCTGAAATTTTCTTCCTTCATCAACCCCTGTTATTATAAAATCACAAAATGTAGAACAGTACATTCAACAGATTCACTTTTCGTCGTCTATGTCTGAATTTGGTATAAACAAAAACTATTCAAACGTAACAATCATATCTATAGGTTTCCATATATTTTTTTCGCATTAACTTTCCACTCACGAAAAACCAGCTTTATAAATTCGTTTTATATTTGCCCTGTGTGAGACATATTAAATTCCTGACCTCTCTCGGAATTTAATTGAAAAGTTCAAGAAATGGTTGATAGCAATGTGTTTATTACTATCATTTATGCAAATAAAATAAGATGAAACCAAAACAACGTAAAACACTCATTCGTTTCTGTGTCGTGTGTAGATATGAGTGAAGTATTATCGGAAAAGGTCTCTTGTTATTTTGTGATGTATCAGCAAACGTTATCAGATTTTCTGTTTGTTTCAGGACGGTACAAAGAGACGAATCAATTCAATAACGTCTTTAGAACACGAAGCAGTAACAGAAATGGGGCTGAAAGAAGGCGTGGAACAAGAAAAAGTCTGGGTGCAAGTTTTAGCGGATACAGTTGGTGAGTTGGCAGTAAATAACTTCATTTAGTTTTTCTAATACCACGAATAATAATAAACGAAGGACCAAACATTAAAAAAATGTTTGGTTCTTCGTTTTCTACTCGGTATGAGTAAAAATCGAAACGTATAGTTTTTTATAAACCATATTGAAAACGATATTATGACTGACTCATTGCTTTTGCTTCAGTTATCTCACAGAAAAAAAATTACAAAAAACAACAATAATGAAACAAAATTACCTTGTGATAATCAACAACCTATTTTCCAAACCTCTCACATTATTCAAGTGGTGTGGTCGAATTTCTCTCACAATTCTCTGTCGCAGCTCATAGGGATATCAGTAGTGTAAAGTAGTCGAAACTCAGGTATTCTAAAATGAAATGCAATGGTAACAGCTCAGGTGATATAACTGGCAACTTTGCCGAACTACCGTTTGGGAATGCGTACACTCAAAAAGTAATGTGGGAACTCTGATCATAATATATTATGCCTCAATCAACTCTATCTTTTCGACCCCAAATGGGATGAATCCTGCAGAACAGCTTTTATAAATATTGATACATTAACAGTTCTAGCTCATTACATCACTTCTAAAGATGTAACCGCTTCAATTCAAATAAATACAGCATTGTAACGACTCCACAACGGTATAGTTATCATACAAGAAAATATGGATTATTCGTGTTAGGAATCTCACCTTGATAGATAAGACCTCGTTAGTCCTCAACTCGCACAAGTTTCGACTTCTGAGGATTGTCGTTCGTAGGGGCGCGACAGCTGGTTAACGGAAAAACAGAATTTAAACAGATTTTTCAAACAGAAGACTGAAACAATATCAAACTAGTTAATATGGAAAAAACCCCTCACATGGTGGATCAGTCGTTTACTTTCTTATATAAAAAACAAAGAGAATTTCAACAAATTCAAGAAAGAACTAAAATATTTAAAAAATAGTGATACTTTTCGCAAGCTATTTGCAATATGTGCGACTCGATATTTTCCAAAACGTCTTTATATGTATCCCTCCTCACACATTCTTATGTTTTAAATATTTAAAGCATTCAAAATATCTTAGATAATTAGCTATGATCAGATGAATAAAACTCAGTATGTCGTTGAATTCAGATTATTGATGGACATTTCCTTCAAATAACTCAATGAAACATTCTATTTGATACAGAATCCAAAATTAAGATAGAAAAACCTCGCCTAGAATCCTCGAAACTTACAAATAAATTTCCTAATGGCAATTCATGATAGACAAACACTCTGATTCCTATTAAATTGCACAATTTAATCAACGCTTGACAAGATAGCGGATAAAACAAGACCATGATTTTCTAGCCCGTATACATGGTGTCCCAAGAAACAACACGAACCAAACTGAGAAACATGTACCCAAAAATGCGTTTCTATGAATGATATCTGATTCAGCTCCATTATGAATGTTTGGATTGTAAACTGAATGGAAAAAAATTCAATGTTCATATAGAAGTTGTTAATTTGAAAGTGATTTATCTTTCGGGGAATCCGAAGTTCATGTCAAAGTAGTTGTTTCAGGAGGTCGTTTCCTTTTAGTTTGTATCCGAGACTACCTTTTATGCACGATCTACAAATCTTTGTGGAAAGTTTATTTTGAGCTTAATTGCTTTCTTCTTTCCTTCGGAAGATACCCACATTTTTTGTATGGAGATGGAGAAATAGAACCCAAAAACCTGATCTTTCCCTAAAAATATGCCCCATTCGATAAAAAAAATCCATACTATCTGAAATATTTTCATTATTAATTTTATTGGTTACAATGGTCATGTTTATGGTTGTCTTCGATTTCTACTAAGTGAAAGCACCCTGAACGGAGAATTTATTATCAAGACCCTCAGCTGCATCTTCAAATATAATATACAAAAAATCAAGTCACACATTGCCAACAGTGAAAACTAGCGATGTGATACTTTTTCTATTATTTCGTCTACATGTTTGAAGTGAATTTTCTGCTGTAAAAGACATTTTTCCTTTTTATATTTCAATATCTAAGCAAAGGCATCGAGGTTTTGCAATATGTATGATCCTTCTTTGACAAATGGAGGTTCCCGTCAGACCAATAAAAATGCTGGTACTGAAACGTAATTTCACCTCAAAAAAACTGTGAAATACAAATAATGTTCGTTTATGATTGAACCATGAAGCGCCTATCAGCCATTTTACTAGAATTTTACTTTGATAATTTTTTTACTTCACCAATTTCTACCAGTGAAAAGCAAAAACTGAGATTTTCATACTTTTTTTGTTTTCACTTCATTCATTTTCTACAGGAGAACAGATCGGATTTTTCGAAAGCTGAAAATCATAAAAAGACCCAATGTTGAGAAAACCAGGTATGTGTTGGAGAAAGTATGAAAAAAGATAGCATCGCCTTCCATTATTAGAGTTCCATGTAATGATTCACAGTTACTCTAGTTATAAACTATAAATAACGATATCTTTTCATCTCATTCATATATTTTCCATTGTCTTTCGAAAACTAACTAATTGATGATTTATCAATAACATCCAACAATAGAAAAATTATAGTATCAAAAACACGTGTAAATCATACCTGAGCCTGTGAAGTTTATTGTACTTTACCCACACATGTTTCAGATATCCAGCCTGTTATTTTCAAAGACCAAAAATTATATATCGAAAATACTTGTTGGCAAATTTTCGAAAACAAATATTTGATACCAAAGAGAACTTCTTTCTCACTGCTATAATGGAAAAGAAAAAAAGGAAAAAAATACTGCTGTTTTTATAATTATAACATCATCGACTCTTTTTAGTTGTAACCTCCACCATATTCATCGGAATCGAAAAGATATTCCTGTATCGAAATGTGAAGGTTCACAATGAAATAATTGATTTAATTTAATATTTACAAACAAAAGTTAGTTAAAACGAACGTGTTTCAGTAAAATGAAAAAGAATATGTACCGCATTTCATTTGTGAATCAAATTTTTGTATTTTTTTCGACAGTTTGATGAGAAAGTTTAACTTATATCGATGAAGTGAATTCGCCGAATTGTGTATGCAACAACGACCACGAATTTTTTTTAAATATTATATATTTGAATTCATTGATTGTATGCAGGAAGAGCCATTGACGTGTGACAGATATTTAATTTTGTTTGAGAAGCGATTAGAAGAAAAAGCACATATCAAAAACGATGTTTTTCTCTTCTAACATGAAGAATTTGTCTCAGCCCATGATCTCTATCTAAATCTGCAGAGTAGGGAGAGTGAGTGTAGACCCACAGCACTCAGGCCACATGTGACCCATTGTACATCCTCCCGAGGAGTTGTCCTCCTGGGTCATCGTCCATCCTGTCCTTTCCAGGAAGGTGGATAGGTCCACTGGGAGACATCTCCTTTAGGTGTAGGCCAAGACTCGCCGAGCATACACTCTCTTATTGACGATAACTCCGGACACTCGCAGACATGCCTGACAGTTTCATCTTCCTATTCACACATCCTGCATAGAGGTGTGTCCACTAGCCCCATATTATGGAGGTGTTTTCTTAGTCGCTTCCTTGGCTGAAGAGTCGACAATGCGATTACCTTCACTCGTGTCGTGCCCTTCAACCCACCTCAGGATAATATTATTATCTACCGAGGCTTTGGCTAAATCTTGGTGGCACATTAGTACTAGCCCTGAGGTAACACATTGTCTTTTCTACTATCAGTGCAGATTGTTATGTTTTTGCCAGAAATTCCTTTCCTGGTTATTTTTTTTTGTGGCAATGATAATCAAAGGAGAAACAAGTGATCTCAAGATCTAACGCCTCTCGACTTTTTTCAAAATATTTGAGAAGTATATTTATTAACCTTCCGGCAATTAGCAGGCTGTCAATGATGAACAATCATGAGATATATTATTATGCCGGGCGTATATTTCTATAGTTGATATTGCCAATGCATTTGGATTAAATTATAACATTATTAATTTGAAACTGCCACAAAACTCACTCATCACTTACTCTGCAAAACAGACAAATTCTTTAAATGAGTCGAGATTTGATATCTCAATTGATACGATAGCAAAAACGAAAATGTTTGACACGCCAATTTTTTAAGATTCACCATTTAGTCATATATATTTTGTTCGTGTGAAATTTAGCCTATGTCACCTGGGCTATAAAAACACGCACATTATTTATCAACACGTCATCGATCATCAAAATTTATTAATCAGTTATGTATATAGACTTCTAAAATTACAACCAAAAACGTCCAGTTTCATCACGATAATGCACCTGCTCACTCGTAGTTGCTTGTTTTTATTTTTTGGCCAAAAACATTACAGGTGTCATGCCTCAGTCACTGTTTTCACTAGATTTGGCACCATGCGACTTTTTCCTGTTCCCACAATTGAAGAGACCCATGAAAAGATGACTTTTTTCGACAATTGAGGGGATAGAAACCGAATCGATGAGCTCAATGGCATACCAAATAGTTCATATCAGAACTGTTTCGAGAATTGTAAAAAACGCTAGCACAAGTGTATTATATCTGAGGAAAACTACTATGAAGGGGACGAAATAGAAATTGATGAATAAATAAAAATTTTTAGATAAAAATTAAAGTTTACCTTGTTTTTTGAACAGACCTTGTATAATTAAAAAATAACTTCGTTATTGTATTCGAAACAAAAGTGAAACGTATATTAAACAATGAAAACTCGTTCGGTTGATGACTTATTTATTTTGTAGAAATTCATGTTGAATATAGAATAAAGAAAATACTTTAGTCTAGTTTCTACTGTTGATTTATTCGTTACGACCGCCATTTTCAAGTAACTTCAAGTTACTTGAAAATGGCCTTATAAGCCAAAACCGGTCATAACGAATAAATAAACACAGTAGAAACTAGGCAAAAGTATTTTTTTTATTCTATATTAAACAATGAAAAGATATTCTGCTCAAGTTCCTCTATTGATTCAGTATTTTTATTCCAGCCTGCCTATCTGCAGTATCTGTGGGACTGTTGTTCTCGTGGACTTCTCCCTTCATAGTGAAGATAACCGGTGACAAAATCAACTACGACATCACCGATGATGAAGCTCTCTACCTCACAGTCATTCCCCCCATAGCGATGGTCCTCTGCTGCCCAATTTTCTCCAAGCTGTGCGACATCATCGGCAGAAAACGTACCCTGATGCTGATTACCATCCCCCATCTGATGAGCTGGATCCTCACGATAGTTTCATCGAACATTTTCGTTCTGTACTTCTCAAGATTCTGGGCTGGTGCAGGTGACGGATGTCTCTTCGCGGCTCTTCCCATGTACGTTGGGGAGGTGTCCACGCCAAGGGTGCGAGGAATATGGGGAAATTTAGTAAACGTTTTCACGTATTTCGGGGTGTTCCTGATAAACGCCATAGGATCTCAGTTCAGCGTAGAAATGACTGCTTATATATGTATTCCCCTTCCTATAATCTTCTGTATTGCCATGAGTTACATGCCCGAATCTCCCTATTGGTTCATAATGAGAGGTGAGTTTTCCGTACTATTATTTATTGAAAAACTTGGAATTGTTCATCAATTCAAAAACAGGAGGAATAAAGTGAGCTTGGTTTCTCCTGATTGGTTCACCTGACCTCAGTTGTGTACCCAGGTACCCAGATATTATTATTGTTCTTTGCCTCTTCTTTTCTATTGAAATTATTTATCCCTGTGTTTTTGAATTTCTGTTGCCTTCTTTGTTGGGAGCCAGAATGTCAGAATGTCATCGTCATTTCATCCAGGTTTGGAGACCAGCCTCCCTACCCTGTTGGCTGATTGTTGGTCTTGAGAGGGACCAATGGGTTCATGACTGAATTGGTGACGGCATTAAGTCCTTAGACATCAGTGCCGCCCTTCACGGGATACCCCTACCTGGCTGGGGTGGGATGGATGAAAAAGTTATTCATCCGTTAACGGGGGACATGAGGGCCTCATTCGACAGAGTGTCGGGGCCTTCTATATCGGGAGGGGTCGTCTACAGCATAATCTGTGGCTTCCCTAACTAACGTCTTTGTTGGGAGCGTGTTTGGCTACAGCTGATTTGTCGGTTTCCCCGAGTCGACAATTTTTCTTGTGTTCAGAGAGACGTGTACCTAGACTTTTTTCGTGGTTCTACTGTAAACTGACTCACAGCTACGAGGAATTAGGTATACCCCGGGTCCTGAGCTGACTTAGACTTTGTCTGATGGTTTTGTTGGCCTAAATATTGGTTTCATGTCGTGTTTTTTAAGAAATAGTGTGGCTCTGAGAGAAAAACACGGCGTGCAAGCAATATTTAGGCCAACAAAAACTATCAGACGAAGTCTAAGGTCAGCTCAGGAACCCAGAGAACCTTTGCAATACCCGTGGTGAACCGGATTCCTTCTAGCTGCGAGTCGGTCTACATTGACACTAGGAAAAGAAGTATAGGTACCCGTCTCCCTAAAGACAAAAAAATTGTCGATTTAGACAAACCGACAAATTAGCTGTGAACGAACATGCATGCTCTCAACAAAGAAGGCACTCAGATTTTCTCACGCGAAGATACAATAATACTCGATAAAACTGAAAATAACTATCCAAGAGTACATAGAGAGGCCATAGAAATTCAAAAACAAATGGATGATTCCAATAGAAAAAAAATGGCAATGTACATTAATAATATCTGGCTACCTGTCCTCTAAGGCACACAAAGAAGATCATGTAATTCAACTATGAGAAATCAAGCTACGACCACTAATAATAATATCAGACCAGAGTCAAATACCAGTATGGCAGTTACAGCGTTTGGAACGAGAGCAACAACTCGAGCATCAACTCAAGCATTGCGACAGTTGCCACAACTTCTTTGCTAAAGTATATCGCAGTAGTAGACGAAACGTCAGAAAATTGTTGTATGTTGTCATTCAGTGTATATTCTGCTTAGGAGTCGTCTAGGTTTATTATAGTTTCAACCATTTTTTATGAGATCCATTGCAACAGTTTTGTACATGTCGAAGGATTTGTGGTAAAACTTGGGGTTTATGTTTCAAACAATTCCATTGGATTTATGTGATGATGTGCAATTGACTGGTGGCCAAAGACTTTACAGAAAAAGGCCCAGGCGAAGGTATCTGGCTTATAGAGACAGGCTTGTCTGGCCATCAGTGGTACCATCAGTACCACACCATCAGCGGCCATGGAGATCCTTCTAGATCTACCTCCTTTCCACATTCTTCTGGAGAGAGAGGCTAGATGGACTACATACAGACTTGTGCACGTTGCCAATTGCACAACAAATCAATTTAATGCAGAGTGCAACACACTATTGGTTGACACTGGAAGTCACAGCATTCTGGAAGTGACCTCTGACTTCATGCCTCCAACTGTCTTATAAAGTACTGTTCCCGAGTAGAGAGGACTGGATTCTCCGGAAGAATCAAATATTAAGAGCAGATAGTTGTTGGTTCACAGATGGATCAAACACACCTTCAGATTCAGGTACAGGTGTTTTCAGGCGCAGACCCAGGACAGAGATATCAACCTGCCAAAAAACCTATGCGACTGTATTTCAAGCGGAAATGTACACTACTGAATTGTGTACGGAGAGATTGGAAGAATCTAACCGAATACACAAGTCAATAAAAATATTCTCGGACAGTGAAGCGGCGTTGGAAACTCTTAACTTCTACCGAGCAACATCTAAATTGGTAGCAAATTGCTAAAAACGACTCTCCTCGATAGGAAGACTCAACACTCAACAATACAGTCAGTCAACTTATTGATGGATATAGATTGGACAGATCCATTGAGCGCTTTCAAAAAATTCGTTACACAGTAAATACGAATTTACCATTGAGCATGTATGGGATATTAGACTGTGAGCCATACAATTGTATCAATTCAAATTTATATTTATTTTTTTATTCATGTAATGACGCCTTGTAGGCCTGTTTAGGCCTGCACGTCTGGATTTCTGGCCATACTGGCCTGGAAGGCAATGGGGCTGCTGACTCCTTCACAAAGAAGGGTGCTGCAAACAGCTTCATCGGACCAGAACTTGTCATTGGCACCGCTTTAGGCTTTGTTAAATACAGATTGAACACCTGGATGGTATTGACTTCTGGCCGAATCTGCCAGGACTGGCTCACTCCAAGGCGATTATTCACCCTTCGAAGCTTGATACCAAACAGTTGTTGGACTATAGTAGGGATGAACTACGATGTCTAACAGGCCTGCTCACACTGTCACTGTCATTCAAATCATCATATGCAGAGACTCGGACTGTCGAAATACAGTGTGTGTCGCCTGTGTTTGGGAAATAATGGAGATGGGAGCAGAGCACAAACTTTGCGTCTGCTCTGCTGGGGACCGAATCAGGATTTTAGAGTTTGGCAGAGCCGAAATCTTACAATCTGACCTGAAAGACCTATCACCATACAAATTAATCGGCTTCGTTAAAAAGCTAGGTTTATTTGGTCGAGTGTGATTAGGTGTGAGCCACAATAAACCCTTGCGGGTTGTGGTGGTCGAATAGACCCACTCACTTTGGACCTGACCTAACCCTAACCCCCTGTACTGGTTTCTACAAGTTCGACTAGAGTCTGAAAGTATTTTCAGTTCTTCACAGCATTTCCAAATTGATTATCTCGATCTGTCGGCGACTGTGAGTCCAAAGTCAGAATTCTCGAATGAACTAGTTATTTGGATCTTAACCTGTCTTGTAGTCCCTCAGAACTGCATTCAAAGACATTGGGCAATAAGAAATGGCACTTTAGCTTCAAATGATCGATGTTTCCATTGCATTTTGATGAAAAGTGACAAAACCTTCAACCTAAAATCACAAAGAAACCTGAGGTGATAACACAATTCTGACTAGTGTGAAATCTATTAAAATCACTCTGTACACCTCTTCAGCATCACGAATAAATCAAAAGAATCCCAAAAATGGTGAGTTTCTAGATGATGAGTGCCTATTACGAAGCAGTAAGTGCACTTGTGTAAAAAATGTATTAAGTATCCAATTAGCAAGTTATTTACTGTCGGGTTAAGCTGTTTTTCGCTTCGTAACAAACTCGGAAATGATCTGTTTATTTGAATGTAGTTCCTCACACTTTGTCAAATATGTTTTTGTAAATTGGCTTTGCCGTTGAATAAATAAATGAATGTTCAAATATTCTCAAATAATGTTCCAAACCTTGTTCAGAATAATAAATATAGATGATAGTGGCATAGACCTTGCGTGTGGTCCATTGATCAAACAGGTTCTATTAATATAATTTTATCTAAGATCAATATTTCATTTTCATCAAAATAGCACCATTTTCGGATTATTCGTCACCAGAGTTGGAAGTGATTTTTCTATTTGGTACTGTATTAAATCACAATCGATTCTAATGATATCAATAGCTATTATGTACTGACAATTTTCTTTTAATACGCAGATAACGTGAAACAAATCGTTTTAGGATTGACATGATTATGAAACTATTAATTGTTGATAGAAAACTCGAGAACTTCAATGAATAATAGCAGACTATATTATAACCTCGGAAACTAATTAAAGTAAATTGAATAAGAAAATAATAATAAGAAAAATTATATAGTAACACCCATTCCATAATATTTACGTCCTAGAGGACGTAATGCAAATGACTGAATTGCAATGACTGAATGCAAATGACTGAATTTTTAGTTGTCATCAGGACAAATTCAAATGAACAAGATATCAGAATCATAATATGCTTATGACAAAGTCAGTTGTAATCAATAAAAAGAATATACACTGTGTGAAAGCCAAATGGAATTAATTAATTATTTCGGTTACTGTACATATTAAAAGAAATCCCGAGACATGACAAATGTGAATTATAATTTAATATTCCTCAACTTGAAAATGCCACCCCTACCTTCAACCCCCGTCGAATGACAGGTACAACCCCAAATTTTTTAAATGGGAAGTATAGGTTTGTGATATATCGTTTGAAAGGTCTCTTTATTCTCTATTCAAAAATATTATCGCTTTCAAATATATTGCAACTATTAAGATAAAATAAACTAAAATCATGTGAAGAAAAGAGAAATGAAACTTTGTATGTTTTTTACCACTTTTATTTGTAACTCACGTCCTAAACGGACATTTTCAAACTTATACATATATGAGTTTATTGTATAAGTTTGAAAATGTCCGCATAGGATGAAACTGCAGTAACGTGAGTTACAGATAAAAGTGGTAAAAAACATAGAACGTTTCATTTCTCTTTTCTTCATTATGATTTCCTACCACGTAGTAACAGCTACATCCATCAATTTATTAAAATCATGTGGTTGCCGAATCTCGATAAAATACACTTAAAAAGTAAAATGTAATACAAAACGTAATAAAATGTAGGATACAAAAAATAACTATGGATGTTAACGAAGTAGATGTTCAAAATGTTCACCGCGAACATCCTAATCCCAAATAAAACTGTATTCCAACATTATTTACCATACCAGGCATGGCTGACCTAATCGCAAGCGTTATTCGTTATTTTAAGTCATTCAAATCTGAAGGTTTAGTTTTGTACACATTGCTCTTTACATATCCCCATAAAAATAAATCTAATAATGAAAGATCAGGTGATCGCGCTGGTCATTCAATCGATCCTCGCTTCCCTATCCACCGATTGGGAAATGTTGTATCGAAGTATTGCCGGACATTAACTTGGTAATGTGGTGGTGCTCCATCCTGCTGAAACCATATCGTAATCACTGGAACTTGAGTGTTTCCTGGATCAGGATATACATTTGTTAAACTTTGAATGACATTATTTTGAAGTAGTGCCAAATAATTATCGCCATTCAAGTTGCCCTCAATGAAAAAGGGACCAACGATATGGTTTCCTACAATCCCTGCCCAAACATTAACCTTTTGCCGATTAGCATGACCGTTAAGAGACAAAGTACACTCATCAGAAAACAACGTCTTTTAATTGGATGATATTGTTATCCAGCATGTCCATCATTTGCTCACAAAAATAAGTTCTTCTATCAAAATCGTCTTCCATGAGTTCCTGAGTAGGTATCATTTTATAGGGATGCATTCTATTTTCTTTTAATATGTTTACTATCGATGTATGGTTAACATTGAATGTAGTGGATGCCTGTCTACTCAATGTAAGTGGGTTTTCCTCAAACTCAAGCATCACATCTAATTTGAGTTCATCACTCATTGCATTGGCAGCTGCTTTTTTATTTGCCCCGCATGACTAAGCTCGCGGAACTGCTTCTCTATTTTGCTTATTGTTCCTTGAGATATTGGCGGTAAATTAGGAAATTTCTCATGAAAAAGGCGAGCTACTTCCTGTTGTGTTCGGGTATTATCTCCGTTACCAATCATTTGTAAAGCTTCCATTTTATGCATTTCCGTTAATCTAACCATTTGTCAGACTTGAAGTTAAAGAACTTCAAACTCAAATTCAAATATTGTCAACTAATGTTGTAACATACCAAACAAATGGAAAAGACGTTTTAAACTAACGTTGTCACGGAAATTAACTTCCCATTTAAAAAGTTGTGGGTTGTACCTGTCATTCGACGGGGGTTGAAGGTAGGGGTATTATTTTTCCGTTGAAGTTTGTTAAATTATGATTTAAATTTGACGTGTTTCGGGATTTTGTTAAAATATGTACCGTAACCGAAATAATGAATTCATATTTAGCTTTTACACACTGTATAACAAATACTCAAACATAGATATAATAACTGAAGTTACAGATGTCCACATACGACTCTGTTCAAAAAATGGGGTGAATTTTAATTTTTCTCGAATGAGCAGGTGCCATTATCGTGATGCAGAAACAATGAATTGTTTTCCATAATACCGGGCATTTCCTTCGTATTGCTTCTTGCAAGCAAGTCAATGTGTTCGATCCAGTTTCACAAAAAGAAAAGAGTAACTGCGGATCCTGGTGGAAAACTTTAAGTATAGAAAAAAGTAACACTTTTTTATTTATTTCAGATAGGGAAGACGATGCCAAAGCTTCGCTTAGACGCCTGAGATCCAAAGAAAACGTTGACGACATCTACCTGCAGCTGAAATCAGACGTGGCCAGACAAATGTCAGAAAAGGGCACTTGGACGGACCTGTTCATGAACGAAACCAACAGAAAAGCCCTGATAGCAGGAATCTTCCTTAGAGTGTCTCAGCTACTTGGAGGAGTAACAGTATTCAGTGTATATACTCAATACATTTTTGAACAATCTGGTGCCGAGCTGAGCTCAGAAATACCAGCGATGATCTATACCGGTTTGTGCTTCGTCCTGATATTCATCGCAGGATTCGTAGTGGAAAAATTCGGGAGACGTAAAACGTTTATGAACTCCATACTTTTCTGCGGTATCGTGTTGTTGCTCGAGGGTATTTATTTCTATTTGGACACAGAAGTAGCGAGCGTGGATCTGTCTTCTATTAAATGGTTTCCTATAGTAGGAATGATCCTGTATATAATATTTTGCTCTTTCGGAATTATCCTCATCCCCACGCTCATGTTGGCTGAACTTTTTTCAGCCAGTGTCAAAGCCAAAGGTGTGAGCGTGTTGGTGATGACATTTGGTATTATGTTATTTGTTGCTAATAATCTATTCAATTTGCTCAAAGTCCATGTGGGGATGTACGCTCCATTTTTGTTCTTTGGTGTGAGTAATCTGATATCAACGTTCCTTACTTTATATTTTGTGCCAGAAACCAGTGGGAAAACTTTGGAAGAAATACAACAAAGTTTGAAAAAACAATCAGGAGTAGTATAGAAAATGTTTATTTATTTATTTAATTCTTTATTTTATTACGCTTGTAGCCTAATGTGAATAATTAGAATTAAGATTTTATGATAAGAAAGAAAAAGACTTATTTTAATATTAAAAATAAAAAATCAGTTATTGTTTTATTCGATTAGAATAGTTTGATTCCCTCGTTCAGTTCCCTAATAATCGATTCGATTCAATTGATTTTGGCTATCAATGGTGCTTAAGACAAAAGTCATAATGTTTCAAGGGGGTTGACAATGTTTCGTGGTGCATTTGATTAGTTTGGACTTCCATTGTCTAATATGATTTGAATTGATTCGAAATCCCTGCAAGAATCGTTAAAAAATGAAAAGATTAGCTGAAAAATAACAATTATATTGAGCAAAAAAAACTGAAATTACAATGAAATAAAAAACTAGCAACAATCAAAAATTGAACTATTAATACGAGCTGAAAATTAAGCCAAGTTACTTCACGACGTTTCGATTGTTAGTGACGGATGATGACTACGAGATCTGACTATTTATAGGTCATTCGAGTGCTTTCACCTATCTCATCTTCCCTCTCTCTGCTTCATCGGTTTTAGCATGAGCTGACCGTTTGGCGTGTGAATTGATTTATTTTGGGGTTTTAAACCTACCATAATACGAAAAAAAACTGGATCAATAGAGAACCTGCTCAAGTATGATATACGACAAACTGTCCCCAAGAAATTACTAGGCAACGTAGGTACATTTCTTCAAAAAAGTCTAAATAATAAATGAGAAAAATGGAGCTATGGAAAGCTATTTTTTTTTGTTTTCAAAATATGATTTTTACGTTCGTTTGAAGGTAGTTGACAATGTTTCGTGGTGTATTTCATCAGTTCGGACTTCCATTGTCTAATATAATATAAATTGATTTGAAATCCCTGAAAAAATCAAAAGATTAACCGAAAATAACAATTTTATTAAACAAAAAACTGAAATTACAAGGAAATAGCATACAAGCTACAACCAGAAAATAAAAAATTGAAATATTAATAAAAGCTGAAAATTAAAAAATATCAACAAAAAAATCAAAAATAAAAATGAAAATTAAAAGATTCCAAACCAAGTTACGTCACGACGTTTCGATTTTTAGTATCCACAATCGTCTTCGGGTGATAACTGTACTCATTCCTCCGAGATCTGACTATTTATAGGTCATTCGGGTGCTTCCACCTATCCCTTTTTTTCCTCTTTCCGCTTCATTGGTTTTAGCGGGAGATGACCGTTTGGCGGGAGTTGGTCGTTTTTCGCTTGATTAGAGGTTTCCATATGTTACGTATCTCTACACTAGCTTGACTAAATGCGTTGTTGAACAACATATACGCGGCTTCCTTGAATTTTCTCCTAAACCAGTGTTCCTCTTTGTGGATGATTTCAGCTTGAGCCCACTCGATATTATGTTGATGAGTCCAAACATGCTCTGCTATTCCGGATTTGCTGGTTTCTCCTCGCTCTGTGTGTTTCTTGTTCTCAGCAGTGCGAACTTTCAATGGCCTCTTAGTTTCTCCGATGTATGATTCTCCGCACTCGCAGGGTATGCAATTCTTGAAATCGCAGTCCGCGTTTGGTGGCCTGGTTTTTGTGAGGCTGCTACGGATAGTGTTCCCAGATCTGAAGCAGGTCCTGATGTTATACTTGGACCCGAGCCTTCTCATCCTTTCCGATAATCCTCTGATGTAGGGAAGTACAACTACTAGTTGTTGCGATTTCTCTTACTTGTGGAGCTCTTGCTGTCTTCTAGCTAAAGCCTGTTCTACCATCACTCTGGAGTAACGATTCTGTTGAAGGTCATTTTTGATGATGCCTATTTCTTTTTCGAGACCTTCCTTTGTATTACAGAGCTCGAAAGCACGGTCTAGTAAAGTCTTGATGATTTCTCTCTTAGTCGATTGACGGTGGTTGGATTTCTGGTTCAGATACTGTCCTGTGTGAGTGGGTTTTCGATATACAGATGTTTCCCATTTAGTGTCGGTCCTCTTCACCAGTACTTCTAAGAAAGGCAATTCGTTGTGGACTTCCTTCTCCATTCTGAAAGTGATGGAAGGACTTACGTTGTTGATGTGCTTCAGGAAAGTGTCTAGTTCTGCATTCCCATGGTTCCATATTGTACTATTCGATAGTCGACGTTTCGCCATCATCTCAGATGGCATTATCAAGACGAGTTACTGCTTCGCTTCGAGAGGTGTAACTTCGCTTCGAGAGTCTAGTAGGGGCTACAGCCCCCAATAGTCTAGGCGAGGCAACAGTTCCCAGTAGCCTAGAGAGAATAGAACTTCCCTTTTCTATTTCTATTGCAATCTATATCTATATTTGGCAATCGAAGGCACTGGAATATTCCTCGGAATTCCATCGAAGCCGGTAGAATTATTCTCGCTACATGTAGAATGGCAGCCAACATCGAATATTCGCGCGTTCTTAGCTACGTCACAATTGGTTTATAGTTACCAGTGGCGGCCGGCGTTATTTTCTTTAGGGCATGATTTACAATATCTTTCATTTTTCTAGAGGGCCGTTTCTCTAGGAGGGCTAAGCCCATCTTAGACTCCCTAGTTTCACCAATGATAGAAGGCTCTAATTTCGGAAATAACTGCACAAATGCAAGATTCCGTTCGATCAGTACACAAATACAAACCAGTACACAACTCTCTAAAAAAATGAATGCTATTCATTTTTCAAACTAATATAGGTATTGCCATTTGAAAGTTATCATTCTAGACGTGAAACAATCACATGTTACCTACTTGAAACGCTTTGAAACTCATTATTAGTAAAGCTCAACCAATCCAGTTCAGATTGTTCAACTTTTATTTGTTACAATACTTTAGCAGCAGAAAAGCTTCTGAAAATTCTTTTTGAAAGTTTCTATATTTTTCTATATTATTTCAGTACAAAAATGTAGAGATATATGCTCTGCTACCCTTTCAAAGCCGGTATTCGCTATTATTCCAATAGCATTCTTTAAAAGCACATGAATGTACATGTTCCTAAATATAGTCTAGTCTTAATATTCATCAAGTCTCTGTGTTGTATTTTGAAAATTTGCCGTTAGTATGTCTCTACTTTTTTGAATCTAGAACGCAAATCATATTCTTCAATTGAAAAAGAAAGCAGTTAAGATAAAATGCTTAACAAGATTTCTAAGAAACTCTTTAGAAATTACAGTCATAACAATCGAGGAATTACATCACATTATTCAATATTCGTATTCGTGTATCCAATAGTTACATTATGTAATTGTTACATATTATTTTTAATTGCTGTAGTATTTCAAGGTAAATCACTCTGATTTTTGATGACACGTTTGCTAGTATCTAACCAGAAACTAAAAAAATATGATTTATAAGAAATTGAAATAAATGTATTTCACATAACTATCAATAGAATTGATAGTGTCATTACAGAGCCTGACCAGTATTTAGCAAGATTACAGATTTGATTTCTTTCAAAATCGTTTAATTAATGGCGGAGGTTCTGGTTGTAAAACTATTGACAACTATTTATTTCTCTCAAGTCCCCTTTTCCTAGACAATCCGATCATAAAGCTAGGTGTTTCGTGTTTCATAGTAGTCTCTTACCTATGAATCAAAATATGAAAATCCTAAATTGAGTACTCATCCTTCTAAAAACAAAAGTACTTACAATTATCTTTCAATAAATTGATGGAAGTAGCCGTTACTACGTGGTAGGAAATCATAATGAAGAAAAGAGGATTCAAACTTTCTATGTTTTTTACAACTTTTATTTGTAACTAACATTACTGCAGTTTCGTCCTATAAGGACATTTTCAAACTTATACATCAAACTAAAAATGATTGATTACATTAGGTCTTATATAACACCACTGTAGGTAATAATAGAGATAGTTAGCTTGATTGAGTAGGTACCTGAATTTTGTTTACTCGGACAATGTGGATATGCTAATTTGAAAACCGGTGAGTAAACTGAATCGATTTGATCATTTAACAGGTTGCACCCGCAATGTTTATGCTTGTGAATTTCCAAGGAATCCAAATAATTGAGTTTGCAACCCTACTTTGCATAGTGCAAAATTTCCGTATCGTTGATACTGGAAATATAGCACTGATAATATAGCACGGTTAGGGCCACGTTATGTCGATGGATATAGGCCGAGATCGCATATGCTGAACCTGCTAATAGCAAGTGTATTAGGGTCTCGGACGCCTAGCGGCAGGCCCTGCACCTTGTGTCAGCAACCTCTATACCCATCATACGACTGCGATAGACTAAGGTGTTGAATACATGATGAACCCCTCAGTTTCCGATTTCAGCCCACTCGACCTGAGGAAAGCGAAAGTCAGACGCTTTGATGAGCCAAGGTCTTCAATGTTATTGAAAAAGACTCCATGCATTGGCTTATCCTTGTGTTTCCGCAGAAGTGAGGTGATCTCTGCGGCTTTTATATGAACTATTTGCTGAACGGCTTCCAACTCGGTGACAGAGGTGTGATCACCTCGTTCAGTGTCGGAAACTAAATCGAGTTCATCAGCTGCTCGGACAGCTGCCCTAAAGAGAAATGCCATAATTCCTGATCTCTCATGGTCGCGGACCATGCAGAGAAGGGGATCCGAACTCCTGACGACTTTACAGGAATTATGTCCTCTAGACACACCAAACTCGGAAGTTCACGGCCTCCTTGTTGTCGGGGGAAGTACAACCGTGGAACTGACGATTTGGGATGCAAACTCCTATAGACATTCATCATTTTTCAGGTCTTCACGTCGAGTTGCTTCTCCCGAGTCCGCTTCACTACTCCAAACGAATAGAGTGAGATTGGAACGGCAAGCATATTTAATGTAGGAACTTTGTTCCTCCCCGACAGTTCCGATAACCAGATCTGTCGAAGTTTGCGCTGATACTTGCCGCGGAGAGAGTTCTTCACTGCTGTTACCTCTTGTGAGTGGCGTTGTTCCACCTCGTGGTAAGTATACGTCTCTCCAAATGGTGTAGGATGCTTCCATCTACGAGGTGCACATCCTCACCGTAGTCCTCGCATCGTCATCTTTTGAGATGGACCATTTCACATTTGTCTGTCCCGAATTTCATACCGAAAGCATGCGTGTACTCTTCCACCACCCTCAAGGAATTATTATCATTATTATTATTATCATTTTTTACCGAAGTATGCGCTGGTCAGGCCCTATCCTCCCGAAGCCCCGATACTTTTGGGGCTTCGTGGAGGATATATTATTAATATATGTGATGGAATTGGCCGATACTTGACGAAAATCCATAACGAATTCAACAATTTACTGTGAGATTTTCACTTAACAGTTTACAAAACCTCAACACATGTTTCACTATACAATAACTTTCTCAATCGAGTCTATACTACCTAGATTTATATACCCGTAAAGCACTAATTCTGTAGGACACACCTGAGAAAGCTATTTATTGTATAGTGAAATACGTGTTGCAGTTTTGTAAACTGTTCGGTGAAAATCTCTCAATAAAGTGTTACTTGAATATGTATCATTATCAATTCGATGGTTTCATCAATTCCCACACTTTTTCTTCTTCCTCAACCACGTGATAAACAAAAACATTTATCCCAGATCGCTGGGATAAATGTTGTTGTTTATCATGAGAACATCATTCAGTTTAAATATATGTCCATTCTAGCTCTATATGATTCAAGTCAGAATAAGGAGGAATACATATATTTTTTTAAGGGAACTATTCTGATATATTATTAAGTTTTCCCAGTGGGTTTGCAAATAATTTACTACACTGTACATTTAAACTCAACTTTATTTCACTGCTATACACTGACAATATAACCAAACATTTCAACTGAAACTTCAAACTAACATTCAAATGTCTATCGCCTTATTAGATTACTTCGTACGGCACTGTCAACTAGACTTCCCCGATATGCGTGTGGATAGTATTCAAATATGGTAATTGAAGGCTCTCGAAGCCAATAGGGAAGTCTATCGAAGCGACCCGGCATCTAGAACAATCGCGAAGCGCAAATCAAGTTGAGCGCAATCTTCGCCAAGTCACAATCGATTTACGACGACCAGTGGCGGCCGGAGTAATTTTTTTTCTCAAAGGATGATTAACAATATCATTATTGCGCCAACTACTTGTTGGCAGTTTCTCTTGTAACAGAGAATGATACTTTGCATCATCGACAAGAAAGAGTGTCTTGGAATCAAATCTAGCATTTGTGAGAACTTTTTTCCAAGACGTCGGTAGTCATGTATCCGTTGTTTATGAATATACAAGGGTGGGGACAATAATGGAAAATAAATGAAACCTGCCTCTCGGCTGATGGGATCCATATACAGAAAGTAAAAAAATATTTATTTTACTAACAAATGCAAAATGTGTAATAAATTAAAATATAATATACAATCAAATCATTCAGTTACACCAAGGATAGTCATCACTTTTATATGGAATCAACGGTAAATCATACATGAAAGGAAAAACACTTTTATTCTTTCTGTCTGAAGAATTCTTTATCTCGAAATATTCCTCATCAAAAAATTTTGGAAGAAATAGAACACCAGCTTCGTACGACCTTATATATACCCCATTATCCTTGGCAAACGGGCCGCCCCAGGCAGATTTTGACAGATTAGCACTGGTGATTAGATAGTATGCCAGTTTACTCAAGCAGGGAGACACACGACAGTAGGATTTGATGTGAGGCATAGCACGGGTTCGCCCAAAAGATTCTGCCTTCCACTGACTGAAAAAACAAAAAATATTGTTCATTGTATGATTGAGGGTTCAGAACCAATGTTTGAATTTGCAATTGATTTTATCGATATATTAGGTTGTTTCAAAAATTTTGTCCGTTTCAATGTCATATGTTTTTGTAGCTTCATACCTTAGAAAAATGTTTATTCAACTATGTCGTGGTGTTTACTGATCAATAGATATATCTGTACTCTATGCACTGATGCTCTTTTCTGTCCAGTATCTGAACTACGAATCCAACCACCATCAATCAACTAAGAGAGGAATCATGAAGACTCTATGAGACCGTGCATTCATGCTCTGTAATACGAAGGAAGGTCTCGAGAAGGAACTAGACATCATCAAAAATGATCTTCAACGGAATGTACTCCAAAACGATGGTGGAACAAGCTTTGCCTAAAAGGCAGCAGGAGCCTCGCAAGGAAGAGAAGCCGTCACAACCAGTGTTTGCACTTCCACACATCAGAGGATTATCGGAAAGGATAAGAAGAATTGGATCCAAGAACAACATCAGAACTTGCTTCAGATCCGGAAACACTATCCGTAGCAGCCTCACGAAAACCAGACCACCAAACGCGGACTGCGATTCCAAGAATTGCATTTACCGGATACCATGTAAGTGCGGAAAATCCTAAATCGGTGAAACTAAGAGGCCTTTGAATTTTCGCATTACCGAGCACAAGAAACACACACAGCGAGGGGAAACCAGCAAATCTGGAATAGCAGAATATGTTTGGACCCATTAACATAACATCGAGTGGTCCCAACCTGAGATCATACACAGGGAGGAACATTGGTTTAGGAGGAAATTCAAAGAAGCCACATACATGTTGTCCAACAATGTATTCAGCCAAGCTAGCGTAATCACCTAGTGGTATGAAATATGCTTTATGATCTATTCTCATACCTACCAAATATACACAATTTTTGTTATAAAAGTCGGTCAAGCCGTTTCAGAGGAGTGCTACGACAAACACGGTGAAACAAGATTTTTATATAAAATCTGTTTAAAATCTGTTTTTCCGTTAACCAGCTGTCGCACCCCTACGAACGACAACCCTCAGAAGTCGAAACTTGTGCGAGCTAAGGATTAACGTGTGATTCCTAACACGGGTTGGACGATAGCAAGTGAAGATCGATCGTTCAGACTAGGGCTTGAACCACCGACCAACACGACAGTCAATTCGAGTGAGTGAACAAAGCACCCATGCCGAACCGCTTGGCTACCGACCGACCATATTAGGTGACTCAAAAAAACTTACCTTCAGCTACAAAAATAACCTAAGCAATTCAAATCATACATCATATAACCACAAAATATTTTTAGTATTTGATCCCCATTCAACTAAATTCCAATATGCTCAAACTCACATAGAATATAATGTTTCATATGCAAAAATTATTTAACCCTCATTTCAATTTAGTAAAATGTATTATATTTATTTATAAACATAACATATTTGTACATTATAGGTTCGTTCCAACCTTGAGTCACAAACAGATTTCCAACTGTTTGTAAATCGTTGTCAACGCGCATATCTGTTAAATATTGGTTTCTGATTAATTTGAAATTTCTGATCGGAACAGCTGATAGTTCAACTGAAGTTTGACATGGAATTTCAACATAACCTTTAAAAATAAATCTTATCAAGTGTATTTCTGGAGAGTAGTAGTAGTAGTAGTAGTAGACTTCAATTTAGGAATCCTAATATACAATATATAGTTATGCATATATGAATAATTTATATACGTATATAATTTTACAGTGCGTCATGTATTACAATTTGATATATTCTAATAATAACTTTTTGAATACTTTTAAGAAATTTACATGTTTTATTTCATCAGGTAACTTATTGAAACTATCTAGACCTTTAAAGAACAATGAATTCATTCCACTCTTATAGTTTGTTCGGGATCTATAAAATGTATTACATGTTCTTGTGTTATATGAATGAATGTCACTATTTCCAACTAAATATCTGCTAAGATAGGCTGGTTGTATCCCACTCGAAATTTTGAAAATAAAAATCATGCTCAAATAATACAGTCTTTTATGTACTGGCTGCCACTGTAGAGTATTCAACATAGATTCAATAGGAGTATACTGGTTGCATCTCAAAATAATTCTCATACCTCGATTTTGTAGTTTCTGCAACTGTCCCATTTGATTTTGGTTGAATAGATACATCAGTGTGGCATAGTAGTCAAAGTGTGGCCTCATTATGCAGTTGTAACATGTTAGTCTAGCAAAGGTTGATAAAGATTTTGGTTTTTCTAATGGTATATTGGGCATGCTTATTCAAATTTAATTGATGGTCTATAGTAAATCCTAGGTACTTAATTTCATTCACAATAATTGTGTGTTGATTATTGAATATGCTGATATTAACGTCGTTAGTATCAATCTTTCTTTGATTCGAATTTGTTGTAACGATCATTGCCTTAGATTTATTGATATTCAATTTGAGTTTATTCACTTGTAGATATAATTCAATGTTCTTTAAAGATATATTGATATTTTGTACAGCTTCTTTTAAATCACAGTTTTCCGTATATACAAGGGTATCATCAGCAAATAAGAGTAAAAGAAGGTTGTAGTATTTTTTATCTCTATTCTATTTACTAATCAACGTAGAACTGGGAGGTAAAAGTAGGTCACCGCAATAATTAATTTGTGTAATTGAAGATGTTCATATTTTAGGTTCACTTAAAGAATTCCTAATTTTTCCTGCGCCAGCAAATACATAATTTATTTTATAACAATTTTTGCAGGTTATGTTGTTTGCAAGTTGTATGAACATAAAACAGAAACAGTAATACGGAATACGCATGCGTCAGATTAATGGTTAAAAGATAATCCTCAAACCATTCTGATAGATTTCGAACAGGTTTGAATCTTGCATGGAACAGAAAACTGGTAGTTTACTAATGGTTGGAAACTCACGTTGGAATGCAATCACATTACTGCGCAGAATCCTTACTGTCAGAAACTGTTTCTGACGCTGGTTGGAACGAACCTTATGATTGAAGAAATACTATGTATGAAACTAAATCACTTCAAAAGTTCGAATCAGTTTTGCACTCTCCACTTGGAAGAAAGCAAGTTTAGTGAAATTGGGGATACACACAAAATGTTATATATGTGCCAAGTGCTGATGTCTACAGTACGCTGCATGAGTTTAATGTCCACTGCTGTGATTAAATAATGCATAGAGATTATAACAAGTCACTACAGTGTCTTCTCATATCTAGAACTTTCAGAGGAAAATTGATAGCAACAATTTTCTCAAAATGTTTATGTTTTGAAAATATCTTCAAATATTCAGGAGAACATATGGATTGCTAGGGATTTTGTACACTTTCTTCTCTCTCTAAATTTCGAACACGTCGGGTTTTTATCTCCATTTAGAGTTCCTTTTTTTTTGGAAAGGACTCTAAACATTTTGACAAACTCAGTCGGACATTTTGTAACTATAGGGAGAGACAGATCCCAGCATAGATCAAAGATTAGCGGTGAATGTCATAATATGCACATTTAAAGACAGATTTCAAGATACTGATGAAACTGTTCACAATCCTGAGGTGGTTTATCTTCTGATATTGGCTTTTTCGCTCTCCATAAATTTTTCCCCAATTTCCGTCAAGATTGATTTAGGATCCTCACTGAATATAGTCATGCCTTGGTGCAAGTCTTCCAAAAAATATAGAAGGAATTCCTGGGTATCTTGCAGCTCGTAATCCATAAATTAAAAGACAAATCTTTGGACTGATGATTCAGGGTACATTTTACCCTTTACGAGAGCAGTTAAAATTCTGCTAAACTTACACAACATGAACATGCAACTTCACTGCTCAATTATGTATTTCTAGAAATACATTATCTTCAAAACTAATCGATGACATGTGGCAGTGTTATCATTTTATGTTTTTTTTTCATTTTCTCAGATACAATAACGAAGTGAAAATCACAGAGAAAAGGTGGCAAGATCAAAGTAATTAGACAAAAATAAATTCGTACATCAATTTGCAACCAAATTAAAGAAATGGAAGCCAAAAAAGTATTCGATCAAACATCAAATGTAATAAGCAGAAATTTACTAACCTATGGTAATTTTTTTTCTACCACTTCATGTTTTATCTATTATCATTTCATTTCTTAAAATATAACCCAATTTAGTTCATGGTGATGAATTTGACATATAATAGTTGAGGATTTCAATGAGATCATTATTAATCAATCAATGGCAGAAATATTGCCAAAAGTTTGTAAAAATACTGGATTAGAGCAGAGTAAACATTTAATGTCAGAAGTATTTTTGCAGTATGCACCTTTACTTGGCTTTTGAGATTCAACTCAATATTTTTTTTGAAAAATGTAATCTTTGAAAAAAAAATTTCATCAATAAATTACAGGTTGAAGATTGATGAGAATTATTTTCTGTCTCTTGTATATTTAGTTAAATAATTATTAGCAGAATGGCGATAAAGCTTACCTACAAAATATAATAAGTAGAAATTTGTATTTGCTGTACAATTTCACAAAAATGTCGTGATGGCAGTGACATACATTCTTGAAATTAGTTGAGATTGAGTAACTCACTGTAAATATTTCTGCAGCCAGCGCTGTTTTTCATTCGTAGCTTTGGAATAAGGCAAACATCCTCCACTCTCGTGTCCAAAATATCCCGTCATTACATTGTCCACGGAGGGATATATAATGCTTAGCGTACAATTAGAATTCATCGGCATGGGACTCTTTGTGTGGCTGGCCAGAGCTCTAAGTACAGACCCTCTCAGCCACTCGGCAGGTGATTTACCTGAATAAATGAAAATGGTAGATAAAATAGGGTAAAGAGCAGGTATTTCAAATATTATATGTACAGCAAAGTAACTGAAAAACTCTTAAAATTTAGGAGGAATGATCAAATGCAATTCATTTTTGTTCCAATGACACCACTTCAAAATAGTAGAAGTTATTTGTCTCCTTAAGAGCACTAACTTCATGAAGCATTCATAAATACTGATTTACAGCTCATCTGACATCATTACGATTGCTGAAATTAACGTAAAACAAACACAAAAATACAATCCACGCAAATGGAAGACGATACGAGTTAACCCCAATGAAGCCATAATAATGATGACGAGTATTTAATATCATTTGGAAATATTGACTCTCAAATTGGGAATTATAAAAATTTCATACCATTTTACTCATTTCAGTTGACTGTATGTTCATTGTGAACATGACTGAACAAGGGTATAAATGTATATCTACCAGTTTATTTTTGAAAAAAATATTTTTTCAACAGTTTCATTTTGACTTGACGAGTGGAGTTTGGAACCTCTGGTGTGGAAAGGATCTATTGAAAACACTTTTTCCTCACAGTCTTAATCATCTCCTGATGATGATAACTTAGTTGGCGAAACACGCATCAAGAGACAGCAATTATGTTCTGGTGAGGAAAAAAGTCTTTCAAACAAGTTTCATTTCGATTTATTTGCTTTGTATATTTCATTTTCTTTCTATCTTGGACTAGTAATCAAAATTGATTATTTAAAATATATTTGAGGATGAACAAAAGTCATTTTTGTGGAGAAAAATCAGAGTTTTTCATTGACTTTTTTAGGGATTTTCACCTTACACAATCTAGAAAAAAATTTAACAATTATGGAGAACTTCATTCGGGTGTAGGAAGGTCAAATCTTTATTTCACCCTGATAAGTTACTGCATAAACGTATTAAAATCTGTTTTTCCGTACCAGCTGTCGCACCCCTACGAACGACAACCCTCAGAAGTCAAAACTTGTGCGAGCTAAGGATTAACGAGGTTTTACCTTTTAACGTGTGATTCCTAACACGAGTTGGACGATAGCAAGTGAATTTCGATTGTTCAGACTAGGACTTGAACCACCGACCAATACGGCAGTCAATTCGAGTGAGTGAACAAAGTACCCACGCCGAACCGCTTGGCTACCGACCGATTAGTAACGTATCAATCAGTAACTTGTCATATTTAATAAATTTGCCTATCAAAAAGACAGCTTAGAAATTATTCAGAGACTTATATTAACGTTTCCGGGTCATATTTCATATTAAAAAATTTCATTGACATTTGTCAAGCGAACCAAAGAAAAAACTGTGAATTTCTTTACTTATAGACTATTCTAATAACAGTCGGCATAAATCTGAAACCCTAGTAACTTTGGTGAACAAACCATGGTCATGCATCTTTAGCAAGGACAATTCTGAGTAAGAAGTTATCATGATGACTCCTGTGAGAAGACGCCATCTAGGAAATTAACAGACAACTCATTTATCATGATCCAATGAACAAGAGTCCTTGAAGGCAAAATCAACGTTTTCCATGCATGAAGTATGCCATAATGGAGTGCAAAAACGAGTGGTAAGGATTCTAGGTGATCTTGGCTTTGAGATTCATGTAGAAATGTTTTCAAATCCTTCATAGCATTCATTTTGACATGTGTTGCTTATGTTTGTGTGTGCGTGTATATATATATACAGTAAATCTATTAGTTTGAACCATGTAGAAACGTTATCACCACATTATTATTGCTATGTTATTATTACAAAACGTTTTAAAAAACAGAAAACTGTCAGTCACATTATTAAAACTACTTAATACTCCATATTGTATGATTTTCACTATAAAGGCTTTTACATAAACCGCGACACGTGTTTCATTATACAATAACTTTCTCAAGCATAAACTAAAAGTTAATTCTGAATTACAACTATTTTATTCCTACCTACATATTACCTACTTGTATGCCTACTTTCTAATGAATGAATCTACCTGAAAGGGTCAGGTATGAATTCATTAACTATGTGAATGGATATTAATTTTTTTTCTTACCTGGAAATAAACAGATTCAATAATGATGAATTATTCAGTTCAGTTTGATCCTTCATAAGATATTGAGAGATGTTGAATTTGTTTATTTCCAAATTCTCCAACAGGTTAAGTTTCTAACCTTTCTTCTGCAAATGGAGGGACTTGAATTCATGGTTGAACTCATGTCCATATGTGATTAAATGAGTGGTATATGTGGAATTTATTTTTCCATTCTGGAAAATATTTTTGTGTTTCTTTATGCTTTGAACGTTCTTCCAGTTTGACCTACATAAAACATCGGACATGACCCTCATGATAATTTACGAAAAAAAAAATTCACATAGATAATGAATTCATACCTGACCTTTTCAGGTAGATTCATTCATTAGATAGTAGACATACAAGTAGGTAATATGTTAGAGTATAAAATAGTTGTAATTTAGAAGTAACTTTTAGTTTCCGCTTGAGAAAGCTGTTGTATAGTGAAACATGTGTCGCGGTTTTTGTAAAACCCTCTATAGTGAAAATCATACAATAAACTGTATCAATTAGTTTTAATAAGGATTTTCATCAAGTATCGGCCAGTTCTTTTCAGTCAAATTAATTTTCAACAATGAAAATAACAATAAAAACAATGAGAATAATTTTAACAGTGAAGTTGTATTCGAAATTTGTTTTCTTACTTTCTAAAGTATAACTCACTCGAACCGCTAGCTGTATTAATTCCGTGCTAGGGATCGTACCCTAAAAAGTGGGACCTCGTTTATCCTTACCTCGCACAAGTTTTTACTTTTGGGGGTTATCGTTTGTGGGGAGGCAATATTTGGTTAACGGAAAAACATATTTTTAGAAAGCGATTTTCACAAACAAGTCAAATGTAGAATAAAATATAGAAAAAATTATTCCATAGTTTTTAGTCACATTGCATTCGATAACGAAAAAAATTATTTTTCAAAATATCTTCATAACAAAACAGACCTAACAGATGAGTTTTCATTGAAAATGAGACAGGGATATTATTTTTGAAACAGCTCGGAATACACACACGGTATACAATACAATATTTTTCAAAAGAACTTTTCAAACGGAACCTAAATGATGAAAGCAATATACGTCATTCTATATTTGAAAAACCTGACTTTGATACGCCACTTCTACTGGGTACCCTGTACAATGAAAAATCTTTCAGAAAAGGTATTTTTTGATAAATTCACTCTTTCATCTCAAACTTCTAATGGGAGCTCACGTTCATCAACGTGAGATAACGTGGTAAATTTTTTTTTCAAGGATAAAACACAAGCACTACAGAAAAATCTTTGAGGCTCTCTAAGAGCTGTGCCTGTGCGAAAGTAACGATTCACATTGGATTTGAATCGCTGGAGAATAAATACATTTGGGAAAACGTTCTCAGGAAGTTTATTCCACATAAACGCAGTTCTTCAAATGAAAGAGTTCTTAATCAGTGAAGTTCGAGGTGTACTGAGTTGAACCTCAAAACGATGAGCAGCCACAGTATGTCGCGGGTTTCTGATATATATCGCTTTTGATGAAATCAAATGTGCCAAGTCACTTGAACACCTCACATGAAAGTATCTATGAAAGAGAGAAAGAATATGACATTTTTGCAAAGCTTTTTTGCCCTATTATCATTTAAAGAAAGAAGAGTCGTCAAACAATTTTCTCAAATAAATTTGTAAAAATATTGCTGATATTTTTATCAGCCAACAGCTTGGCAGATATTCATTTTCTCATTCTTGTACTTTTACGTGGATTGAGTAAGTTGATAAATTTCATACAGTATACAAAATATAAAAGATACATTTGCTCAATATCTAATCCATCGACATGGGAGAGTTGATATAGAGTATGAAAAAGTAAAATAATGGGAGTTTAGACAAATATGAATATAAAACACTGTGAAAATTATCATTGAGTTTTCAATGTAACTAAAACATAAAAATGAGTTATTTACATGTCTTACATAAATATATATATTACCCATGGAGCCGATGCTTGAAGCTTGTGCAATTATTCCCCAGGAAAGCGGACCTTCACTTTCTGGAGTTGTTTTAACTGGTAAGACGCAGTGGTTTGATAAGAGATTTCCTACTCGATGTAGATGACTGCCGTTAGATTTAGGATAATATTTTCCGGGAGCAGAGTAAACAAAAAATACCCTGTAAAAATAATTTCATATAATACACTACTACATTGTATAAATGTAGTGAAAAAATATTATTTGATTGTTGCTGTGAAAATACAATTTTAATTAAAAATGGAAAAGAAAATTCTGTTTCTGTTACCATGCAGGAATGTTAGCTTTTAATAGTTTGAACAAAAATATTAAAGAATGTGGCACTCTTGCATTATTCAAAAGAAAGTTGAAGAGTCATCTATTGGGTGAATGAACTAGTCTTTATATAATATAAATTTTGACTGTATAAAATTTTTTTTTGTATTCTATATTTGTATTTTGTTTGTGTTTTATATTGACTAACAACTGTGATATTTTAAGTAGATGTTGTATATTTATTGTAGTACTCATACTTTGAAATTTTATTCCTGAGTTTAGTTGACTAACACATTGTGGTGTCATATTTGATTATAGATGTATTGTATTAGCAGTTTCATTGCTAAATAAAGGATTTATATAGAACTTAGGGCGTACTTAGGCAGAACTTATTTCTCACAAAAAAAACAATGAGGAACATTACCTTACCAATCCAAAATCGGCTCGTTTAACATATTCGATAAATTGTTTGAGAAGAGGTTCATTATAGGTTTTCAGATAATTCAATAATTCCTTTTTGAATCCCGTTGGAGAATCCCCGTCGGTATCAGGACTGGAATCCGGAAGTCTTGGGCAAGATGGACTCAACCATAACCTGAAAGTGAGTCAAAATGCTTGATACTCTATAATTCCATATCTAAATACTCACCCTTGGTTATAATGGTTCCAATCTTCATAATACAAATTAGCTGTTGAAACAACAACTCGAATTGAATTATCATCATAGACATAAATGCCAATTTTGCTGTAAGTATTAGAGAATTATTTTCATCTTCATTGTAACAATGAAGTGGTGAAATTTCAATAAAACACGTATCACTTACGAATGATGTACTCCAAAAGGATCTTTCATCTTTATTAGTTTATAACTGACATTAGGACAAAATTTATCTATAAATTTTGCCATATCCGGCCAGTCATCTCCATAAAGTATAGTTAATGGTTTCAAACTAAAATTAGATCTCTGGATAAAAGCGACTTCAATACTTTGAGAAAATATCACCTTTGTTTTCTTGCTTGATATTGCTTCAATAACCAATCAATGTCAATCATAAAATTGATTTGTAAGGAACATTTTAGCTCTCCTAAACTTGGGCACAGTAAATCTGAAATTCAATCAATTACTCAGTTATTATACCATACATATTGGGTTTATGGTGTGATGACAATTAAAGAAAACATGATCTAAAACCTTGGCATGTAATAATGAAATCTCTCAATAATCATACTACCGCCAAAGACTACAGAATACTATAAGACGTGTCACTCGCTCATTTTTCGACATCTGAGAAATCTCGCCGCCCGCTAGCGACAGCGGGTAATTACCAGCCGAGGTAGTACAGTGTGTCGCTTGAAGTTACCAGTTCTCGTCGGCACACGAGATATAAAGGTTGTCCGTATTGTTTGGTATTGTCAAAGACTACAGAATCGGTAAACTTTGTATATACTTTACTTTAAAATTCATGAACCAGGACATGAAGATTGTTAGGAAACATAAATCATGCAATGTAAAATTGAATATTTTAAATCATTTATAAACATATAACATTATATAATTGTATTATTTTTGTTAATAAAACATGTTTTTCTGAACGTATGTTTATCATTTCATCAGTAAATCACTCTGATCTGTTTCTTAGATCATTTATTCATTAGTTTATTTATCATGTTTCTAGAAGTTGATCGACAAACAACTACTTTCGTATCTTTGTTTATCTGTCTGATACAACCGAGCAAGCGAAGTTTCAACTTTGGAACGTCCCCTGTAGATATCGCGAATAGGAACTGCCCTCGTATAACTGTCATGCGGCCGGCGGCTTCCGGACATCGTCTGTCGGCGATATGATTTATGGAAATCGCAAAAAATGCAATCCTGAGCCGTACCGACAAACGAATTCCTTGGAGTGAACCAACTTATAGTATTCGGTAAACTTTGCTACCGCTAACTTATCAAGAGACAAGTTTCAAATATTCTCAATATGTTTTTTTTTCAGGGCAAAACACAAGCACTACAGGAAAATCTTTGAGGTGCTCTAAGAACGGTGCCTGTGCGAAAGTAGTGATTCACATTGGATTTGAATCACTGGAGATTAAATCCATTTGGAAAAACGTTATCAGGAAGTTTATTCCACATAAACGCAGTTCTCCAAATGAAAGAGTTCTTGAACAGTGAAGTTCGAGGTGTACTGAGTTGAACCTCAAAAGATGAGCAGCCAAAGTCCGTCGTGTCTTTCTGATATGTACCGCTCTTGGTGAAATCAAATGTACCAAGTCACTTGAACACTTCCCATGAAATCCAGCAGCTTCAGAGTTAGGCTTAGGAGCGGAGCCCATACATGAGAACAATACTTCAAAGAAGGTCTGATCTGAGTTCCAAGCGTTTGAGAAGAACAAGTCCTTAAGGATAAAACGCTTGATAAAGACCTCATCAAAGTTATCCTGAAGACTCATATCAGGCCCATTATGGAGTATGCCAGTGTGTTTTGGTCGGCACACTACAGTCAGGACACTGATCTCCTGAAGCGCACACAGAGACGGCTGACAAAACTTCCCAAAGAACTACATGATCTTGAATACTAACAAAGGTTGAAAATCGTTGATCTAGAGCAAAGAAGATTGCGCAATGACCTAATCAAAATATACAAGATGATGAACAACATGTACAGTTAACCATGGATTTGTGAAATACCGAAAGTTGTCGAAAACCGTAGACTGAGGGGCCATGACAGGAAAATGAGGAAAGAATAGACACAAACGAATGCGGGGATTTCCTCACAAACAGAAAATTTAAAATCTGGAATGGCATCCAATCCGTCTGTGTGAGATCTGGCTCTATTGAACAGTTTAAAACCCCGACTAGATTGTATCAGACATTATATTATCATCAGAAAGACTTATATTCGTAATACACATTTTTATACTGTTGCTAGCCTCATAGAAGTTAAATTATAAACTGAAATTACAGAAATTATATTATTATATTAATGTAACAGTTGCTAAAATGAGTATTATATGCAAAGATTATGAGCTATGTAATTCTTCATACATGTAATATCAGCTCTGGAGCTACTGACATATAAAGTAAAATTACACATTATTTGGCTACAGAGTTCTTCGGCATTATTGATATAAAGTTCCTAAGTATTTGACCTGCTTGGTTTTCAATGAATTTCTTGAGGTCTACAGAATATATTTCAAAAAATGAGTTTTTGTGGATAGATGTGGGATGTAACGTCCTATATTACTGTGAGATCGAAGATTATTTTTTCAACCCTTAATATAAATTCAGATATTTTATAGTAGAAAAATGTAGTGGGATCTACCAGCATATCACTATATGTTTAAACATCAATAATTTTACCAGTCTTATCAGATATTTTTACCAGAAACTTATGTTGGTTGGAGCTATTAGCGCTAATTTTGATGTTTTATTGTCTTTTTCTTACTATTATTAATTAAACGTATTATGCGAAAATATTTTGATTGATATGTCTATATCAATTTGTTGCATTTTGACAAGCCATCATTAAAATTAACTGGAATGAAGAAGCCTGTACTGTCCTTTCCACCCAGCCACTAACTCTGGTCGCCAGATTCAGCTTCATTTTGTTTATTAATCGCTTCGATCTCGAGAATTGAAACAATTTCTAACATTTTTCAACCATGTTCTTGAAGAAATCTTCTTTTCTACCTGATCAAAACTAATGAGATAAACAAAACCATAGTGATTTTCAATCTTGTTCTTACCAGTGAAAGTAATTGAATTAGACTGTTTCAACGTTTCAGATGCTTTGATGATTGTAGTAAAAAACAAATTATAGGGAGAAACTCTTTCCAATTTTTCCATCATTGTTCCCTTTCCGAAATTGGGAGCTCCTGGCTTTGTTTCATTTGACAATTTATGTGAAGTTGAAGAGGAGGAAGTACTGGGTACATTATTTCCTGAGGAAGTAGCTTTATTAGAAGTGGTTTGTTGTTTTGATGAGGCACTGATTTGCCTCAATATTTCCAACTGTTCTACATAGACATTTTTAGGCTGAGGCAGACCATCTGGTATAATAGCAGAATCACCCATTTTCATGAATTCATTTACTGTAAAAAATACTTTACACTAAAAAAAATTTTCGCATTTTATTGGTGATAACCTACAATGAGGATGATCATATTGTTTGAAGTGGTGTGGATTTTTACGGTAACAATTGTCAAAATGTGAACAAATTTCTTTCTTGTTTTTTTTCAGTTCCTTATCTGAAAATAACAAATATTTGAATTTTTTGAAAAATGAAGAAAGTTATTTAATGACCTGCTGAGTCACAATTTTTTCGTTTTAAAAAGCTCTCCATATTATAATTGGCCAATTTTCAATTTTGAATAATGCTGGCCATATGGTTAGAAAATTTTGAAACATTAAAAATTGATAACATAAACATAACCCTCTCAATCTCCAACCGCTTCTTCTGTTAATTTCTTTGGGATTGATAACTAAATTATTATCCAGTTCCAACGAATTTCACAAAAAGATTGCCGATTCCGACTATTTAGGCTCATTAATAATAACAATAATTTCAATATATATCTGCAATTTTGTCTAAAGTGCAAAATGACCATGGTTTATCTACAGTCAGCTTTCATTTTTTTGCAATAATAAAAACCGAAAGTAAAATGGTGTTTTATGTTTTATTTACGATTATGAATGATAATAATAATAATAATAATAATCACTCCTAAAAATAAAACCCCTTCAATTCGAATGGAAACGGCTTTTAGGCGAGTATGTGATATTGAAAGACTCTACCAATCAAGGCCCCATCATTAGCAACAATATATTGTCAAATTGAATGCGAGAATACTCGATAGTGAACTTGATATAAAATCATTCAGTCAACAGTATTCTAACTGTAAACATAAACTTTCGAGAGTTACTCTGTAACTTTTCCTAAATTTAGGACGATTGCTAAAGCCATTGCTGAAGCTAATGCAAATAAAATATAATATTTGCAAATGTTCGTATGTTACATGTTTTATCCGATCCGCAATAAAGTTCAGATATTTCATTTCCTCTGCTGCATTGCTGGTAAATATTTTCTCGGCAAAATTTTTATAAAATTTTCAAAATGCAAATAGATTCAATAGACAATAAATTGATGGATGTAGCCGTTAGTACGTGGTAGGAAATCATAATGAAGAAAAGAGAAATGAAACTTTCTATGTTTTTTACCACTTTCATTTGTAACTAACGTTACTGCAGTTTCGTTCTATACGTATAAGTTTGAAAATGTCCGTATAGGACGAAACTGCAGTAACGTTAGTTATACAAATGAAAGTGGTAAAAAACATAGAAAGTTTCATTTCTCTTATCTTCATTATGATTTCCTACCACGTAGTAACGACTACATCCATCAATTTATTGTCTATTGAATCTATGCGAACCCTGTACTCCCCTTATCTGCATCTCATATGTTGCTCTGTTCGAATCGTTTTATTGGTTGAAGCAATCCGTCAGAAATTTTCTGTTGCTTTCAATAACTAAAAGCTCTCTTCGTTAACCCATCGTTGAACTTCTTTGACATCACACTGAATGGCAATGTCATTGTCATAATTCAATCATTGTCAGTTTTGGCAAACTAACAAAATTTTATGTTATGAAATGAACCTGCAAATAAACCCGATTTTCACTAGTAGTAATAGTTTTTTTCTACTATACGGCAAAATTAATGAATGAATCCGCCATATCAATAAAGTTTGGTGTATATATCTTGAAAACGTGAGGCTGTCTGGGAGAAAATAAAAGTCAAGATGGTGATCAAGTTCAGAAAATGAGAAGATAAAAAAATCAGTTAACATGCATTTCAAAAGAAATCTTTTAGATAAAAGATGTTAGAAGAACAACAAATGGGATCACAAACGTTAGAAATTTTAAGGCAAGGCGTTTGGGCTTCACTCACTGGGGGGTGGTTTTATGATCCCCATCAAGATGTCTTTTGTAATACATTTCACCTATATATTTGGTTATTTCTGTTATGCCTTCCTCTTACCATATATGTGGTGAGTTGTTTGAATATGTCATTTATTGTCTAATTTTCTGTTCATAAAATACTTAACTGTTTTGATTGACCTCATTGCAATGTTTTGATTGACCTAATTGCATTGTTTTGAGGTCATGGACATTGATATTATTAATTGCCAGAAAGTAGGATTTATTTAATTTAAAACATATTTTCTCATTAATATCTAAAGAGGATTTCCAAATATTAAGATTTGAATTAATGCCATTTTCAAATTTTGAAGATGATTAATAATTTGGTTCAAAATATGAAATAATATTCATGAGAATCTTCAGTATGTACACTGAAAAAAATTATAATTGAAGATCAGGGCATGTATAAAAAATAAATGTCATCTACACATATAAAATAGAGTTGGTTCAGTCTTTTGGTAAATTCAAGTCTCAACTCTGGAGGACTCACATTATGAGCATTTTTTTCAAGCTTATCATCAAATGTTTATATTTAGAAACATGACAATGGTAGAGGGGTCACTCCCCCTCTAGAACTTTGTAGAGGTGCACTTTAGGATTATTACAAATGGTTGACATTCAGTATATATTGTCGATTTAAGTTGCTGTTAAAATTTGGATTTGCCAGTTCTTATGTTATGATTTTTCATAACGTTTTGTCATAGAAAATTGTGGCAGTTCATTATTTTTTGTTATATAGACTAATCTAGCTGTATGTTCTTTTCTTTCAAGACCCCTGAAATGAACCGAGCAAAGTGAACTCTAATTGCAAAGGTGATATATTCTTGTATAGCTTTCTTGAAATTAGTTTTTTATACCTAAAAGGAACATTCTTTGGGTATCATTACTTTTAGATACCTACCCTATTGTGAAAATGGTTCATTTCAGCTGCCTTGACAACCTTTATATATTTATTGTAAAATTTTCGAAAGGAAATATTTCTGATAAAAATAATGAAATCAGCGGTTTGGATACCTTTTACTATCCATTATTATTTTCCATTATTTTTTTAATTAAGATTTGCCGTAGAATAATGCTTTAACTCTGTTGAGTAAAGTTAATTCATTTCATTTATTTTTTTTTCAGTAAAGAAATGTAGTTGATTTGTTTTTTGCAGATATACCAGATATATAATTTCTCTGTTTATTGTATCTCAGAGGATATTTAAATCTTGAGTTGAACAATAATAATTTTTAAGAATTTAGTTTCCATTCAAAGTAAATCTATGAATAATCACAATATCCGAAATCTACTATCGACATGTTGTTTTATATTATATTACAATATTTGCATTTTTCCAGTATTTTCCACCAACATGGTATGTTTGGTATTTCTATTGTGGATCAGTGACTTTGGGCCTTACCATCCTGAAACTAGCAAATTATGGCCTTCACCACATGTATGACACTACAGAGTGCATACAAGAAGAAGTTGAAGAAGATTGGAGACAACAACGAAAGTATGTTATTAATTGTGTATTAGAGATCGCAATTAACACATTTGTGATGTATGTAAATGTAGAGTAATGGTGCTAACTAAAATGGATCCTCGTGGTACCCCAAACGTAACAAATTAACTTTTTGAAGCTGCATTATTGAAAGAAACCTTTTAGTAACAACATAATATAATTCACTAACCATTATTGTTATTACCCCTGAATTACTTCTTATTCTTATCAATTATTTCATCAACTTGAATTTACTAGTTATAGCTATCTCGACTGATGAAACTGTTCTAGAATTATGTTAATGATAAATTGAAAGGGGGATATTTTTCAGATGAGATCATATGTGGGAAAAACAGCATTTTGGCTCTCTACTTCTTTATGGATAAAATGTGTAAATCTTCTGACGGAAGAAAGAAAGATGTTAAATTCAAAATGAGATCTTTTCAAAATTTTGTAGGTCATGCATAGAAATTGCATTCAGATAAAAACTGCGTTCCAAGGAATGTAAAAAGTGATTTTTCATATAATTCAATGCTCATATGAAAATAGTCGTTTTCGAAATTACTTTTCCTTCAGTTTAATTCAATGTGCATAATGCACAGGATACCCCATAATTGTTTTACGCAAAAATTATAACTTCAGAAACTGACTTACCTACACATGAGAGGCCAGTGTTTGGTATACCCTTCAAAACTTGGGCATATCATATACATTTCTCCGGAAAATGGTTACTATTCTGATTCCCACCTCAGAGTATGTGTTTGTAGAGTTGCTTCAGGACTTTATCTGCAGGTGGCGCAATGGTACAACCTAATGAAGCAACTGCAAAAAGAGCTTAAGACTAGTTGGAATTGATTTTGTTCATTCGGGAAATTCAGACGGTTCACTCCGCCTTAAATAATCCATCTGGCACTGACAAGAAGCTAGTACTTCAAAACCAGTCTGTCTGTGGTCATTCTGACCAAATGAAATTATTTCAGCATTTAGAATTAGAATTTATTTGTTCATCACTGAAGAATTTACATATACATACGAGAGATTACATAGATACATGCAAAAAACTTATCGGACTAGTCACAAGCCAAGATAAAAAATTCAGAAGTATACAATTTAAAATATGAAAAGTATACATACAATTGGATTAAAATTCTCTACAATGTGGCCTCTAAAAACTCTTCAATGGAGTAAAAGGATTGATTCATCAGATAACGAGTCAGATTATCCTTTTTTGTTGTAAATATCATGAAGAATGTTTTTGATAGGTTAACTAATAGTCCATTGAACGATTATGAAAAGCATTGCCACAAATGCTTTCTCTGGGAACAGTTTTTTTTTTCAAATTATTTTCTGATATGAGGATATTAGTGTCATCAGCATACATGATACATGACAATTTTTCGAGCATTGGGACATGAGTTCACCATTTCATTGATAATAATAATAATAATAATAGGTCTTTATTCCCATAATGATACAATAAATGAACGGGAAAGGCTGTCAGTTGGTTGCACCAAAAGATGCAACCTCTGTTTTTCATCTTGATAAAAATTATAAAGAGAACAGGTCTCAAGATTGAGCCTTGAGGGACACCAGTATTTACAGTTTTTTCTGTTTTCATACATCTGTCTGTCTGTTTAATCTCTGTTCAAAATCTGTTTTTCCGTTAATCAGCTGTCGCCCCCATACGAACGACAACTCTCAGAAATTGAGAAACTTGTGCGAGCTAAGGACTAACGAGGTCTTGCCTTTTAACGTGTGATTCCTAACACTTCCTATGTAGGAAGTTACTTGCGACGAATTTTCCAAATGGAAGACGTTGCACAGGTACCTGATGGTTTTACTTCAGCTTTCTGTGTTGCATTATCTGGTTTAGCTGTTGTTTTTATGTCGGGTATCCGACATGAGAGGCAAGGGTTTGGTACCTTGAATATGTTATGGATTTTCATTGAATACTGGCCAATTCCATCACATATAAGTTTTTTTATTTGTAAACAAAGTGTCTGAGTATTGAAGTCAGATGATAGAAAAATATGAATAAATTGTATTTTTCATTTAATAACTTTTTATATATAAATAGTACCTGGATCAACAGTAACTATTTTTTGACTATAACATGAAACAAATTAATGAGTAAAGATAAATGTCATTTATTGGTGAATATCAAAGTGATTTTTACATATGCTTACATTATAGAATTGAGGTACATTAGATTTGTGAAAGGAAAAGAGTTGTGAGAATGATTTGATGTTTTCCCAAATAGTTTTTCCGGGTATTTGAATTTGGTAGGTTGTCCTTAAGCTCTTTCCCTACATAATGCCTGCTGGGTCTCCAAGTTACTTTCATTTTTTGCAAAGCAGTTTCCTAAGTTTGACAGTCTCTTCTTCATAGGTGTGAAACAAATATTAAATGTTACATTGAATGATATGACAGCATAAATCACAAGCACTACAAATCAACAAATTGAATAATAACTTTAATACTTCATTAATTCTCGACTTCTATAGATTGACCTCCCAACTTTCTTTTAAAATCATTACAATCAACATTTTCTCAGGGTAGAGGAAGGAATTGAAATGCAAATATTACCGTCAGGATCAAACAAATCCTCCAATCAACCTGGCCACTCGGGTATGAGAGCAGTTGCTTTCTTTCCTGAGATTGAAGGAGGACCTTCACACAGTACTGATGCCGAAAGTTTGGAATCTACAGATTTTCAACAGCTTGATGCTGCTGAAGGAGGACCAATAGGAAAACCTAGTGGTACCATCGGTAAGTGTCTCATAACATTTGCTTCTAGCTTTGCATTTTAACAGGTGGTGTGGGGAAATTTTCATTTCAATCTTAGTTATATTCAGTTTCATTTGTCAATGTATCGACAATACGCGTGGTTGACATATCTAGAAGTGTAAGGGTGGTCCCAGAAGTACCCAGCCTGACCTAGAGATGGCGGTAGTTTGTTTGCATTAGAAAATACATAATCTATAAAGCACATGTTTCAAGTTTGAAGACGCTGCCTTGTTTAGAATTTGTTTGGGAGCCATCAATAGCAAACCTTTGCCGTGAATTTGTGAAAATGGAGAAAATTGGTCATCGTTATGTGCTACAATACTTTAATTTGAAAGGCCTCAGCCCAGCCAATATGAAAGCTGAACTGGATTATATTCTGGGTGAGCCTATTTCTTCGTTCATAACAGTAAAATATTGGATAACAGAGTTTCACCAAGGCCGTACGAGTTGCCGAGACGAACACCGTGGTGGTCGATCGTATGAGGTGACGACTCCAGAAACAGTAAAAAAATCCACAAAGAGGTACTGAAAGATTGTCGACTGTGTACAAGATGGGTGCCGCGTTTGCTCACGCATGAGCAAAAGCAGCGTCTGAAGATGTTTCAATTGAATGTTTAGCGAACTTTCACAACAACAAAGCAGAATTCTTGCGTCGTTTCATAATCATGGATGAAACATGGGTTCATCACTTTTTGCCTGAGACAAAAGAACAAACAAAACAGTCGACTCGAAAAGGGAGAACCGGCTCTAAAGAAGGTGAAGACCGTTTCATCTACAGACAAGGTCATGGCGTCGGTTTTTTGGGATTCGCGTGGGATAACTTTCACTGACTATTTTATAAAAGGTAAAACTATCAACGGTGGATATTACGCGACTTATTGTAACATTTTAGTTAAGAAATCAAGCAAAAACGGTTAAGAAAAATTGTTGTTTCATCAAGACAATTCACCGGCTCACAAATCAAATATCGCAATAACCAAAATTAATGAATTAAGGTTTGAATTCCAACCTCATGCACACTATTCGCCAGATTTAGCCCCTCGGATCATTTTCTGTTCCCAAACTTGATAAAATGGCTCAGTGGTCATTTTCCAACAATGAGGAAGTGATGTCGGCATTAATGGCTATTTTGAGTAGCAAGACAGTTCTTATTATAGAAAGGTATCAAACTTATTGAACGTCGCTGGCAAAAGTGTATAGAGCTGCAAGGAGATTGTGTTGAAAAATCTGTAATCAGAATAAAGTCAAGTGATCCAAGTTGAGGAAAACGTTATTAATGAAAAAAAACACTATGTTTCAGAAATGAATTTTGGAAGCAATTAAAATCCAGTAGAAATTATTTTCAGACTTAGATATACAAATAAATTTTATTATTTCATTAGACATAGTACTTATTAATATTTTTTCAAATTATAAAAAAACTTTTTCAAATTATAAAAAACTTTTTCAAATTATAAAAAACTTTTTCAAAACAGTTATTTCCATCTTAGGAGGTTTTAACGCCTTAGCCTCTTCTGTCATTCGGCTCTAATTTTATCTAGAGATTTCTCTGTTGTGAATAGTCTAAGTCTGAGCGGTATTATAGTTGAGTATTTTTATCTTGGGTTTCGAAATTATTTTCAATTTCAAATTTGTTGCATTTTTTTTAAAGAAACATACTCAATATATGTACTACTTATAGTCAGTTCATTAATTATTTTAAATTTGACTCTGTGTTACTCTCTGAAGTTCAGACTAATTCAAATTCTAGCTTTCTATTGCAAAATAAAAACTTTCAACTAGATTGTTTTTTCCTTTTTTGTTGATAGCCAATGTGTACCAATTTCTTCAGATCATTTGAATTTTCGCAGAGATATTTTGTCAGTTCCATTGAATAAAGAAAATTAATGTGTTCACAGATCTCAAAGCCGAAGTTCATCGTAAGAACTCTTCGGAAAGTAGTGAAGAGTTTCCTTGTACTTCCATAATAGAAACCGTATCTCATCGAGCTGATTCTTCAGAACCTCGTAAAATGAAACGTTTATCTGATCGGCGTAAACAGCGCTTGAAGTCAGACGGATTGGTCACGTTCTCCGTTAAGGATGAGAAGTCATCACACAAACTACAACTTGAAGATTCTCCAGAAATGAGACAAAGACCTTCTTTAACTAGTGTTGAATGCGAGCCAGGAGGATCATCGTCTCATTTCGCCATGGTAGAAAGTGGTGGAAGACGGCATTCAAATTTCACAAGTATGGGATTTTTAACGTCTTCTGTTCAAGTCGATATCAAGCCAACAGGTTAGTTACATAAACCATATGTTATCAACAGGTTAGTTACATAAACCATATGTTATCAACAGGATTTAAAAATGTTCACAAAAAAGTTTTTGTGGATTGGTTTGATACTTTTTTTTATATTAATATACCAATGCTTAGGGATATACAACACGGCAATTTTACAAAATGTCTCAATTGGAGTATTTTTTCAAGTTTTGCTTGGCTCTCAATTTTTCTGCAAAATTTTTTTCTCTAACTATATGTTCATTGTAAAAAGGCATTTCAATAAATAAATAAATTAAATTGTTCTCAGTTAACCATCAGCATGAATTATTACAATTTCAAACTCTGGTCTACTTCCTGTATATGGTAGTTTTGTGATTCAGATAAAAAAATCAATGTACTTATTGAATTCATTTTCAAATGAAAATATATTTTTTGCTGTCTTCAGGTTCTTTGGAACTTGGCTACATAGACAAAAATCCAAATCAATCACTTACTTCTGAGGGGTTTTATTTCAAGCCAAATGTTATTCGAGCTCCTACTGCTATGGGTGTTCGTCGTATCCGGTCCACTGTTTTAGAAACCTGTTGTCCCGCGCCTTCCCTAGCCCCGCACCCAAATAGTTTGGAGGTCATCGGAGGTAGTAAGGTAATTATATTGTTACTACACTTTTATTCTATTCAATAATAGAACATATTTCTTCATAATATAGTTTATATTTTAACAGTAGAAAGCCTACCTATAAGACTAGAGAAATAATGAAAAACAGTCAATTCCCAAAAATATTCCCATTTACATACTATATGAAAATAGGGATAAAGCATGTGGAAATTTTTAAAATAGTTCTGTTTAAAGTTTTTAACATGCTTAAATTTGAAAAATCCAAAATAATGAAAGCTTAAAATTGGTAACTGTTCACGTGACTGAAAAAAATGGGGAAAACCCTCAAAACATTAATTATATCTAATAATGCTCCGTTTTCTGAAGTAGTTGTGTTTGAGATGCAAAAAGTTGGGTCAAATTGAGACAGGGCGGAATTATTCAACAATGTTTTGATGAGAAGTAATAATAATAATAAATGTCTTACAATGAAGAGACCCTTTGAGTAACTTCCATAATCTAATTTCGCAAAAATTCAATTGTGCAATTACCATTCAAAATTCAAAGAACAAAAATGTAAAGCCTTGGATTATGAAAGCTTTCCGAAAAATATACTAGCGCTGTATTCATATAGTACATGTCAATCACACCTGATTTGCCTTCCTAAACCTACACTAGTACTTAAACAAAATGAACGTCGGGCGAAAACAGAGCGAAAAGAGATTTAGAAATAATGTAAAAGAATATCTTGTTGGCCTATTATAGTGTGTATGAATTCTACCAAGGTACCACAAGAATTTAACTTTCATTAAAAATAGACTAGCCGAATTGTACAATAATTTTAACTAATTACAACTAACTGTAATAGTTATGGAAGATTATTTAAATGACTATGTTTTTATATAATTTCGATTTAAAAAAAATGATTGTATTGTTATATTTCTTCTACAATTATTAATTTCATCTGTATGTATTATCCTACATGTATACTTTTTATTTATATTTTCCGCAATACTATCAATAGGAACACATTCTTGAGACAATAAAGTATATTTTAAATAGAATTAAATTGACGTAATTCATGCAAAGTTTCAGTTCTCCTTAGGATATATGTTGATATTTTTATAAAATGTTTGTGTCAACATCTAATATTCAACAAGAAAAATTGTTAACTAAATGACACATTCTTCTGAAGACTTCAACAGTAATGAAGTTGACATTTTAAGTCATCTTTGACTTTCACTTTCAAGGTAGAAAGAGCAAAACATTATTATTGAAGCTATAAAGTTCAAAATCTTCATTTATGAGGAAAATAAAATGTGAAATGAAATCATTATTATCTCTGACAAGGCCTCTACCAGGAACCCACTGCCCCCACCTAGTACTAGCTTAACAAGAAATCAGCATTTGAATCTGTGTCCTTACTATGGATCAGAAATTGTGTATCCTATAGCTGAACAATCCGATGAACATCAAACTTCGCATGGACCTGACACTGATATGGAAAGTTTAGCGCGAGGATCAGACTCTGAGTTTGAAGATAACGGTCAGGGCAAGTAATTTTTTCATAATCCCTCTCACAAGTTGAAATAAAATGCTACAAGAACGACAATTCTCATAGTTTCAATTGTAGGTAGTCACAGTCCCCTGATTTACATGAAACTCAATAAAATGAAAAGTGTGCCTTATCCAACTAGCGCTACTAATGTAAAATATCAACACCATCTCCCGAAAACACCGATTGAAAAACAGCTCATGATGCCGTATCCCCTTCACATCAGTCAAGATGATCAAGAACGTACCAACTCAAAGGACCACCTTATTGATCACGAGTGAGTATTATTTTCATTGAAATTATCAGATCAGGTCACTGGATAGAAACATTAGAGATAGTAAACAAAAGGTTGCCACTTTTAATTGTAACTGAAATTACTGCAGTTTCGTCCTGTAAGAACATTTTCAAACTTATACTTTAATGTTTACATTATTATATACTTATACATTACTGTATTATATAAGGACATTTTCATACTTATACATATGTATAAGTTTCAAAATGTCCTTATAGGACAAAACTGTAGTAACTTCAGTTACAAATAAAAGTAGTAAAAAACAGAAATTTTCATTTCTCTTTTTTCTTGAAATTATTGTTGTTTTTCGTAGTTATTCACTACAAAAAAGCTACCTTGTTAGCGAAACATGTCGTAATATTTTTAAAAACATGAAGTTTGTGGAGATCAAATAGTAAGGTGTAGTTTATGAAATTACTATGGATCTTCATGAAGTAACGGTTGGATCAGTCAGAAAAATGTGAGAGCCATTTTGAATACATTTGAATAACAACCTGAAAAAAATGACTAATCAAGAACAACAGTGGCTCGATTATTATGTCAAAAATTTATTTCACAGTAAATATTTCCATTTCTGTGAAATAGGATGTATCAAAAGGAACCAGACTGATCGTGTTGATACAAAAGGTACAGGGAAGTGAAACACTTTGATCCCGACAGAAAATGAAAAATGTTCATCAGATTTCTTGTGGATTGTTAGCTTTTTCATTCGATGCATTTGTAAGAGTAATAGTTTTGTTTCCAGGTGTTCTTCTTTTATTTACCAATCTATTATTCATTATTTCCTGAACTTGTTTAGTTTTGTTACTAGAGTTCCTATTTTTTTAAACGTAATAGTTACTTTCTTCTTTTCAATTTGTGTTCTTTCATTTTTTCGTTATAAATCTGCATAGCTTGAGGGTAGAAATTAACCATAACATTTCTCTTGAAACTTTGCTCTCATCAATTGATGATTCATCTGAAATCCACGAGTTTGATTGATTTTTCTTATACCTAATTCTCATAATCATTATTATTATGTTCATAATAATAATGAATATATTATAATTTTAATCATCATAATTAAGTTTTTTACAGGGAATTCAATTCATTATCAAAGTTTTTTCCCTTCAGCAACAACTCTAACTCGAGTGCAACGCCGGATATGCACGACGCAAGAGCAGAGTTTTACATCACCGATAACGATGTCAGCGATAGAAACCTATCCTGCAGCAATACTAGCATGGAGTGTGAAGAAAAGTCAACTGAAAAACGTCTATCAGATAAAAAACGACAAATGAGAAAACATGGTGAGGAGGTGGAAGAACGCGGACCTATGATCATTAGAAAGAAACAAGTAAAGAAGAATAGAAGAAGAGGTAAGGGCGAGAGAAGCAAAGGTAGAGGAGGAGAATGTCGTCGACAGGGAAACTTTTCAAGCTTGATGGAGCTAGATCTGGATTGGTTGTTTGAGGACGAAGGGCATCATCTGCAACATAGGAAAGGTAAAGTATTTGCTACTTTTATTTCAAGGATCACTCTGTAACTATGGAAGTGGTTCAGAATTGAAAGTAGCTGTCTTGAATTAGGCAAACTTCTATATGAAGAACGAATTTTTTCGTTCATCTGGAAATACTTTATGGTATGAGTACTACATTCTCTATTGAACTTTCAATAAATCAGTATCAAATGAGAATTTTTCCAGTTTTTCAAATAGCCATTGTTTGAAGGTTGCAAGTGATGATGACATGTTTAAGTCTTTCGCGGTCGAGGTTTTCAGTGTCACTATTTTCCGGGTTTGAAGGCAGTGGATTTTTGACTAGTCAGCTGTGGCAGGACACGCACTCAGTGATGGAAACCACAAGATTCTGTTTGAAAAGACGGAACTTTATGCCCCTGACCAGAGATACCATAGCCGACAGGTACGGTAGGCAATTGAAATCCACAAACACACGGATAATTTCAACAGAAAAGAAGAAGCTGTAAACGTCAATTGAATATGGAATCCCATTCTTAGAAGTTCAAGAATAGCAAACAGCATGACGGCAGGTAGAGAGGGTCAAGGAATGTTATTGACAAATCCAGGTACAGGTATTATCACAGCAAATTACCTGAAACATAAATATGCTTTACGTAATTTACCTAAGCCAGATACAGGTAAGAGCACACCAAACTATCTGAAGAGTCAACATAAATATGCGTTACGCAGCGGTAATCTCTTATCATCGGAGACATCAACTCTGAATGTATAAATCTCTGAAGAAGCTAGCCACTCGCGCCAATGAAACGTCAGGTAGAAATTACAAAAATCCACGACCTTCGATCCTGGAAAATAGTGACAGTTACAAGTGATATTGAGAATTTTTCTCATCAGTTTCAGTTTGTTCACAAGCGACTTCAAAGTATTCAGCATGTTTGTTTCACCAATTATCAGCACAATATTAGAGTAGCCGTATTGTCAGCAAAGCTACTTATATTACCTTCATAACCAATTTTGGACATACATTTTAAATAATCTGATTCATGTTCATTAATTTAATAATTTTGACACGATGCTTTCATTTAATTAGATAACTCTAAATTTGTGTTTGTGCATACGTTGCATGATAAAGTAGGATACATATAATATGAAATTGTTTATTGTAAATGATTAGAAAATAATAGAAAAAAATAATGATGATTGGCAGAAGACGAAACGTCGGATAGTAAATCTGAACATGAAAAGGTGTAGCTGAAAAAAAGTATCAATGAAAATGTGTTTTTGGTTTTGAGCTATGTTGTCAAAAACGATAGTAAAAAATAAAATTCCGATTTTCAGATATTTCCGGAAATACTCGAAATTTTCCAAGTTTCAAAACAGTATTTTGTTGAGAACAAAAAACGCAACTTTGTCCCAATTTAAGCTTTGACGTGTCTCCTGCAGTTTAGGATATCCCAATGGTGTGGGTCGAATTTGAATTACCCTGTATTGTATCAGAGGATATTGTTTTAAGATATAGTTTTAATAACACCGATATAGAAAATGATTGACTGATGCACTTATGTATAATAATAATCGTTTATTAGCACATTACTTATTCACAGTAAAAATGCAATTACATAAGATAATTGAAACATAATTTTTATTCAGTACATTTATGAAAAAAATTCACAATAGGTGAAAAAAAGAATGAAAAAAAAAAAGAAAACTCCTGGTTGAAAAGCCTCAATGGCTTGAATTGAAAGGGGTATATTTTTAGGAGAGATGAATTCTTGGGAAAGAAAATTTTTGGTTTTCTATTTCTCCATTTTTATATATAAAACATTTTTGAATCTTCCAAAGAAAGGAAGAAAGCAAATAATTCCAAAATAAACTCTTTACAAAGATGTCTAGATCATACAAAGAAGTAACTTTCAGACACAAACTGTAGGAATAAGCCCTCATCAAACAACTACTTTCATATAAACATTGAATTACATGAAAGAAAAACGCCTTTGAAACAACTACTTTCATATGAACATTGAATTATACAATAACACTTTTTTCTATTCAGTTTATATTCCAAACATTCGTTATGGAACTGAATCATATATCATTCACAGGATCGCTATACAATATAGTATATGACAGGTAAAATTTTACTTACATGGAACACCGTCTCCTCAATGGCGGATATCAATGTTTCGAAATAAGACACTTGTCTTATTGCCTCTTAAGTAACAATCTGGACGAACATTACAACTGTTGTTTTACTCATTGTTAGAATGTTCTACTAAAATCAATATTCTCGTTCAATAAAGTATTTCTGATTGTGATGTTATGACTGTTTTTGTAGAACCCTTGAAACGAGACACTGAATGGTCCAGTGCCACAACGGTATCCTTAGAACATGATGTGAGTAAGGTGCTCCAAGAAACGGTTCCGTCCACCCGTAGTCTGGGAGCCATTCCTAAGAGAAATCGTGCCACCTCCGTAGATCAGCCAATACCATCAGGAATGCTGAAACCTCCGAAAAGTGAATCTGAAAAATGCAGTGTCTGTAGGTGCAAACCAATTTCCAAATCTGAAGACGGGAAGGATGGAAGATTAACAAAAGAAAATAAGTTAACCCAGACACAAACGCGACAGTCTGAGAGTCCAAGCCCCGTGGAAGGATTGGAATGCGTTGTTTATTCCCAAGCTGCTTCTAAGATGGCCCGAACCGGATCATCAAAAAAGGGTGAGCTTCATTTGAGTGACATTTCGGTTTTATAATTCGAATATTGAGCTCTGGAAAAATATTGATTACTGCCACAAGAAACCGTAGTCACTCACACACATTCAAATAGTAGTTGTTTCATTTATTTTTGTATTGATATTTTTGGGAATTTTCACCTCCACAGTCCGACAAAAAAAACTCTAATGGAGAACTTTTAACAGGTGTAGAAACGAAGAAAACTATGGTGTTCATAAGTACATAGTTTATATTTGATAATTTTGTCTATTAGAAAAAGAGCGAGCTAAAAATGTTGTAGATATTGTTAATTTTTTCCCGTGGGTTCAATAATCGACTACACTGTGCAATTGAACTTAACTTCACAGGTACACTGATAGTACAACACAAAAACTTAACTGAATTTCATACTAATAATCGAATGTCTATCGCCTTGTTAGCTCACTTCGTACCGCACTTTCAACTAGACTTGCTTCATCTGCCTGTTGGTAGTGTATATATGTCGTAATGGAAGTCTCTGGAAGCCGATAGGAAAGTTTCTGGAAGCCTCTCGAAGCGAAGCAATGTCTAAAACGATCGAGAATCGCAACTCGATTGACGGCGGCGATTGACGGCGGACGGCGTTATTTTGTTTCAGGGGATAATTTATACTAATTTAATTCAGACGAAAATCTGCCGTAGTCTTCAGAATTGAAAAATCAACTGTATCTTGTAGTTTTCAATGTGTTTGTCAATAATATATCTTTCTTAGACTGTAAAGTACAGTGATTGAGTGATTGGTAAATTTCCTTCCCAAATTCGTCCCATTTACAAACTTGATCGAAATATGACAGTGGAGACTTGAAATACATTGATTGACTTTTGAAATATCTGATGTAGTATTAGATGTTTTTGTCTATTCCAAAAGCGATGCAGTTTTTTGAGCAGTTTGAAATGCATTTCACCCCAGCACCGCACTCTTTAGACTTATCAGAAGCAGCAATTGGTTTATTTGAGGCATATTTACTTGGACGGAAACAAAAGGTGTGTATTGACAACTATAAACCTTAAATCCGGTGTCCCACAAGGCTGTATATTAGGACCACTTCGGTTGACTTTTTATACCTAAACAATTCTGAAATCTTTTGAACATTGCATTGCTCACTGCTATGTCAATGATAAACAAATTCATTACAGTTTTTATTCAGGGGATGTGGAAATGGTCTGTAATTTCATTAATGAAGATCTTCACAACTTCATACAAATAGCATCAGACCATTGTCTCGTGATACATTCTGGTAAATCTAACATAATGTTATTTGGTCCAGAAAACAATTTACCGTTTTCTTGATATATCAAATCTACCATTGATAATGACCAATTAGCTCTTGTAGAAGACACAAAAAAATCTTGGAGTGGAGATGGATTGTAATTTAAGATTCGAAAAACACATAAATAAACTTGTTCAGAGATTTTATCTATCCCTGGAAACATTATATGAGGCCAGGCATTTTTTAACGACGGATATAAAACTACTTCTGTGTGAATTGTTAGTATTGTGTATTTTTAGTTTTGTCAACTGCGTTTACCGCCCTAATATGTATCATGAGTCGTGTTCAAAAGTACAAAACGTTCAAAACTTTTGCCTGAGACTTATATAAGGTGTTCGAAGATGCAAAAGAATTTCAAATAAACTAATTACTGCTGGATGGTTGCTAAAGAAGAAGAGAAGACTTTCAACTGAATTTTTCAAATATTGTTCTTCACATCAAATATGCACGATATAAACTCTTTACCTTTGGAACCCAAATGTCTATAGTTCACAAAATTCAAATTTAAATACAGGAAATGTCTTTTTAGTCAATATTAACTTTTTTTCTTTTTTCTGGAGTAGAATAAATCCAAAACAAGCACTTTTCCCAATCATCAGAAATGCAATACTCTTCTTGTCACACGTGTCATCAACCTATAGCTATGGGGAGACGTCTACCTGAAATGACCTCAAGCCACGCATTTGTGTTGCTCACAAAGGTAGTCACACTTAACGCCAATTAGATCCTCATTAGATTGAGGAAAATGTACCATGGTCTGTCAACCTGCCCAGTTTTTCAGCTTTTTGCTGTCCCACTCTTGCTAAATAACCTGAAAGGTTACTCACCAAATAAAGTATTTGACTTGGTTGACAAGCTGGAATTTTTTGGGTGAGTTTGAATAGTTGTGCGCCACAATAAATCCTCCCGGATTATAGTAGATGGTCGAATAGACCCATTCAATTTAGACCTACCTAACATCTATATAATTCATAGCTCGCTAATTTTTTTTATAGACAAAATCATCAAACATCTGGTTGACAGCACATTTTTCTTTCTGAAAAATACATCGAATTCATGTCAAAATATGAATGTTGATCGCTGGTTAAAAATTATTGATATATTGATATAGGTTCCAGCAACAACTCCAAAAATGACCCTCAGATCAAAAACGAAGAGGCTTCATCAAGCGGATCCAACAATGAATTGAGTACACTTTTACCACCTGCTCCTCTTCTTTCTGCCTTCTTGAATTCAAGACGGGAATGTCCTGTGGCAGTGTACCCGACAATTGCTGGGACGGAAATTCGCTTGGATCGACCAAATCAAAACCGTATGAGACTGAAGAGGGTGAGCAGGGTTAATAGAAGAAGGTAAGATGAAATTATCATTCTGATTTTTTCAAATCATATTAAACTTGAAAGAGACCAAATGACCCAAATATATTAACAGAAGACAGCCCAACAGATTGTGTTATGTACTTATTTATTTATAGCATTGCATATTTTTTACAAAATAGTTAACAAATTCTCAAATATATACTGTAAAAATAATTTTTCTACACCCGTACTCTAACAATACACTTATATGACCATAATCCGTTTCATAATGATATCCATTATGATACAGATTTTTCATAACGATACAGATTATCAACCAATAGAAACCCATAATTTTTCAATCAAGAATCCTGTTCCTTTGTTTGTCCTAGATTCTAACCTAAGTAACTAATTGCTTTATTTGTCAAAATCAGTTTTCATATTACCTACCTATATTATCAAAATGTCTGAAAACAGCGATATAGAAGGAATACCATCGACTCCAATATTTTTAAAAGATCAGATTAATTACAGTTGTTATATTCAATATAAATATAATTAGAATCTTTATAGTTTTCATATATCCATGATAATACCATTAAGTTTGTGTTTTTTTTTAAAAAATATGAGTTAATTACTGTAAATGTGTTCAATACAAATATAATATTTATAGTTTTTCATTATTTATCGGATTTAGAAAAAATAGCGTATGCAACTCTCATGTAATGGTTATTAATACATTCGCATATAGTATACAAAACTCGCCTTCGGTTCGTTTCGTATCCCGGTTAATGCTCGTGTCTTGATAACCATCATTACATGATCGTTGCATAATATACTATTATAACTATCCGTTAAATGTAAGGAAAATATATATAAAAGAGGCAAAAATTAACCAATCAGTTACCAAATCACCATATTTTCAGTTTTTTTAAATGATAAAAAAATAATAATAAAAAAGTTCGAAATCTACATTGTATGTGTTTGCAAGTCTCAAAATTTGACCTATAGACTCACTATGGCCATAGTTGTTATAATAGAGTACTTTGAAAATTTCTGCATTCCTTGTTCTCTTTGGATTCATATTTAAAGTTATAAGTTCAACAAGTTCCGGTGAAATGATTGTTTTATGAATTAGTGTAAGATCTGTTTCTAATCTATGAGCCAGAGTATTCAAGTTGAGAATGTCCAATATAATTTTATATTTATATTCACCAAATGAAATAACTGTTTTTTGCAGAGTACATACCTCATAAACTCTTATTGAACACTGTTCATATAAGGTGGATATTGATATGGGCTAAATTGTGGAGTTGTTTTCGATTGTTGATATAACAATTGAATAATTTATAATTCAGTTCTGATCGCTTGTTTTTATAAGTACGATTTGAGGCATTTTTGTTTAAAAGAAAGAAAAAAATGCCGAAGAATTATGTAAACTGAGACCCATCTCAATACTTCCCGTAATCGGCAAAATATTTGAAGCAGCTCTGAAATTGCAGTTAGTAGAACACCTTGAGGTACATAACATCATTCCAGATTACCAATACGGTTTCCGGAACGGAAAATCAACCACGGACGCTGTAATGCAGCTGGTAGATAAAATCGTCGTAGGATTTCAGAAATATGTCCACACAGGAACAGTGTTCTGCGATCTTCAGGCGGCATTCGATTGTGTGTCACATGAAATTCTGCTTAAAAAATTGGAGAGGTTCAAATTTGAGGAAAACTCAATTAACCTTGTTAGATCATACCTATCGGAACATAGACAATACGTTTTTTTGAATAATAAGGCATCTGATACCAAAGAAATAAAAAACGGAGTCTACCAAGGTTCGGTTTTGGGACCAGTTCTATACTTGATTTATGTGATTGATTTCAAAACTGAAGATGACTCTGAAATTACGCAATTTGCTGACGACACGTCATTAACGCTCCAAAACACAAATTACGAGGCTATAGTTGAAGAAATGAAAGTAGCAGTATCGAATGCTAATAGATGGCTGACAAATAATAAATTAAAATTGAATACAAATAAAACGCAACATTACTTTTTTACACACAAACAACTGCCTATAGACCAAAATGAATCGATTAAATTTCTTGGATTCCAAATGGATCCAAAGCTCTCTTGGGAAAAACATGTAGATTTTATTTGCAAAAAATTGGCAACGAGCATTTATATTATAAGAAGTTTAATGGGCATCTCATCTATTGAAACCATTATCACTGCTTATCATTCACTTTTTATGTCCCATGTATCTTATGGTCTAGTACTCTGGGGGCACTCGCCTCATGCAAAAAGAGTGTTTGGACTGCAAAGAAAAGTTTTGCGAGTTATCTTCAAACTGGGATATCAAGAAGACGTTAAAACAACATTTATTAATAATAAATTATTTACATTACCTTCTCTTTACGTCTATTCATGTATAAATTATGTAAAAAAAATCCTCACTTATACCTGAATCAAAACGATTTTCATTCACATAACACCAGACAAGCACAACAGATTAAAATTGAATTCACAAGACTAAATCACTGCCGTTTTTCGAAAAATTATTATGGTCCTATTTTATTTAACAAACTACCAGAAGATATAAAAAACTTAAATACAGCCTCGTTTACAAATTATATGAAGAATATCTGCCTGGAAAACGCTTTTTATAGTATCGACAAATTTTTATCATTTGACTTCAACACCAAATAATATTTTGAATTTACAATATACGTAGACAGTGATATTTATATTGAAATTGTTCACATCTCATTTCCTTATTTGTTTATTTTTTATTTATTTACACATTTAGTGTTTTTATGATATTCTTATGGTATATGATATTTGACAAAACCTTATAATACTATTGTATTTTTTTATGGCGAATAAAGAATATTCTATTCTATTCTATTCTTCTTTAAGAAAAAAGTAAATTTATGACATTTGTCTATATTCAATAGTAATAAGTTTATATCACAACAGGGTACAAAGTTAGATAAATCGTACACTGTAATAATTCAGTATCAGATGAGTCATGAATAACTTGAAACAGAAGAATATCACTATAGAGATCAATGACATTCAAGTCATTTACAAATAGGTTGAAAGATACTGAGTTACCATATTTTACAAATTGGACTCTGCAGACAAGATACATTTCAATTCATTTCAGAATGTTTTTCTGAATACGCAAAGCGTTTACTTTATGTAACAACAAATTGTGATTCACCCTGATGTCTATTTTCGATGGCGTTTATTAGATAGATAAATATTACTGGAATTTTTTCCCAACACCAAACCGTTATTTTAACACCTCGACATGTGTTTCGATCACCAAGTGATCATTTTCAAGAGGAAGATCAAACTGACCTTTCTCTTTCGCGTGTTGAGGTGTTAAAATAACGATTTGGTGTTGGAAAAAACTCAAGTAATAATCATGCTTTATTAATCATGATATGTACACAAAATACATTTTTGACAAGTAACAGTTGAAAAATGGTGAAATAATAGTTCAAGAATAGTAAAAAGTTTTTTTAGTAAATATGTGTAAATAAATCAATAACCTAAGTGGAATAATACATGGACATCACAAACACAGATTTGTACAGGGCAAATTAGATTGTTTGCAACCTACCCGATAATTTTCAAGTTCATTTTGTGATCCACTTTTATAAATTGGTTTCAAAAACTATTTTTCCAATCGAGAAAGATGGAAGATATCAAAGATATGCTGAATATCATGTAAAAGGGTTTAGCCAGGGTAAAAATTCATTTTTTAGTCAAGAATAACGGGATTCCATCGGGACCTGTAGACAACTTCCAGTGTAATGACATGACTAATTTCTTTAACATCAACGCTATAACTGCATGTATCAACTGTCTTACTAAATTTATGTTCTGGGATTTAGTTAACTGTTTCATCACTTAGATAGATGAGAAATAGTTTTGCAAAAAGATTCACATCATTGCTATTTTTGCTGACAAAATAATCATAATACAATTAGGATAGTAGGTAGTGTGATTTTTTTTGTTATTTTTTATATATGCGTGGTGGCAAGTGTTTCTCAAAGTATTGCATTTATCTGTCAGATAAAATTCTTCATATTCATACACATTTTCAATGTTGTATTCTCTGTGAACTGATTTCTTCCTTAAAACTGATTTTCTCAACTCAGAATAGAACCATACTGAATAAGTTGAGGTTTTATATTTTTTTAGGGGAACATAGTAGTCCATAGCTGTCCGTAGAAGTTCAGAAAGTAATCCAAAAACATTAAATATTCAGATATATACATAAACTTCAGCTTCATTCCAAAGAAACATTGGCTCGATTACTAAAAGTGTCATTTAAAGTGATGCATATATACATATAAAATATTTTCCAGGACTGTTCAGATGGCAAGGAAGGAAAGTGCCATAGCTGGTTCTCTGTCTGCTGGCTTTGGTACCCACGGCGCAAAAAATTTTAATGATACTAGTGACGGGTCTGTCCACTGCTTTTTAGATGAGATGGGGAATTGGGTTACGTATACTTTTGATGAAAGGGGTGTCGGTAAGTTTGTGATTTACATTAATACTGCAAATAATGATAATAGAATTTATTCCAACAAAAGTGTTTATAAATGTTTGCTTATTCTGAAGTAACCATTCTGGTTATAAGGTTAGGGGATATACTCTACCAAACAGAAGTTTCTAATAAAAATTATAATTGAAATTATCGCTAAAGTAATATTGATATACTGGAAAGTTAACTTCTTAATGAGGCTTGGTTAGATACTGTCAATGCTGTTGAGAAAAAATATAGAGAATTTCACAACCCTTTTTCATATAAAGCTTTTGAGATGTGCTTATACAACAGAATCTTTCCTGATGTTAAGAATTTAATTTCACCATGTGAGCTTATCACTACTACTGTATTACTGCTGAATTATGTTTTTTCTCAATTACTCTGCTAGATTGCTGCACACAAGTGTTTCACCTAATTTTTGCTTTTTTGCTTAACTCTCCTAAATGTTTCCTTTATTTTGTTTTTTGTTAACTCTCTTCAGGTGTTTCTAATTGATAAACTAGTATTGTATTCATGTATATGTGTATGTATGTATGTATGTATGTATATATATATGGCACTCCTCAAACTGAACTGGTCATCCTGTTGTCTGACATATATGTTTGACATATATGTCTGACATATATGTCAGACATATATGATGATATTAATATGTCTTGTTATTGGGATTTATTCCTGTTTAGACATTAAACTTTTTTTTTATATAAGTACAACATAAATTTCACTATCCACAATAATAATCATAAACATTTAAAAGACTGGATGACCTTTGTAAGGAAGATTAAATACAAGAAAATAAAAAGTGAACAATGAATACAAAACAAAGTAAACTAAACTTTTAATACCAATAGAAAACGTCCCTCAGGTAGTTTTAGTTATATCATGACTCTGGTAGATATAGAAGGCAGAAAAAAAGCAAAACTACACATCTGCTTTTGATTACTAACATGAATGAAAGATTGAAAACTCTCATAAAAATATCTCGCACTGAGAGGATTCTGAAACTTTTTTGAATTCAGTTACAAAGGCAGCATCTGCTAATTCAATGTACTTTAAACCTATTACACCAGATGATGTAAGAATAGTAATGAATTCATAAAAAATCCAAATGCACATAATGTTATGGCATGACTGTGTTTATAATAATAATAATAATAATAATAGCTGGACAGATGCAGAAGGCTGTTATTCTTGGCTCACTGCGCTTGCTCAGGGCACATGATTATCGGAACCAATGATCACTTTCCCCACGGTGTGGGAAGTGGTCGTTGGTTGATAATGCTAGCGCGCCCTTCCGAATTTATCGGAAGGGGATAGGGCCTGACCAGCACACACTACGGTAAAAAAAAATAGCCGTTATTACCCAACAGTTTAAAACCATTTACAGGGTTAACTAAGTATGTTAAAAAAGTAATATAGATCCTTATAATTACAAAGTTACAATTCCAGAAAATGAATAACAAAATTATAATACAATAAAACAAAAAAAACACTATACCAGAAAATTAAAAATTCTCCATGAAATACTGAGATGCAGTGGCAACAATATATTCTAGGGAATCAAAATTTATATCACACAAATTTGCAATTAAATTGAAATTATTGCAAATGCTAAAGATAGGTGACTTGAGATACAAATTGGTTCTGGCCAGTCTGCTGTAAAAAGTTTTTGTACTTCTAGTTCTAAAATGAGGCACACAGGAATTTATAAAAGATAACACCTCCATCCATCTACATTGTTGTGCAGTAATTTACACAGAAAAATGATTCTAGCAAGTTTTCTGCGCAATTCAAGACTTTCAATATAGAATGTTATGGTAAGAGATTCATATGGAATATCTCTATCAGGATAGGTACCATAAGATTTGAAGTAAATAAACTTTAGGAAACGACGTTGAACTTTTTCAATTAATGTATTATAGCAATTGTAGAATGGGAACCATAGATCAGAGCTATATTATAATTTTGACCTTACGTATGCTACATAAAGAGTAGATATCATTGAGAAATGTTTTGAATCAATCAGTGAAGTGATAACAAAAATCATAAATAATTGTTTTACTCATTTTCTTTCAAAACTAAAACGAGCGATAGTTCCTCCAATTCACAAAAAAAGTGATGCCTATTAATTTCAGATAAATATTGATCTCACCTGGAAGTAGCGAATAATGTCACTGATTTTTTGGTATTACTCAAAGCTTTAAGTACACATAACTTTAGATTTGGGAAATGTGTATCAACATCAGACTTTAGTTTAATTAATTTTAGTTTAATTAATTTATTAACAGAGGTAACACCTGCATTTTACTGTATTGATCATGAAGCAAACTTACATAAAATGAATATATGTGAGTATAGAGCTATTTGGATCATACCTCAATAGTTGTACACAAATAGTTCAAAAATAAAAATGTTAGAAGCCAACAGCCGCTTGTTTGAAGAAATTTACTACAGTGACCTATTTTGGGGACTTTAAGTCTTCTTGTACAAGGTCAATAAAATGCCCGTGAACATAACTGATAAAAATACAACCTCAGTTCTATTTGCTATTGGATACAACAATTGGTGAATGAATTCACAAAGGAAAAAATTTGAAGTGATATGTGAAAGAGTTCTGAATGGGGCAAAATCTTGAGTCAGAACACATGACCTATTCCTTGATGAGAGTAAAACCATATCTTTGAACTTTAACACTATCAACACAGCTGAAGAATCTATTGTACATTGAAATATTGCCTTGAATATAAAACATTGGCATTAAACAGCGGCTCGATATTTATTCTTCTTAATTGTGGAAGAATGAGATACACCAAACTCGTTTGCGAGGGCTGCATTTGATTCACTAGTTTCTATTCGGTGTAATATTGCACTTTTTTTCAATTGTATTGGTATTGGTGCGTAGGTTGTGTAAACAAAACGCGAGACGTTTTAACTGGAAGTATTATCATAAAAAATGGTCGCTAAAAGCAGTTGGTCGCTTGAACCGGAGTCGCACTAAACAGTTATATTTTCTCAATACCTAAGTATGAAATTCAAGTTGAGTAAACATTATCGTCGCTAAAAATGGTTAGTCGTTAGACTGTTACTGTAGATTTATTCTGATTTCAGACTCATTAAAAGTCATTAGTTACAAGCCATAGGAAGTATTATCGATGTTGAACACAATCTCAAATTATTTTCAAATTATTTTTCATTTTGTGTTGCTAATAAACCTTGTGTTTCGTCCTTATAATAAAAGAGAGTGTTTTTTTAGTTTAACAAACTGATATTGAAATGAAATTTATTTCAAAATATGTTCAGGACACAATAAATATGTTTGATTTAATGTCATTGTTTTTTACCAACAGGAACAGCGAATACATTTTTGGAACCTGCTGTAGATGGCAGTAACTCCTTTCTCGTCCAAGTGCCTGTAGAAAAATCCTCTTTTTGTCTACGTCAAAGTGATCCAATCACTGCAACACCTTCTACAAGTCGCACCACCCACCCTGTCATAGATCTATGGGACAGCACCGAGTCTGTTTGCAATCGCGCCAACCCTATTATCTTGGACAGTATTGGTCGGAAGTCGCACCATAATATCCCCGTAGCACCCGAACAACTCACTCGACTCAAACGAACATTCCATCGCAACAGAATGCTGCTAGAGGTTGAAAGTGAAGCAAAATTCAAATGTATAGCTTCGGACATAGGGAGTAAAGCGAATTACAGAAGGACGAGGACTTATTATAAATTTAGAGTGACACCGTGGACGTATGTGAAAGTGACTTTGGATCGGTTGAAGCTGCTCGCGTTGCTGGATAGAAATCTAACCTTGAAGGAAACAGTTCTGTCCATCTTTTTGGGAAGTTTAGTGGGAGTACTTGGTTCTATGATACTATTCATGGGGTTCTATACAGACTTGCTGTCTTTTATATTTTGCTTTGTTATGGCGAGCTGCCAATACTCTTTGTTGAAAAGTGTGCAACCTGATGCGGCATCTCCAACACATGGATTTAACAGGGTAATTGCTTACTCGCGTCCTGTATACTTCTGCATCTTTTCATTGTTGATACTTATTGTTGATTCTTGTATTCTCTATGAGACTAAAGAGAACGGGTACAACTTGAATGCTTTCTCATTGACTCCTCAGCAAATGTTACTGATCTTCCGTGATTTTCTTGTGATCTTCATATTGCTGTTTCCCGTACTTTTCTCTTTGGGCCTATTTCCCCAAATCAACACGTTTGTTATGTATATTTTAGAACAAGTTGATATGCACCTCTTCGGTGGCAATGCAATGTCGAGTTTGTTAGGTTCTTTCTATTGCGTTTTTCGTTCGATTTTAGCTGTGATAGTACTTGTAGGATTCGCCTATGGAGGGTTGAGTGAGAGTAAAGGGGCACAACACATTCTGTTTTCAATATTTTGCGCGTGTCTTGTGGCCTGTTGTTATCATCTGAGCAGAAGTGCTAGCGATCCATCACACATTTGGAATCTGATGAAGAGCCATCTTTGGTTACCTGATGTTTATAGGGAGCAGCAGGTGAAGGAATGTGCGAGAGAGAAGAGTGGACTAGAAAGCGAGACAGGTGATAAGGTAAGTTCCATTTCAAAGCATAAAATTTTTCTCAAGTAATTTTTTTTTTGTACCTTGGGAGCTGTCTGACTTGTCCATTTAGTCCAAGTCTCCAGAAAACACTGCAGCCTCTTGGGCTTATAGCGTTTATTCTCCCATCTTCTCATGACACCCATTTCATCAGTCTCGTTCCCTGTACTAGTTTGTACAGGTTCCGTGTTGGATGTTCGTCATATTCTTCTGGGCGTAATTTTGTACGTCCATATATTGCCTGCCTCCTGGGATTCAGTGCCTCACATTCGCATAAAATGTGTAGAGCTGTTTCTATCCCTTCATCGCATAATCTGCAGCTGAAGTCTCCGTTGTACAAGCCCATTTTATTCAGATGTCCTCTAAGCGGCCAATGACCGGTTAGTAACCCTATAATTTTTTCTGACCGATCCCTACTATATTGAAGTAGTTCTTCGGTTCTTTTCTCGGACGGTTCCCTAATGAAGGTTCTACTGTGTTTATTGCCAGGTACTTTTGTCCTGCACTCTGTGTGCTTTTTATTGGTCCATGTCCTAATCTGGTTTCGAACCAATGATTTTGGTACCCCCAGAACTGGTACCCCCTATATATGATCCGCTGATGATCCGCGTCTAGCGCATTCATCAGCTTTATAATTACCTGTGATTCCTGAATGCCCTGGCACCCAGTACAAAGTTAATTTGTTTCTGTTTGCGAGTTTATTCAGTTCTTCGTGGCATTCCCAGACCAGTTTTGATGTCACCTTCGGGTTTGTCAGAGCCCCTAGTGCGCTCTTGCTGTCTGTAAAAATATTGATCTGCTCATTTCTTTGAGGTCTCAATTTAATAAGGCTTGCACACTGCAAGACGGATGTGTATAGTCCTAGCGGATAGCTTTTCTCAAGTAATAGACAAAAGTCGAACAAAAACCAAATTTTCATGAACTGGAAACAGAGTTTTCCTCAATTCAATTCAACACCACTAATTTTTTTTGCTTTGTTACTAGTAGGATAAGTTTTCTGCATGTATATATGTATTCTCTCATATGTATATGTAGATTCTTCAATGATGAATAAATGAATTCTAAATTCTAAATGTATGAACTTATAATGTTACCTAATGCATGCAGACTTCATTATGTACTTGTTATGAATAAATTCACACAATGTTACTGTGGATCCGAATTTAAATTACTGTACGACTGAATATTGTTGATGCTCTCATCTTTTATACATTTGTTGTGATGGAATTTCACTGAAACAGATTTGGATGAGTTTAAAAGTTCCAAGTTCCAAACTGCTCTATAACAAATTTCTCTTTTGCAACCTCTTTTCATTGCCTGATACTCATATTATAGTATGGTCCGCAAACATTACAATGTCTCCATTAATTAGGTACAAGGCAAGTCATTAGAAATAGCAAAGGCCTTTAATAAATCAAAAAGAATGATGACATATTGACCACAATTAATTCCTTTCAGAATAAATATAAACAAGTGATATGAAGCTGCTTCTATTCACCTTTTTCGTCAAAATCTATGCTACATGTCTCAAAGTGAGTTATTATTCTCAAGATAATTTGTCATTCTGATTGCCACAATTTTATTAAATAATTTGGATTTTGGGAATAATAAACAGGTATTGTTTTTTCATGAAAAGCAAATGAATAAATAATTTTTTTATGCCAAAACTGTACTCCAAATTGCACGGAAATGATTAAGGATTTCACAAATTATTTTTAGAATAAGAATAAGCAGTGGCATATCACTTTCCTCTTTAAAATGATTCAGGCAAATGCCACACGGACTCCATTGGCAAGAATAAAAGTTGATGTTGTACAGCAGAAAATACCGTCTGATGCACAGAACATCCCCAAAAATATCTAAGGTCGTATGACAGTTATCATGGATTTTTTTAAACGTTACCAGCCTGTAGTTCAAATGATGGCGGTTTAGGACATATGCTTGTATGAAGTTATCTAACACAAAAATAACCTTAATTATTAGCATATTATCAAGAAATACCCTCTATAACAGAGCAGTGATCATTTGATAATGTTAAATTACTTTGTCCCAACAGGAAAAACCCCAAGAAACTCATCCAAATGAAATCACCAAGTCTCCAGAAGCTAAAGAAAAATCTGTAAAATTCCCTTGCAACCAAGATTCTGCATCAGATTCCAATCAAGAGGATCAGAGTGATCCGTTGCCACGTCAATTGCAAAAGGTTGCCAATGCACGCCTGAAAAACGACGTTATTCTCTGCAGTCTAATCGCTATTTTAGTGTTTGGAATTCATTCCAGCACTGTCTTTACTGCTCTGCAACCTGAACTGAGTCCCGTACTGTGGTGCGTAGCAGTTATTTTGGGGTTTATCCTGCACTATGTCATTCCCCAGATGCGAAAACAGCTTCCTTGGTTGTGCATAGCAAGGCCGATATTGAGATCACAAGAACACGAATTGTACCAAATAAGGGGGCCTGCAAAGATAATGTGGTTTGAAAAAGTGAGTACACTTTTGTCTGTTTCATTGTACACATATATTTTTTAATATATCTATTTCTCAAAATTTATCTTCTGTATTTTTTGCAGGTTTACGTGTACTTTTCCTTTTTGGAACGTAATATTCTTTATCCTCTCTTGTTTCTATCTGTTATTACTGAAGACTCGCCTCGGATAATGGCGGACTATGGTGCCTTCGCAGGTTCCTTCATCATTGTGATATGTGGAATCAAGTGTCTGAGGAGCAGTTATTCTAATCAAAGTTCCCAATATTTGATTCTCATTTTTACTGCCTTATGTTTCAAATACGATTACGTGGATGTACTGAATTCATTTCTGGTCAGTTACTTCTTTTTGAGCATAATCTATCACAAAGTGTACGAGTTATTACTGAAGGTGAGCAGTTGATCCTATGTTTGAACTACGAAGACCGTTCAAAAAGTATGATAGATAGATAGATAGATAAATAGACATATACTTCATTGTCCAAGAAAATACAATCTTTGTCAATAAGATTGTTAAAAATCTGGTATATATAGCACTTCAAAGAATAAAAGAATCAATTCAAATACACAAATAACCAGAAACACAATTTGAGCAAAACTAAGTTCACATATCTAATAGATAAAATATAACAATAGAAAATAAAATTTGACAAAGTATATTCCCTCTCAAAAAATGTAAATGACAAATATACACAATTTGAACATGAGTTCACATGTCATGGCAATAAAATAAGATATATCCCAATATAAAATATAATTTGAAGTATAGGTAGGTATAAACAATCACCTTTATTAAATCACACCAAAGTTCCATTGTTGATATTCATCAAGATTGTAGTACGTTTTAGATGCAAGGGCTTCTTTTACAAGATTTCTGAACTTTTTATAGTTTTTTCCTTCCTAATTTCGTAAGGTATGGGATTATACAGCTTTTTAATTTCATAAATTAAGGAATACTTTGTCTGGCTTGTTTTTGGAACAGGAAGATGTATTTTATTTACTGTTACTTGCCGGGTTATGTAATTTATATGTCCCGGAGTTCCAACCATATTATGTTTTTTGTAAATCAGGCAAACAGTTTCAAGTATGAAAATACAAGTAACAGTGACAATTTTTTCTCTCAAAAATAATGGTCTGCATGACTCACACACTCCCACCTTGCATAAGTATCTGACCGCTCGCTTTTGCAAAACAAACACTGAATGAAAAAGTTGTTTACTGCAAAATCCCCAGAAGGCAACACCATATCTCATGCTCTATAGAGAAGCATTTTTATTCAACATTACAAATTACTCTCTCTATTTTTAAAGCTATAGTTTCTGCTTTGCATATTTTTCCCACCTTTCCTGCTACTTTCAAAACATGAGCTCTTGTTTCTCAAGCTATTTCTGTAAAGTGCCTCTACAGTTTTCACAACTCTGTGATTGGTAATGACTGAGGTTCCCAAAAAAGGCAGAGAACAAATCTTTTTCGGCAGCTTGGCTTTGCAACGGATTGCCTTGTTTATCATAGTTATTTGTGGTTTGAGTATTCTATCGACCCCATGAGATGTCATTGTCTTTCCCTCCGTAGGTTTGTCCTTTAATGACAGTTGAATCCAACAATGCACTGCTGATGAGACCTATGATAGGTCCATAACAGCTCTGCCTGGTGTTGAATCGCAAATTCTTTATTTTTGAGCTCTGGTTTGAACAACCTGCAGAGAAATAGTATGAATCTTATTCGGCAGTCGATGAAAAGCTTGCTTTTGCAACTGATCACTATTAGGAGATCAGCGATGATTTTTATTTTCAGAATGATAAATGGCATGCTGCCATCCTACTTTGAGGAAATTATAATATATAGGCATTCTACACGTGTATTTTTTGTTCTTTCTTAGTTTCACCAACAATTCCGCTTAGCAGCGTTTCTCTAAATTATTATCAAAGCTGAAAATGTTGAGCAAATGTTCAACACTTGTTAGCAAATTGTAACATGCATTTGCTTAACAACAGGTGGGCTACACGATAATATGCAGAAATGCCAGCCTTCTCCACATTTACCACATAGAACAATATCATTACTTCTTGAACAGGCTTCATAGATACAAAAAATTGAATAGAATAAGTGTTGCTGTAAAAATAATTCTTTTCCAGCTCCAATTTGTTGTAACATACATAGCACCCTGGCAAATTACGTGGGGTTCCGCATTTCATGCTTTTGCCCAGCCCTTTTCAGTACCTCACTCTGCCATGTTATTTCTTCAAGCACTAGTCTCTGCCATCCTCTCCACACCCCTCAATCCTTTCCTAGGCAGTGCCATTTTCCTTACTTCCTATGTTCGACCTGTTAAGTTCTGGGAGCGTGACTATAATACTAGAAGAGTGGATCATTCCAACACGCCACTGTCGTCTCATTTGGATCGTAACCTGGGAGCAGATGACAATAATCTGAATTCTCTGTTTTATGAGCATTTAACTAGGTAAGGGTATAAGAAACACAAGAATACATTTTTACTTGCAAAATATACTATATTTTCAATTACTTAATGCATAATTTATTTATTTATTTATTCAACGGGTAGTCCCAATCACAATTTGTTATAAAAAAAAAGAATTTGTAAAATCTTAACTAAATCAAAGAAAGTAAATAAATGATGATAATGAGGATACAAGAAGTACTTCTTGACATAATAAATAAAACAGAGTAAAATAAAACAAGTAACAACAGCCTAAAGAGTCTCAAATGAACTTCTTTCAGTTTCATATACTTTTTTCAACGTCTAGTAATGAAAAAATCTTTCAAATTCATATTTTTTCGACAGTTAATTGATCTCAATAGAAATCCGCTGAAGTGTGCTTTTTTGAAAATAACTAAACAAAAAGTTTTCCACAAGCATCTTGAGAAACTAAGACCTCCATTTTGCCAGCAAATGGAACTGAATTCTTTGGGACCTAATCTCCCCTTTTAATACTTCCACACAGTGTCTTCTCGTATTCAAAATCTTTCAAATTCATATTTTTTCGACACCTAATTGACCTCAATAGAAATCCGCTGAAGTGTGCTTTTTTGAAAATAAGTAAGCAAAAAGTTTTCCACAAGCATCCTGAGAAACTAAGACTTTCATGTTGCCAGCAAATGGGACTGAATTCTTTAGGACCTATTCTCCCCTTTCATACATCCACACAGTGTCTTCTCGTAACGAAATTTTCTTTCAGTATGAGATGTTCGGCATTTTTTAAAATACCTTTTGTATCTCTGCTTACCTTGGTCAACTTTTATTCTGTGCATTTTGTGCATTGTCTTCATTTCTGGTTTATTTATTTGCTAGATGGTCGGTTTCAGTATCTTGTAGAAGGTGGTCTACGAAATACTTCGGTATCTTGTAGAAGGTGGTCTACGAGATACCGTAACCAAATACTTTTGCTAAATATTTTGTTGTTCTGAGTGAAGAAACAAACTTTCTCAGAGTAGAATCTAATTCTATTTCGTTTTTCAAATGAAATTATTGTATATAGTTCATAATTTATTCATTTATGTCTAATATGCAAATGAGTTGATGCTAACTATATAGTTGTTTCAAAAGATTTGTCCGTTTATATGAGTCTACTCCAAATTGTAATATCACAGTGAATACTTATTCAATTTTATTGAAATGAGGGTCCTCAAATCCTAGTCCTGGATTACTGTAGGTCAACCACTTCGGGGCTCATCTTCGAGCCTAAAATCTCCGGAACAAAATTTCGCAAACCAACGTCAAACAATGCGTTCGTTCATTAACGCTACCATTACCAAATGCCTTTTCAATTTTTCGGGCTGTTTCGGCAGCGCTTTGGTTTAATAAATATTTATTTATTCAGATATGGGGTTGCAAAAACATCTGACATCAAATCGGCAAAACTTTTGAACCAACCTAATAAAATCAAGGTGATGACATTCATGTTTTGAGTTTTGTGTCAACAGATCACTACAACAATCGCTCTGCGGTGATTTAAAATTAGGGCGTTGGGGTCCTGTCAACCAGGGAGACTGCTTTGTTCTGGCCTCAGATTACCTGAATTGTCTTGTGCATATAATCGAGATGGGTAACAATCTGGTAACATTTCAAATGAGAGGTCTAGAGTTTAGGGGTACTTACTGCCAACAGCGAGAAGTTGAAGCCATCACAGAGGGTGTGGAAGAAAATGATGGTGAGTCATTCGCTTTTGTCACTAGTTTCTATATATACAGTTTCCGTGAACATCTGTTTTGTAATCATTACTGTTTTTATAATATTGAGTAATATATTGTTGTGTCAGAGTCTTTAATTCGTGAAAGACCTTATTAAATCATCAAATATTCTCCTTTTGTTAAAGTATTTTATTGATTTGATATTTATATTCATGATTTTATATAACCTATTATTCTTTACTTTCATTATTTTGTATTATATGATTTTACCTTTTTAACTCCGAACAAGAATTTGCCATAAATGTAGTACATATATAAATAATGGTACTCTACTCTACGCAAGACCAGTCATGACCATAGCGGATACAAGTTTATAAGAATACTATCAGAACAATAACATTCAGAAATAATATCAATCCCTTAATGCCCTAGAATGAACAGTATTTTTTGTAAGTCCATGTTTTGCTAACACAAACAAACTGAAAGGTTTGCCAGCTCGAGAGCATGCCACGTATAATTGTCCGTGTGAAAAACATGGTGTGCTCAAATCCAAATAACGAACGGACATTGTTTGGCCTTGGAACCCTTTAATAGTAATTGCAAATGCCAATCTAATTGGAAATTGCACACGTTCAAAATGAATTGGCACATCTGTAGGTATAATAGGGATTCGTGGTATTGATATATTTTCACCTCGAAACTTGAATTAAAAATTCCGGCTTCGACAACGTTTTTCATTAATCTCTTAATGAAATGAAATGGATTCAAATTAGGGAGCGATAATGACTAATCGCGTGCGGTTGCTCAGCCGTGGTTGATTCAAATTAGGGAGCGATCCAACCTTCAGTTGTAAATTATGCGGTAGCAATTCCAATAATAATTCACAGCTTTGGTGGCATCACAAACTGTATCAACGCTTGATGGATAAACAATAATAGTGACCGAAAACTGTGTAGGGAGTGAGAGAAAGCTTATTGTGTAGGCTCCGTGCTGTTTACTGAGTGAAAAGTGATACCGATAGATGCCTGGCGACAATAACTGGTCTATGACCATGATTAACAATGATTAAGTTACTAAAAAGGCTATTCAAAATAGGGGTTGGAGGAGTATGGCAACTAACACTGTTACACTTGAATTTTATGTAATAGATTTTGAATTGACGGATGAACATAAACAGATAAATACATACTGTTTCGAGTTGGTCTTTTTTGAGTTATTGTGTAGGTTATGTATTTTAATGCTCCATTGTACACATTATATGATTACTGCTGTTCATCTTCACCACCATGGTTTCACAGGAACACCGTATAGTTGCATGGAATTATATCTCAGTAGCCTAGTAAAGTAGTGAGAATATTTTCTTTCAATAAACAATCCGTCACCTATGGTGTGTCTCAATGGTAAATATTGGGACCTCTCAATATCTGTATTGACAATACAGAAAAAACCACAGTGTTTGCTCGTGAAATTAATGATGAGAAAAAAATATCATAATTGATACAGATATCTAAACATTGAAAATATGGTCTGGCAATACCACTGTCTCATTGTAAATATATCTAAAGCAACATTCAGGTGTATAGTCTAGACGAAGTCAATCCGAACAGCTAAATAAAATACTATGTACTCTTCACTATTAATAAAAAAATCCGTGTAGGTTAATGAAAAATAAAATTAATTTGAAGAAAATTATACAACAAACTGCCGACGTGTTCAGTAACTAATTAGTTTTTACGCCATTCGAATTGACTTCCTATATACCATAATAGCTCCTACTTTTTTGTAATATTTCTTGGAGTATTCATTAAAAACAAATTTTTTGATTTCATGACATCATCAGCTGCCATGTTTACATCATCGATTTATAACAATTTATGTATGTTTAGTTATATTTTTTGTGTATATAGTTGGAGCTATATAGTTTCTTTTATACCCGTTTATCAAATATTTTTTGGAAGGTTTTCATCGAATCTGGGAAAAATTAAAATTGTAATGGTCGGTAAAAAACTCTGATTTCCTTCACAAAAATGATAATTATTCAGTATATTTTCGTAAATAATTTACAAAGAAGTGTTCTTCATCAAATCAAATGTACATCGAGTATTTTACTTGTCAGGTTGTTGTTGCTGTGATGCTGGTCATTTACCAAATATGTTGAGCGTCAATGCCGCCTTCAGCCAACGTTGGTTAGCTTGGGAAGTGACAGCTGCCAAATACATTCTTGAGGGTTACAGTATATCTGACAATAGTGCAGTATCCATGCTGCAGGTTTTTGAATTCAGAAAAGTTCTAGTGTCTTACTATGTTAAGGTAAGTTGACTTTGAAATATTAACTGAATGAACGAAGAAACATCTCAATCGCTGTTTTTGAACAAGATAATACTTTTACCATCAACGCTGGTGTTCCCCAGGGATCCATATTGTCCCCAACCCTTTTTATTATTGTACATCAACGATTCATTGAAAAAAAAACAAGATTTCAATATATTGCTTTGCTGACGACAGCACACTTGTCTCGTCATTCCTTTTGGATTCCACAACATATTCAGCAGGAGGTTGCATATCTTAATAAGGATCTAGAAGTGATTTCGAATTGAGGAGAAAGTAACCAGGTTCAATTCAATGCCACGAAAACACAGGCATCGGTTTTCTCCAAAAAGATAAATGTCTCCAAATCGGATATAATAATGTCAGGACAGACAATTCCGCTTTCTGCTTCGAAGAGTTTGTTGGGGGTTAAAATGGACACCAATGTATCTTGGCACAATCATGTCGCTGGAATTGCAAAGGCTTCTTGCAGGCTTGGAACACTGTTCTGAACCAGAAAACTGTACACACCTCAGCAACTTTTGATGCTTTATAAAGTTCAGATCAGACCTTCGGAGTATTGTTCTCATGAATATATAAAAACAAAGGAGAGAAAAATGATTTAAAAAACTATAGAAATATCAGTCTACAAAGTCAGCTTGCTAAAGTCTTTGACATATGTTGCAACAGCAGATTGATTAATTTTCTTGAATCAAATAATATACTACTGAAATTTCAGCATGGATTTAGAAGAAATAAATCTACTATCACTGTCCTAAATGAACTTACGTCCTTTGTTTATGACACGTTGAATAGAAAGGAAACCCCACTTGCGCTCTACTTTGACCTAAGTCGGGCATTTGATACAGTAGACCATGTGCTACTGCTTGATAAGTTAGAATATCAGGGTGTGAGAGGAGTAGGCAATGACTGGCTGAGATCATATTTGCAGGGGAGAAGCCAGTGTATTGTGCTGAATAATTGTATGTCTGATATACAATATGTTACGCAGGGAGTACCTCAGGGTTCCGTACTTGGACCACTCTTATTCATAGAATTCATAAACTACCTAACTTACTTAGAAAAAAAATCAGATTTAGAAATTGTGTTTGCAGATGACACAAATTTCTGCTTAAAAAACCAAACAGCTCAAGAATGTTGTGCGAGAGCAAACATAAGCGCCCAAGCATTTTACGATTACTGTCAAAACAATGGATTATCTGTTAATATTAATAAAACATTTTTTATGACATTTTTACCCAAACATCTTAGTTAAGATCCTAATATAACTATAAAAATGAATCGACAAATAATTCAACAAATTCAATCAATAAAATTTTTTGGAGTCACAATATACCATAAATTAACTTGGGAAGGACACATTAATAAACTGGTAGCTAAATTGAGCTGTTTGTTTCTTATTGAAGCAGTTAAGAAATACAGTTAGCTACGATATTTTAAAAATGGTATATTTCGCCCATGTACAGAGTGCTTTATCATATGGTCTTATCTTTTGGGGATCATCAAGGTATGCAAATGATGCATTCATTATACAAAAAAAAATACTAAGAAGTATGATGGGAGTTTCGCCTCTGACTTCATGTAAAGAATTGTTTAAAAGGTCTGGAATCTTAACCCTGCCTTGTCTCTATATATTCAAACTTATCATATATTTTAAACAACAAAATATCCCTAAGAATACAAATAATCACCACCATGAAACAAGAAATAAAAACAAAATATATCAACCATTCTCAAGGATGACTCTTGGACAAAAATCACATAGATAACAACAAATAAAATGTTATAATAAATATTTGGAATTATGTTCTGGCCAAAATAACTTGAATTAATTTAAAAATGAACTATCTGAATTTCTTTTGATCAGGCATTTTATTCCCTGGAAGAATATTTTTCAATATGATAATTTTAATGTGAATCTTATACATTTAATGAATGAATTCTTTTTAATCTTTGTTTTATTATATAATTACTTTAATATTAAGATTTTAAACTAGTATGTAAATCCATATTTGACTAGTCTGATAAGCATTTTATGTGTTCAACTGCAAAGATCTGTAGATTGCTTTAATGATGGATAAAGAAACTACTAATGGAGCTCCGCCCCAGAAAAGAGCCATCCGCCTGATTGCAGAAACGAACATCCCTTGTAACTTTGATAGTCTGGAACATCGAAGAAAGGTTGGAGATTTGTCTCTCTTTTATAGTTACTTTCACGAGAGGTGTTCAAATGACTTGGCACATTTAATTCCACCAAGAGTGGTACATATCAAAAATACATGACGGACTGTGGCTGCTCATCGTGTTCAGGTTCAACTCAGTACACCTCGAACTTCAGTGTTTAAGAACTCTTTCATTTGAAGAACTGCGTTTATGTGGAATAAACTTCCTGATAACGTTTTCTCAAATGGATTTAATCTCTTGCGATTCAAATCCAATGTGAATCACTACTTTCGCATAGGAACTGATCTCAGAGCGCCATGACGATTTTACTGTAGTGCTTGTGTTTTGTCCTTAAAAATAATCAATTAAAATGATCAACCTTGAATAAGTCATTTGATATTGAGACTGTAATAATATCTTGAACGTCAACTTCAGTTTTATAGGTGACAAGTTTATTTATTCTTGAAAATCAAGCCCTTGCCTGCCACTCCTTTGAACAAAAAGGAGAACATAAGGAGATTAAGACGCCATTTGGTTGATGAAACGCGCGTCGAGAAAAGTGTTGCATTTCTGGTGTTCGGGAAAAGTGTTTTTGTTTTGGATCCATTCTATGCCAGAGGTTAAAGTTTTATATTTTATCAAAATAAGAATGAATTTTGTGTCTCTTTGGAAACTTAAGTTGACGTGTTTTACGATTTTTTTGTGTCAATATCAGTTGACTTCTGTATCTGTGGAGTTGGGAGGGTGAGTGTAGATCCACAGCACTTAGGCCACATGGGACCCATTGTACATCCTCCCGAGGAGTTGTCCTCCTAGGTCATCGTCCATTCTGTCCTTTCCAGAAAGGTGGACAGATCACTAGGAGACATCTTCTTTATATCGGCAGTTGAAGGCCAAGGCTCGCCGAACACACACTCTCTTTGACAATCTTGAGGTGTCTCACGGCGGCCTTCGTGAAGGTTTTAGAAGGTGCAGCGACATTACTGTTGTTGCGCGGCTTCTTCAACCTTCTTGGGGTTCCTTCCGTGGAGGTGCTCATTTAAGGGCGCTTTCCTGCAGGGGCAGCCGGTTCCTTTCCTTTATTCAAGGCGGAGCTCTTGGCGCCCACCGCAGGAAGTGCCCTTGCTATTGGAGCTGGAGTGGGGGAGGAGGAGGGTGCACTTATAGTTGCTGCCACTCCTGTCTCCTTCGCTATCTTTGTCCTTTTGGCCTCGGCGCCGCAAATGCGCTTACGCCTTGGCTTTTGTGTTATATCACGAGGTGATCTGCCATGTCCACCCTATTCCGAGCGGTAGATTGGAGTGGACATTTCTGTTCATCCCTAGCCACCGCCATAGATTGAGGTGAGCATTTCTGTCCAGCCTCGGGATTAGTGTCCAGCGACCCCGTTTGTAAGGCCACATTAGCTTCCCGGACAGGGCTCCCAGTCCCCTGGCCGTTCCCCTATTCGCCACCTGGGGACGCGCCCGATAGGTAGCCCATTCATTTTCACATTGGTTATGGGATTGTTCCTTGGGGAAACTCACCTGGTTCTCTCAATATCTTTAGCTTACAAAAACGAGCCATTTGAATATTGGCAGATGTAGGTTTTCGGGAACCGTGTCAGCCAATTTTTAAAAAACTAGGTATCATGCCTGTACCAACGTTATTCATTTTTCATGTTTTGCTAGAAATCCACAGAATTGCCAGTACCTTACCTAAACGTTCTAATATTCATCAGTACCGTACGAGAAACGCTGAAAAGATCTGTACAAATCGATATCGCCTAGCTAAATCACAAAAAATTCTTTGGATTACAACTTATATAACTGTTTACCAGTCAAGCTGAAAGATCTTAGTATGAATAAATTCAAACAATCCATTAAACAACTACTATTGGAGGGCTGCTTTTACTCTGTCTCTGATTACCCGGGGTATTTTAAAAATCGCTCCTAAGTCTCAACATACAAGCAACATACTCATCTGACTACCGTAAATATGCTATATAATGTTGTTCTTTCATGTTTTTAATGTTAATCTTTAGGTTGCTCTACTTTTTATCTTAAATTATATTTTATACTCATCCGATCTGAAATTACTTTTGGTGTGCGTAAGCATATGTAACAAATTTTGTCATGACTTGCTACAAACATGTAAAGTGTAATGTGGTTAAATAAACTTCTATTCTATTCTATTCATCTCACGGGATATAAAAAAAATCAGTTGACTTATTTCAACTGGAATGCACTTTCTAATTTGCCCAGCAGTTGGACTTTTCCACAATATGTCAAATCTTGAATTATTTTATTCAGTATATCAATAATATTTCCAACTTAAATGTTTACAGAAGACTTTTTTTCAGAGCATAATATTTTATGTTATTCGATCTCCAAAACTTGAAGAGTGGCTTTGCAATCAGACCATTCTGAAAGCCTTGCAACCCATGGAACATAGTGATTTCGTTGATTTGGATCCGGTGTTCAATTACAATATAGACGAAGATTTCGACATGCAGAATAGTGGAATGACACATAATAGATTCATGCAGATTCATGGGGAGTGGATAACATATTGTGTTGAAAGAGGAGAAAAGAACATTGATTCAGGCATTAATTCGTCTCTGGTGTTGCTGTGTTTTGCATTGAGTCTCCTAGGTGAGATATTGTAAATTCCATTCAAGAGATCGTACATCAAAAAAAAATCTCCAATGAATGACTTTTTTGTCTGATTTCTGCCTTATTAATATGTAGTTTTTTTTTGTTATGGCGTAAACTATTTGAGGATCAGTCGAAGAAATAACAATTTTATTAATATGAATTTTAGGAAGAAGAACCTTGGGTACTGCCTCACACAACACCGTATCTGGTGTAGAATTTTTTCTTTACGGTCTCCACGCCCTCTTCAAGGGTGACTTCCGCATATCTTGTGCTAGAGACGAATGGGTTTTCACTGATATGGATCTCCTAAAAACTGTTGTCGCACCAGGGGTGAGAATGTCTCTAAAACTACATCAGGATCATTTCATGTCTCCAGACGAATATGAAGAGTTAGCTACCCTGTACGATGCCATTTGTAAACATGAAGAAGAGCTGGTTATTTCACACGAAGGCGATCCAGCTTGGCGAAGAGGGGTGCTTAGTGGAACGCCAAGTTTGTTGGCATTGAGGTAGTATGACCACAAGTTATGTATGTAATATATTACTTGACGTTTTATTTTTTAGACATGTTCTCGATGAAGGCAATGAGGAATATAAAATAATTATGCTGAACAAAAGATACCTAAACTTTAGAGTGATAAAAATCAATAAAGAATGCGTTAGAGGACTGTGGGCGGGCCAACAACAAGAACTGGTATATCTCAGGAACAGGAATCCCGAGAGAGGGAGCATACAGAACGCCAAACAGGCTCTCAGGAATATCATCAATTCGTCTTGTGATCAGCCAATTGGTTATCCTATCTATGTGTCTCCGTTGACAACAAGTTATGCAGAAACAAACCAGCAATTCTGCAGCTTAGTGGGAGGCTCTATAACGTTTCAGAAGATAAAAAATTATGTGATGAATCTATTTAGGAGGTGAGTCGAAGATATTACTGTAATGATAATAATTAAATTCTTTATTTCCCATTTTGATAATCACTGATGGTATAGGAATGGTTAGCAGAAATTACGGTATATAGAAAATACATTAAATACCTAGTACATGTACATTAAAAAAATAATGATTAGACTAAAAACAATGTGGGAAAGAATTTCAATTTCATTCTAACCTTTCAGTAGCCACACCAAATTTTTTGACTTTACCAATGACACACCATTGTATGGCAAAACATGTATTGCGTTTTTGTAAAATTGTTTAGTGAAAAATCTCACAATAAAGTGTTTTTTGAATAAGTTAGTTATGGATTTTCATCAAGTATCGGTTAATTCCATCATATATCAAATTGAATAAGTATTCATAAGTATTCATTGAGCTATTACAGTTTAAAGTAGACTCATAAAAACGGACAAAATTTTGAAACAACTTAATATTTTGGCTGTACCGATAATTCGAGTGAACATTTAAAATGTGCATTATCATGTGATGGTCGATATTTGATGAACATTTATGAGTTTCAAAGAAAGCTGTAGCCGACAGCTGAAAAACCTTGTGTGATAATTGCAGTCATTTCTATTATTTAGAGGCTTTGAAAATTAATATTTGCAATTTTTATTGTTTTCATCTAAATTTTTGTTACATTTACGAATGGTTTGTTTGAGTTTAGGCATCTTCAATTTCCAAAAATAAAGAAATATATGGTCGAAATGTAAATTGTTTGTAGTGAAGCAAATACATTGAATTTTACATTGGTTCATAATCATCATAATCTTTATTTCATCCTGCAAGAAATATATCGGACTAGTCAGCTACATAAAAAAGTAATACAAAAGGCAAATGTAAAGTTTTGTCATAACACATTAAAATGTATAGAATGTGTAAAGTAAGTAAAATGTATACCACAGCCATTATATTAATGTGTAATCATCTTAGAATTTAAAGAATTCATCCACTGTGTAGAACATATTGCTGCAGAGAAACGAATATTTGAACCAATAACTTGAATATTTTATGAAGAGTTTGAAATGTAAAATGGTTTCAAGTCTTTTCTTAAAAGTTTTTGTTTTTACCTGTCCATCATTTTCAGGATAAGAAAGCGATGTGGTGAAGGATGTTCAAGTGGATCGGCCAATAGGGAGGAAATATGTATGGGTCACGAAGGCATTTATGCTATGACACCTGTCTCCACCTTGGCACATCATACCAGCAGTCAGTCAACTGACGGATCACATTTAGGAGGTAGCATTGGAAGAGGTTCAAGCCTGAGCAGAACATCTTTAGGTATTTTCCTGAATAACATTTTCATTTTTGTTAGTACTCGTATCATTTTCAGGTGGTAACAGGGGGAGTTTGGTATCGGTTGGCAAACCAACCAGTTCTACGTTAGCCAGTTTAGCAGGGCTGTTCAAGGAAAGGGATGAAAGGGCAGTACCACAAGCTACAGAATCTCATGCTCGTGCAGATGAGAAGTTAGGAGACACTAATGATATGTCTGAGAAAGAAAGTGTCGCACCCAGAGTTAGAGTGAGTATACAAAGAGATTTGATATGACCATATAGCTTCAAATAACTAAAATATGTTTTCAATCAATCGTATATTTCGTTCCGAGACCCTATTGGGTATAGAACACAATCATAATGAACAATAAAGTTCTTATCCTAAAAAGGAAACCTATAGTTTTATAATCAATATGCACAATCACAAATATATAAAAACAAACACTAATTCACTATTGTTTCATATTAAAATACTCAGTGAAGTCGTAAAACAAATTAATTTGTAAATATTTTTTCATGGCGCTTCGGAATCTGGATAGTGTGATCTCATTTCTATTTCCTGGCAACTTATTGTAAGCCTTTATACCCATAGAAATTGGTCCCTTGGACACCAGATCAAGATTGTCAAGTCTGGGATAGATACTGCTGCTAGCTCTAGTTTGATATGGGTGTACATCATTATATCTCGGAAGTGTATTTCTGGTTCTGTAGATATAACATACCACCTCCAGTAGATACAAGCAGAGATTATTCACAAAATATTATGAGACGTGATAGTGAGACTGAACCTCTCCTTTCCTAGAAGCTTGAAAAAATACAATACTGTGAGTTTTGTGACACCCTAAGATGCTATTGTATAAATATATATGAATACACGTGTCTCGGTTTTATAAACTTTTAAGTGGAAATGGAAGACCAAAAAAAGTACGCCAAGTTCTATCAAATGTCATGGTTTTGCTCACTGTTTTCTTCGATTACCGTGGCATAGTGCATCAGGAGTTCTTGTTACATGATCATATGGTCAACAATTCATGGCTTTTGCATCACGATGCACCTGCTCACTCTTCATTGCTGGTTCGTGGTTCTTATCAAAAACAACACCGTAATCATGCCTCAGCCACCGTATTCACCAGATTTGGCCCCCTGAGACTTTTTTCTATTCATATGATTAAAGAGACCCATGAAAGTACGGCATTTTGTGACGATTGAAGAGATAAAAATGGAATCTCTGAGAGAGCATTAGGACATACCATAAATTGCATATCAGAAATGCTTGGAGGATTGGAAAAAATGCTGGCACAAGTGTGATATATCAAAAGGATCATTATTACTACTGAAAATAATGATAAAATTTCTCAATGTTTCTCTTCTAAAGTATGGTGAATGATAATATTTGCCATTTTTGTAAATTCTAATAAACATTTTGGCTTCATTTATTTTCTATGATTTTTCCCATTTGAATTTTGTCCAGTCTTTAAATACATTTCTTGGTTTTAGGAGATAATGGAATGAAACATTTGTCAGTAAATTGCCAGCAAAACAGCATTCAAAGTTTGGAGTTTTGCTCATATTTTTATCATTAGTCAATTGGTCACAGACAAATTCTACAAGAAATAATATTTCAAGTCATTATCTCTCTTTGTTCAGTCGTTCTCATTTGACATTTATTCTTGTGACACAGAATTTTGCAAAAAAATATTTTTGGGAGGATCATAGTGTACCAGTTCCCTTCTATAGATTATAATATACACCTGAATGGGATGATTTATCATAGAAATCGTTTTATTCTAGATTGTTGACCCAAATTTGGTATATGATGCCATAAATCTTGGAAGGAGGATAGACGTGATGTGGCCAACAGAATATATGAGGATAAGAGGCGGTCGATCAAATTGGAAGGATTGGGTGCCTGAAGCAGGAATGGAAGGGCCAGTAAGTTATCTAAAAATATAATTTTCCATCTCTCATCAATTCCTTTTTTTTTACTGTACTATGGCACATCTCTTCTTGTAGATCGTACATAAATGGACTCCTTGCCATAAGGACCCCAGCAAAAGATCTCATGTTGATCGAACAATTTTACTAGTCCAGATCGAAGACAGGTATGTTCCTATAGCCGAAAGCGGAGTCCAAGATTTGAGTCAGGAGGCATAACGTCTGAGGTCTCCTCTCTTTCTTCGCTTCAGTTTACACCCTTTGTTGTTGACTTTGTAGAATACTTAAGTTCAAAACAAAGAGGTTACTTCAAGACTAATTCTGCGATATTTTTATTATTTTTAAATTTGTTTCGTCTTAGTTCACTGAAGAGTTAGTAATGATTTTAATTGAGAAAAAAAAATGTTTGATGAAAAGTGGGACGGCCTTAAATGACAGTTGTTTGTTTTATCAGAATGGGTTTTCACATCATTCAAACCATTTTAAGATTGTTTTCAAGTTTAATTCCCTTGTTAAAATTTTTAATGTAAATGCTTTTGATGATCCGTCTAATTATTTTAAATAATTTTAATCTGAAAATAGAACACTATAACTTATTAGGGAGAAATAAATACAGAAAGTTCAAAATTTTCAATGTCTTGGTATTCTCTGGAAGGTAATGGGCTTAAAATATTACTGTATTTATCATAAGCTGGTCAACTGTACTATATGTCCTTGGCCTGATTGGGCCGCGATCATTTTACATTTGCAGAACAAAATAATTCAAACAATTATTTGAATATACTGCCAATAAGTTAGTTGTGTCAGAAAGAAGATATAATGGTAAAAGAAAAAATATTTATTTATCTCTTATTACAAGTTTTTGACTAGTCTATATAGTACTAGCACACGCATACAAGTATAAGATTTTGTCAGTTTTCTTGAAGCAATATACAATACAATACAATATCTTTATTCCTTAAAATGATCACTTCACAATGATATAGGAGTCGTTAATGGTGAAAAACATGAAATGTGTATAAACATTAGTACAAAGTACATAAATTTAACACATGAGAGTGCTTATTTAAAATAAACAATTAAAAGTGTTTATACATGTACATAATAGCTTAAATAGGTAATGCCGGAATGAAATTAATTGTTGATTGGGGAATGTGGATATTCCAAATATTCGTTAATATTGTAAAAACAACCATATGCAAGATAGTCTTTGATTCTCCATTTGAAAACTAGAATTGATGCTACACTTTTTAAGCCGGAAGGTAGACAATTGAAAAATTTGGAATCTGCTAGAGATAGCGTCTTTTCGAATAATTTTGTACGATGTTGTTGTAGTTTGATTCCAAATCCCATACGTGGATGTAATTGATTTTAAAAATAATATTTCAAAATGGGTTTTCGAATCGAATAAAATACTTTTTCCACTCGAATATTTGTACAGGGTATATTTAAAACCGTCATATTTGAAATGTCTACAGTATCATTTTGAATAGTAGTAAAGTGATTGTAGCATTCAATATCTTTGTACAAATTTTTGCTCAATGGCTAATCTTCTGGTGTTCAAATTATGTACTTCTACTTCTCAATAATACATTTCCCCTTTTGTCAATATTAATGGTGATTAAATATATATACAAAGAGTGAACTTGATTATACCTAGGTATGAGAACAATGGCCTACAACATGACCCAACATGTGCCCCGAGCATATTTCTAATATTTTTTTTCTATTTTGAACACCTGCTCAATATGACTTAAGCTACCCAAACCATAGTTAAGCCTTGTTTATTAAAACTCATAGTTTTCAGTTCCCATTGATACTGTGTTCTTCAACTGCCTAAGAACAAACTATACTTGATTTATTCTTTCAAAGCCAACCTCAGATTGTTTTCAGGTCTGTTTTTACATCATCGTGAATTTTCTCGAAGTTATTCGAAGATTATATAATTGTTGAAATAAGCTGTTCAATAATCTTTTAGAATTATTCATATACAAAGATTGTTGGAAATTTGCAGTTAATTTATTTTCTTGAAGTCAACCTGAAATTGTTTTCATGCTTGTTTTTTCATCAGCGTGAATTTTGTCAAAGTTATCCAAAGAAGTAAATTTGTTAATGTACTTAAACTTGAACCACACTGCGAATTCGATAGAAGATTGTGATTCTCAAAATATTTACTGAGACTTGCATCATATATTACATCAAATATTTTGATATCTGGCTTTGCGTGCCAACATTTCTGTAATTATTGATCCTCTCTTTTTATAGATAGGTTATGACTTGACGATGTTCAATGATGTTGGGTAGTGACCTGTCATTAATGACTCTTTAATTATGTGCACCAGTGGTTTACTAATAATTTTTTTACATTTTACAAAGGTTTTCAGATATTTCATTGATAACGGAACAAAATAAAAAAAAAAAAATAAATTCAAAATCACTTTTGATTTTTTTCTGGTCATTTTCAATATGTATTCTTCAATTTTGTATGAGATAGTGGGACATAGGGAGAAAGTGTCTATATCTGTGAATTGAGTGCTAAAAAGATCACTGTCTGTTCTGCTTGATGAATCTCCAACTGTCTTTCTTTTTTCTTGGTGCTTTTTTCAGTCTGTTGCCATTATAATTGTATTTTGCCTTTTCAACTTCCTCCTCGTTTATCTTCAGCTTCTTATACCTATTTTTGATTGTTTCATTCGATCTTACATTATTCTGTGGAGTTTTTCCAGCCAGAAAGTGTACCATTGATTTTAATTTTTCGTATTCAAGTAACAATTTATTGCGATATTTTCACTGAACAGTTTACAAAACCGCAACACGTGTTTCGCTATACAATAACTTCCTCGGGCTTGTTCATACATATATCATATATTTTAATTTTTTGACAGAGTCGAAAGATTCCCATTGTTGTGTTCTGTTGGTGTCCAATTTGGCAACTGTTTCGAAAGCCTGCTGTTGCTGTTGAGGTTCAGATACTTCCCCATTAGTAGGATTTCGTATCTCCTTTTTCCTCATCAATTGTTCCAATTCCCCCAAAACTGACTTTTGAGCTTTTTCATTCTGCTCAATCTCGAAACCAGTTTTCTTGAAGCGAAGAAAGTGGCCTTGGATGTGGTATATTTAGTCTCCCACCCTGTACTTATTGATATCACTTCAAGTGCACTACCCCGCACTACCGCATTATCTTTATTTTGGTTTTAACCAATTCCACCGGTTGTGCCCCTATACTGGATTTTAAAATATGATATACCATTCTATCAAAGATGAAAAAAATGTATGTGATAGAGAAATACTCTAGTAGTTTCGTATCTAGTTGAGATATAAGATAAATTTGAAAAATTACAAAAATACTTCATAAAGTAAGTAAAGTCTTGGAAGAACGAATCTTAAATACATTGAGAGCTTGTGGATAGAGTTTAACCAATTTGGGCATTGTATTTAAACATTAAAACAAACCCAAAAATATGCAACATTATTCAGTAATATTTTTAAGAAGATATTTTTATTTTATTTTTGGGAAACCCATTAAAGAACATTTGAACTCGATTGAAGCTAATAGAAAGTTTTCATGCAGATAAGAGAGAGATCTGAATAATTTGAATAAATAGTGGTCATTTAAAACATCATTTAAGGTTGTTCCACTTCTTTATTTTGTTTGACAACATGATCATATCAAATGTATGCATTTATAACTTTCACTAAAAATATTTTTCATAACTAGCTGATTTTCGAACAATTCTTGATATTAAACAAAAAAAAAACACCAAACCTCAAATGAGAGAAAAATATAAAGTGTATAATATTTTATTATAGAAAACATGATAATTTATTGAATAAAAGTAGGCTTTTGAATATGAATTGTTACATGGTTGCCTTAAACTAATAATAGACTGATTTTTAGGTGTTGTTTCATTAATTTTTCCAATTAGTTAAGGCTTGTTGAGAACTTATTTATCAGATCTATTGCTTCTTATACTGTGCCAGGGTTAAAAAAGTAAGTATCACCACTAAATTTTTTCTGGTTGTTCAAATGTAAAACGATATATCTGATTTTGAATCTGAATCAGTACAATAGCGGACTGAAAAAATATAAGGGTGATGAGAATTTTATTAACACTTGGTATGGACTTCTAACTTTATATCGAGACGGGTATAGTATCATCATTGTTGATATGGTTTCAGGAGTTGTAAATTTCTGATTCTGTTGTCATATTATTCTTTATTCGTGATAGAGTAAATTTCTCCAGTCCAAAAGTATTTGAAATTTGAATCGACATTATTGAATTAATACACCAAAGTGATGGTAACAGAATAATTTACAATTCATTTTGAAAATGTTTTGCCCTGTGTTCACTTTCATTGTATATTCACTTTTTGAGTTTAAAGCATTTCAATTTTTGAAATGTAAATATAGAATACTTTTTTGAGTGAAGTGTTACTGCTAATACATTCATCAATTTATCAAGTATCACCCATTTTCATCATATACTTTTTTGATCTTGCCGTTATTTTTAGAGCTCAAAACTATATTATGGGATCAGTAATTATTTGTGATATTTTTGAACTGCCAGATTCAACCCCGAGCAGGAATATACTATTTGTTCTATTTTAGTATTTTTCACTGCAAAATTAGATTATTAAATACCTCTACTACTGGCCTGTTTTCTCTAAGTTTTCAATAATAATAATAATAATAATGTGAGCAAATACAAGATCTGTTACACCAAGATTTACACTTCAAAATTGTTTTCTTTTTGCAATGAAAGAGAACACACCATGTTTGTTATGTAAATAATTTCAGATGAGAAATTGTTATTGCAGAATGTAGATATATTTTATTATGTAAGTGTAACATATTGTATAAATCTTTTTTTTATATGAATATATATGGCCTAAGTTCTAAGTCATTTCTCTTGTATATAAAATTTAATTTATAAATAAGATTCCTGATGTTTTATTATTCCCTTTTTTAGTAGTTGATGTGTCTGACGCAAGGGTGGAATTAGATGTAAATTTCGGGGTGGGGGGAGGTAATTTCTGAATTTCGTGGGGGTAAATTTCAGAGGGAATAATTTATATAAGAAAGTATGTGCGTTTTCATATTACGATACCCATATGACAGTTGTTGATTGTTCAGAACATGATTTCTCAAATACCAGAACTGCAACACTCTTCTCGATGCGCGCTTCATAAATCTAGTTGGGAGTCTTCAGGAGATGAAGTTCACTAATTCCTAACTATAAAACTGGTCTCTATTCATAACAGAGTACACTTTCGGGCACACATCAATGATTTCGAGAGGAAAAGAAAAAAAAGCAGACGAAGGCAATAAGTTTGTGATATCCCACTAGAGCACTGAAATCAGATTTGGCTTTTTTATTTATTACTAGTTGTTGCTCATGACTACAAGATTTTTTAAGAACAATAAGTGTTATTATTATTATCATTGATTCATAAGAAAATCATTTCACAAACAGTAAACATAGTTAAACACAGAATCAGTTAAATCAACTGGACAGTATTTTTATAATACATTAATTAACACCACACCCAATTTGGTTATGCAGTTTTTGAGACCAGCGTTCACAAATGCACAGAGAAAAAAATTCTAAAAATCGTTGTTGGGTTCTATTCAGTTGAAAAATATCCCCAATGATAGTTCTTAAATATCTTTCATGTACATCAATCAGTTACACTTTTATTACATGCATTGATTATAGAAAATAGAAAGCCACTTCTTAATTACACCTGGAAATATTTAAAACAAAACTTTTACTTCAAAGTCTGTTTGTAGTTATGCCTCTTAATATTGATCCAATGTGAAAAAGTTTCATTTTCAAGCCTTTTCAGAAGATTTTTCAGAATTTTATACATAATGATTTAATCAAAGAACATGAGCATTGTCAATAAAATAATATAGATTCCTAACAATAAACCACGAGCAGATTGATATTCAGCAACAAATGAATTGAGCATACACATTTTTTAATATATTTTTATTTTCAACAAATTACTGTTGGTTTAATTTTTACTGAATATCACAATCACATAATACGGCGTTCAATACACACTTAGTAGTTCAATATGAAAAGTCAGGAATAGAAAAAGAAATGAAAAATATATTAATGTAGGAATATTATTTACAAGAACTAACTTAAGGTTATCTATGTATTGGTATGCGATATTACCAACCAGGATATTATGAAGTAGAAAAGCCCTATAGGATAAACTGCTAATAATTTTCTATTTGGTTTCTGGCTGTCCCCCAAAAATATCATGGAAGCTGAAATGAATAACATTTTATTAATAATAATATTAACGATTTATTTTCCCAAGAAACGTGCATAACATAACTAAGTAAGAACAAAGCAAATAAAAGATAAATCAGAACTGAACTAAAAAAGATACATTAGTGAATTACTTCAACAATTAATTTTGAAAGTCAAATTTTAATTGAACCAATCAGAATCCAACAACTTGCATATTGCAAAGCAAATATCCTAGTTAATTGTATGACTATCACAATCAAAACTAATTTTGAAAAAAGAATGACCTTATTTTCAAAACAGTTTTTACGAATTTTATGATATTTTCGATATTCAAATGAATAATATATTCTCACCATAAGTAGCCCAAAGGAAGCCTGTCATTGAGACAGTCAATCGAAGAAAAAACAACAAATTGGTTTGTTCTACTAGCAATATTATCCTACATATTATGAGAGCCACAGTGGTTGGGAGTAAACAGTACCCTAGAACACAAACGCTCTGGAAGAATGATCTGAAAAATATGTAGACTTTAGAAAGACCTTTAATTGAACAGGAAAAAGTGCAGTTTCTGTTTTGATAGATTACAAAAAGAGGCCAAATTTTCTGAATTTTTCAACATACACTGTTTGTTCAAAAAAATCAGGTGAATTTTGATTTTTCTCAAAAAATATTAATTCCATAAAAAATTTCTTTTTTGTCCCCTTTCAAGTAGTCCCCCTCAGATATAAGACACTTGTGCCAGCATTCTGTCCAATCCTCGAAGCAGTTCCGATATACAGTTTTTGGTATGTCTGAGCTCTCTCAGTGGTTTGGATTTTATCTCCTCAACCGTCGCAAAACGACGTCCTTTCATGGGTCTCTGCAATCTTTGGAACAGAAAATAGTCGCAAGAAGTCAAATCTGGTGAATACAGTGGCTGAGGCATGATTACGATGTTTATGGCCAAAAAATTATGAACAAGCAATGACTAGTGAGCTGGTATTATCATGATGCTTCTCGCAAGCGGCGCATAACTTCAAGATAAACAGCGAGCAAAACCTTAACATTTGATCGTGCTATTTTTAGTCTTGACTCTTCTGGACGATTGGACTTTTGTTTCGATGTCATAACCATATACCCATGATTCGTCGCCAGTTATAACTTAATTCCAGTTATGACTTAATTCAAAATTTCCTGGGCGATGTTCATTCAATTCAATATTGTATACAAAATTGGATGCAAACTCATTGATCCATTTTTTCGATAGCAGAAAATTGTTTAACTCGCAAAACACTATGTGTATCACCAACTGTAAACATATGTTTGAGACGAGTGTATCAACAAAAAAATTTAAAATCAGTAATCAAATTCACCTCATTTTTTCAACAGTCCACATATGAACTCTCTATAAATAGATGGTGAGTCACATTTTCACTTACATATTTCCTCCTAATAATTTAGAATTCAGTGTTACTACCATGGATCCAATCCATACAATGACAAAAAACTCTGAAAATTCCGGGCCACCATCTTTCAAGTTTTCTGCAGCAGATCCTTGAAGTATCCTATAAAGAGTTGAAGAACTATTAGTGACTATATTTATTAATTCGGCTGGATTTATGAGTTATGTTACCAAAACCAACTCTAATTTGTTCATTCCCTTCTTCCAGGACCAAGACCTTTTGGGGATGAATGGTAAGTAGAAATATCAATCATTTAGAACTCAGTTATGAAATACGTAAGTTTTTTCATTACAATAACAATACTTTTTTTTGAGAACAATCTCAAAAGAAGTCAATATTCACAGTTCTGTATCATTCCAGTACTAGATGATGTTTCATAGTTTTGACACAATAAACAACGACCATTTTTTTACATCACGCAGCACTACCAGAAGAAGGTTGAAAAAAAGAGCACTGGAAACCATTTTTTTTTCTTCAGAGGACTCTTAACTCCGAGTAAATTAACAGACATCTTGAAACCTTTATACTTACATTGCCATAAATGTACATAGTACTAAGGGTCCCCACAAATCCCCTGAAAAAAAAAAATAGAAGAAAACTTAATGATATTATTGGAAACTTGATTGAAACAAGTTTGTCAGAATTATCATCTTGTTAATATGAAAAAATTCAAACACTTAATAAATAAGTATCATACTTTTGTATTGATTGACCGGTAAGGAAAACAGCCTTAAGATCAGAATATAATCAAGGAAGGACAACTGCTCAGTTTTAAGTACTACATAGTTTGTTGAAAACTGTCACTTATAAGATCATATTGAAAAAATTTACATAAAAATTCATCAATTTTATCATCAATATACAGTGTATACCAAAAAGTCTACACATTATGGAACACTTTTACTAATAATTTTTCAAAAAAAATTGTATTCTCCATTAGAGTTGGTGCATTGCCTATAATTCAAAACGCAATAGTCAAATTTCCTTGTATACAAGGAAAGTCATAATGAGGAAACATTTTTTCAAAATTTCATGGCAATTTTTTTTGGGTTGTAAACAAAACATATTTCCACCTACAGTTCTCATTTAGCATAAAATTTATTTTCACTTACATTCTTTCAATAATGCCTTTTTCTCTTTGGGAAACAACACATAGATAAACTTCACACCTACAGCTTTCAAGTCTCTCATCTGAAAAATATAAGTTAATTCATTTCATAGATAACAGCAAAAACTTACAATTGTGTCTCTTATAGGTTCATCCAAAGTATTGAAATCAGGCTGTCCTATCTGGGTTGTATTTTGGGATTTAGGAACATTCATTTCCCCTTCAACATACCCCCCAACATCTTCAAACATCTAAAGAACAATAAAAAAAAATTATGTCAATTGTACATATGTGAAATTATTAATCACCTCTAATTTGGTAGTATCCATGTTCATAGATCTTTCTATTGAAAAAACTTATTAATTGGTTCTTGGTACGTTTACATTAAGGTTTTTAATTTTTGGTTCCAGCCGTTTGTATTTTCCATTGACATGTCAATATCTCTTTAACCTCACTTTTATGACTTACTGAAAATAGTGATAATGGTGACGTGACTTTATGCTAGCAACCTGTTATACCGACCAAACGACGATAATGAATGTCGATTCCGCGATAGGGAAGTTTCGTCTATATTATAATATAAATACTTTTAATCATATATATGATATATCATGATAGGACGGTAGCCGGTCGGGTTGACGTGGGTGGTTTGCTCCACTCATTCAATCGACCGCTGTGTGAACCATTGGTTCAAGCCGCATGGCCGGACGATCGATTTCCACTTGCTATCGTCCAACCCTTGTTAGTAATCGCACGTTAAAAGGCGAGACTTCGTTAGTCCTTAGCTCGCACAAGTTTTGACTTTTGAGAGTTGTCGTTCGTAGGAGGGCGACAACTGGTCAACGGAAAAAAATACTTCAACAGATTCATGGTCAGATTACACGCATTTTCATTAATGGTATTTAGTCATTTGAATATTTCATTGGATAAGAGATGTCACTGCATTTCAGACTTCTTCACAAAAATGTATGTAAAATTTTCCAGGTGTCGCTACATATTCCAAATTTCATAATTCATTATTTTTATGTGATGATAAGCTTCATTTTAAATTGAACGAATACCTATTTTTCAATGATAAAAAATTAAAAGGAAACAAAAAAATGTTCAATAGTTTTATCATACTATCATTGTGCTGCAGTAGGTATAGGCAGGGCCGGATTTAGGGGAGAGCAGGCTGGGCTACTGCCCCAGGACCTACACAGGAGAGGGCCCTCCTGTCCAACCCGTGTTAGGGTTGGACGATAAGAAGTCGTCGTAGGGGGACGACAGCTGGTTAACGGAAATACATATTTTAACAGAACACAACAGAATTGGAAACTCTGGCGTAAAATATTTTTTTTGAAAATACTTCCTTAGCACCAGAACAAAAAACTGACTTCTGACACGCATTTCGCTAACCAAATTACCATCATGAAGAGATAATTATTACGAGATTATGGTAACATGGTGATGATCTGAAGGATATAACAAGGTTTACATTTTATTAAACTTCTCTTACACAGTCATCATTATTAGTACAAAATATTTGAATACCACGAACAACTTTTACATATTCAAGAAACGTGCATCTTTCTTACAAAGGGTACTGCATGCAACGACAGCATGTTCTGATATACTCGACAAAGGAACTGTAAGCAAAACATTTTCAACTTTTAAATTACTGCAAAACACAAGCACTCCAGGAAAATTCTTAAGGCGCTCTGAGAGCGATTCCTGTGCGAAAGTAGCGATTCACGTCGGATTTGAATCTTTGGAGGATAAATTCATTTGGAAAAAGATTCTCAGGAAGTTTATTCCACATAAACGCAGTTTTCCAAATGAAAGAATCACTTGAACACCTACCGTGAAAGTATCTATATAAAAGAGAGACAAAACTTTTCTTCGATGATCCAGACTATCAATGTTGCAAGTGATGTTCGTGTCTCCAATCAGGCGGATGGCTCTTTTCTGGATGGAATCCAACAGCTTCAGGGTATGCTTAGGGGCGAAGCTCCATACATGAGAACAATTATCCAAAGAAGATCTGATCTGAGCTTTATAAAGCATCAACAGTTTCCGAGGTGTGTACAATTTTCTGGTTCGAGACAGTGATCCAAGCTTTTGAGAAGCAGCCTTTGCAATATTGGTGTCCATTTTAACCCCCAACAAACTTATCGAAGCAGAAAGCGGAATTGTCTGTCCTGGCATTATTATATCCAGTTCGGAGACATTTTTTTTTTTTGGGAAAACCGATGCCTTGATTTTCGTGGCATTAACCTGATTACTTTCACTTCTAGATCCTGACGGTGAAGATGTGCATCCACAGTCGATGTCCTTGAATCTAAATGGAATGACAAGTGTGCTGTCGCCAGCAAAGCAATATATGCAAGCTGAGTATTGAGAAACCTTGGGCGTTTGCATGGATGATTAGATCGTTAGGTAATATAAGTACTTCTGAATTATTTACAAAAGAAGTCATAGCAGATGAAAGTGACGAACACAAATATAAATCTCCTTTTTCCCCAAAAAAAAACACAACCGGAATATCTGTAGAATTTGGAGATAATAACTCAGTTTTTAATATAACATGGCTTGTCTCCTTTGAGTCAATGCTCCCTCTTTGGTGGTGTTATTTATTACGTATCTGATATTTTATTTTTGGCCTAAAACATGCACTTGGGATTTCTGATATCCAGCATTTTCATTGCAATATCGTTTGATGAAAATAACAGCAATTTTTTCTTTCAGTTTTCTTACTTTTCAGTATCTTACATTTACTTGATTTTTGTTTCTCATTAACAATAAATATTAAGAGAGTGTGAAATTGTTTTTATTTGAATTGGTGGAAAAATTCGTGAACTTTGCGATAGGTAATATTGTTTGATAGCAACAAATTAATTTCGATATTGTTGATATTACTGGTATTGAACATATTTATCTTATAATCTGTTGCTCCATATTGTAATTTGGAAGATGTCCTTTGTTTATATACGATAATTCTGTTTCTGGGTAAGAAATTTCTTCAATGTTATAGTTATTGCCAGGGTCGTTTTCTGGCTTATTTGCCGTCTTTTAACCATCGTTTCTTGAAACTTCTTCAAGTTACTCATTCAACATTTGAAAGGTATTCGTCTTTGGACATTGTTAAGAATTTTGTGGTTCAAGGTTTCTTCTTCAAAATTTTCATTTACTTTTGAATCAATCTTTTCAGTATTTTTTCATGCATCGTGATTCTTCGTAACATGTTTATCTTTCTCACAAGGGTTATATGCTTTTATAATACTTTCTAATCGTATGATTGATGTCTGAGTCGACTCATCTATGAAAACTGTTTCAACGAATTTTGAAGTGTTCATACAATTTAGCGCGTACGGATGTGATATTTAACGAATCAATTTAATGTCTTCAAAACATTTTTTTGGTTCTTTACAATAAATAAAATAATATCCACACACTGTCTAGTGACATTTTTTAGAGCATGTAAAGATTTCAAACGCATTGAATAACTTTCTTTGATACGGAACCTTAAACACAATGGAACGGTTTAAGTAATTTAAGTTACATTGTTTGAGTATATTATAAATATATCATAAGAGAGACGAATTCCTTATTCACACGTACATAAACTATGCGAAATGTTCAAGCTTTGTCTGTGTTTATTTTTCAACTTTCATACTGTGTTCACAAGTGAAACGGACACGAAAAATAATGGGGAATCTCCAGCGATTTCTGCTTCTACTAATGTAACAATTACGGTGTCAAATCTAACTGATATTACTTCGACCTATCAGGCGCCAGTTATGGAAAGATTCACACAGCCAATGATACAAACAGAAAGAGGTTTGCCACATACAGTATCAAACAATGAAGAAGTAGCTAATAAAACGATCGGCCAGGAAAGAACTCAACAATTCAAACCTAGTCCTCATTTGGGAACGTATTACGAGCACAATCCATTTCCTGTGAGACCAGCTCATGCAGAGGCAAAATCGCATGGATCTTATTTTCCCAGTGTTTGGGAAGAAAATCCACGAAATAATCTCAATAACAACCCCGTCGTATGGACTGAAACACCAAGCGTGCCTACGTGGATGGAGAAGCATAATATTCAGAACCCCTGGGAACAGAACGTGTGGACTGAGAATCCCCAACAAAATGTTCCCCCTGGTAAAACAACTACAGACACCGGAAAAGTGAAATTTCCCATAACAGGACACGACAGGCCGTATCAATTCGTGACTGTTGTAGAAAATGTACCGCTTCTTGATTATTCAGTCACGACAGAAAGTTTGCCTATTATTAATCATCGTAAAATTAAGTTCAAAAACCCCTTAGAACCTACTTCAAGTTTCTGGGGAAAACTTTTAGGGTATGGCAACGCTAAAGATAAAGTACCAGAGCCTCTGCAGAAAACATTCTATGACTATAATTCACTGGAAAAACCTCTACAACTCAACACTTATGAGATCCCGAAAGAGCATACCTATAACGTAGACCAATACGAACCGTATGGCAGGTATGCAGTGAATCCTTGGAAAAAAGTAATAAAGTTTTTGGCCACCATAATTCCCATTGGTCTGTTTATCAGTGCTCTGACACCCACTGTTATTACAGTTTCGTCAGCTAATGACACGTGAGTAATCTTTGATATTCTAACTATTTGTTGAATTTGAAGAAGAACGCACACATTAGATTGTTTCAAAAGTCTTGTTGGTTTTTATGAGTCTACACTCAATGAATGCTTATTCAATTCAATCGAAATAAGCGCCATTTGAATCGATAAACTTTTGCCAACGTATCACAAGTCGATTGATTCCGTCACTATAGAAATTGAGTACTCAGGATTCGATGAAGTCGATGGTTTGTTGTGATGGTTTGAGAGCTGGCGCCACGTTCTTCCAATATCTCACTTTTGTGATGGACCAGAGTCCTAAAATCCTCGTCTTGGATCACTGTAGGTCATCCGTCAATTAAATTCATCACTGAAATTGAGGCAAACAATTCAATAAATTCTCTACACTCTACAATTGCAAATTTTCCACAAACCATCCCATACGGATATCATTATATACAGTGTGTAAAAGCCAAATGGAATAAATTAATTATTTCGGTTACTGTACATATTTAAAAAAACTCGAAACACGTCAAATGTAAATAATAATTTGACATTCTTCAACGTAAAACTAGCACCCCTACCTTCAACCCCCTTCGAATGACAGGTACAACCCCCAATTTATTTAGGGTTGATGTTAATAATGTTCACATCCTAATATCTACTACCTGTTGTGTTTTGGTTTTACCTCCGTAACCAATCTTTTGTAAAACTGTTATTTTATGCATTTCCGTTAATCTAACTATTTGTCAGACTGCAAGTTAACGAAATTTATAAACTTTAATTAAAATACTGACAACTAATATTGTAACATACAAAACAAGTTGACAAGGCGTTTTAAACTAACGTTGCCACGGATTTTATTTACATTTTTTTAAAGGATACCATCTAAAAAGAACATTGCTATGATTTTGCTTACTTTCTAACATCTATACCTCAACATGAAATAAGTTTTGAGTATATTGCAATAAGTTTTGAGTGCATTTTATCGAATTTTGGTAACCACATGATGTTAATTTATTTTATCTTAATTGTTGCAATAAACTTAAAAGCCATAACATTTTTGAATAGTGATTGAAGAGACGTTATATCACAAGCCTATACCTGTACCTGCCATTCGACGTGGGTTGAAGGTAGGGGTAGCATTTTTCCCTTGAAGTATGCCAAATTATAATTTACATCTTGTTAAAATATGTACCGTAACCAAAATAATGAATTTATTCCATTTCTTTCACACACTGAATAGTTTTTCAAGTAGCATCATTCAATAGTATGCTTCACAGGACCAGGACGTAATTTGCACAAAGAACTGACTCCATTCTTCACAAAAAACTACGAAACAAGCCATTTACCATGTTTATCCCACTTCAAGCCATTGACATACTTTGTCAACCGCTCGTTTTCGAAAAAGAAAAATTTGGTGGTTGCTTATCAAACAAAAAATAAATTAGGCAAATTTATCAAAAACAAAACAAAACTTGACTTTCGGATAGATCAAGTTGACTTTATAAGTTGATAATTTGACTTGTTATTCGTGCCCAAAACTTTATATTATTCAACCAGGGAGAATTTTTTTCTAAAGAATAGACGATAGGAGTAGTTTTTTGAATGTGAGGACTAACTCCACATTTTCAAAGTATCTTTCGGCAGGCGGCCATAAGTTGAATCACGACTATGACGTATTGTTACATTTTTTCTCGTGGGTTGATCAATAATTGACTACACTGAATAATGAAACTTGACTTTATTTCACTTCAAATAAATACACAAATACTTTAACTAAAACTTCAACTATATTTTTAGAGATTCAAAGCTACTTGATGTACGACAGTTATCATGATTATAATACTCGCACTAAAACAAAAGGTAATGTAAAGCTAAACGCAATAAAAAAGTCAATTGGGCAACACTCTTACAAATACCACAGTGCACAAATTTTTAATTACTGACCTGATCTGTACAAAACATACATTCATAAAATAAATATTATTCTGTACCATGTTCTTCAAATTTGTGTAAGATCTTACTCACAGTTGCCTGGGAAATGTGATTTTCCGGATATTTTGCATTAAATAAAGTACACACCTCACTTTGACTCCGCATTCTATCCCCACATCCCAACAATATCAAGACTTCGAAGTACTAATTAGGTGGAATTTAGTCAATATGAACACGCCTGACTGAGCTATCGTATACCTAATGAAACGCGTGTTGTGGTTTTGTAAACTGTTCAATGAAAACCTCACAATAAAGTGTTACTATATTCCTTTTTTGTTTCAGACAATCCAGATACAGGAATGATGATTCAAAAGAGCAAAATGTCGCTAAGCGTTTGACATCTTCTTTGACTTATTTCGATAAACTCAATCAAGACGGATGCGAGGATAAAGTTCTATGTGAATTACTCGTCAGCGCTTCATTTTCCAAGAATGCCGAAAGACATATCAGAAATTTGTTGGATAACTTCATACAACAGTAAGTATGAAACATTTCTTTTGGGTGTCATTGGTCATTAGCCTCGTGTCCTGGGTAGGCAATGTTAATAACTCCCCGAGCAACCTAGGGAGCATCATAACTATTCGTAGTCCGTCAGCCATGTAAAGCAAAATCATACCAACTTCAACCAGATAAATTCCCGCGAGAAAAATATCTCGAAGGTAGGTACACAGGTTCGAAATTTGAAAATGATGAAATCAGTGGGAAGGCGATTACGATTGAAAACATGTAAAAAGTAATAAACAATATAGGCAACCTCTGAAAACAAATATGTGAGATTGTTAACTGTAATGAGGCGTAAGGCTTTCTCAGCTTCTAAATACTGCAACTTCTACACAACTTCATTTAAGCTCCGAAATGCTAAGGTTTCTGGTAGATTTCATCAATTTAATGTGAGCCAGTTTCAATTACAAACTCGGTCAGTACACATCAGTCTTCCAGTTGATAGTAACCAAGTAGAATTTAACTCAATATCGAGCGTGGTTTTAGCCGGAGAAGCAGTTGTTCTCCGACATGCATTTTCTAGAACATACTGAGCAATGCTCATGCGACGGTTTTTTTGCTGAAATTTCAGCAATTTTGGATCGAAGCTTTTGCCACTTCTAAACATTTTTCTGATTCAGAGTACAATCACCGTATGCCACTGTCAATATCACAAGTGCTTTTGAGTACTCAATTTAATTTTTCACACAAAATTTGATGAAAATTCTTTGATTCATATTAGAAAATCGCCGAGCACGCTAAACTTCCATGCATCACCATCAAACTAAATACGATAAATAGCTGAAGCTGTGAACATATATTCGAGAGGAGTGTAACAACATTAAAAAAAGAAAATAAACGCTAATCGAATGTACATTGCCGGCGAAATTTGAGCATTCACCTTATTTTTTGAACATTCTACGTATATGAAATTTCGCACCTTGAGGTTGCTAATTCACATCTAGAAAAACGTCACCTGCCTGATGAGACCCAAACATCTCAAGAAACGTTGATAGTCTGGAACGTCTACAAAAATTGTTGATCATGTCATTCCATCTACAACAGTATATGTCAGAAGTATGTTGAAAACTATTAGATACTGAACATCTCTTCAAAGTTCATCTCAATACACCTCGAACTAAATTTTTGAAGATCTCTTTCATTTGGAGAAACACATTCTTATGAAATGAACTCTCCAAGATTGTTTTTCCGAGTGCTTGTTATGTACATATATTTAAGTCCAACGCATTCCTTCACAGAAATAGTTATATCTTCAAGAGTTTTTTCATGGAATTAAATTTTGATAATAAAATTCAAGTGTAACTTGAATTAAAATAATCAATTATACTTGTTTCAGAGAGGACTTACAAAATAAAAAGGACGATCTGCTGAAAATTTTTGAAGCTGTGAAAAACCAGGACTGTTCTCCGATCTTATGTGGAAACATAAAAAATCCAACATAAAAACAACGATGGAATTTTATTTATATTTTTTGTACCTTGTACTCTATACAGGGTTGCGCAAAAGTCCGGAATGAAATTAATATCTTTTTAATCAGTATTTTAGGAAAAAAAACGCTGAAATACGTCAGTTGATTTCACGTTGTACGCATTTTTTGGCAAAAAATGAAATTTTTTTTTGAACCCCTTAGCTGCAACTCTTCCCAACTTTTTTTTTTCAAATGCAAACCTATGTCGTGTATGGGCTCATTGAAAAGCTCGTAAAAAATGGATTCTGACCATACCCTTTTTTTGTGGTTACAACGAAATGGGGAAAAATTCTTTCGAAAAGTTACAAATACCTAACTTAGAGCTATCTACGAGAGAATTAACGTAACAGATGCTGAAATTGGCCTCCACCCTCTACTTGGCAGGTTCCTAGGCGAGGTAAAACCCGTCTACGGAATTCCGAATGGCCTCAGCCGGTATGTTATGTGATTCCACTCTAATTCTGCTTTTTAGATCTTCTATATTAGCCGGCCTATTTTAATAAACCTTGTCTTTCACATATCCCCAATAAAAATAATCTAATGACGTTAAGTCTGGGTATCTTGGTGGCCATTCAATTGTACCACGTCGTCCAATCCAGCGTCTTGCAAATATGTCATCGAGATATTCTATGACATTGATACCAAAATGTGGGAAAGCGCCGTCCTGTTGGAACCAAAGTGTTTCAGTGGGGATATCTGGATCTACTTCAATGGGAAACATAACAGCTAAAGCAGGAACTAATTCTAAGCGTAAAAAGTCTAAGTAGCATGCAGCTGTAAGGTTTTCCTCAAAAAAGTATGGCCCTAATATTCTGTTGTTGATGATGCCTGCCCATACATTTACTTTCTGACTCCAGAATCGATAGTTGTGCTTGTTAACTACTTCATGTAAATAAAAAGTAGCTTCGTCCGAAAAGAGTATGTTGAGTAGAAATCCATTATTCTCGTCACATCGCCTCATTATTACCTCACAAAATTGCAAACGCCTGTCATAGTCATCTTTCAAGAGCTCTTGGACAAGACATGAGTTATATGGGTGGTATTTTTCTGTTTTCAAAAACGCAGGATTGTTTTGGGCTAATGAAACCGTTGACAAATGTGGATCTTCCTGCAGAGATACGACAATGTCCAATTTTTGATCTTCGTCTAACTTTTTTGGTTTTAAAAGAGTTTTTTCTCATTTCGTGGTAACCGCATGAGTAAAAAAATTAAGGGTATGGTCAGATTTAATTTTTTACGAGCTTTTCAATGAGCCCATACACGACATAGGTTTGCATTTGAAAAAAAAAGTTGGGGAGGGTTGCAGCTAAGGGGTTGAAAAAAATTATTTCATTTTATTGCAAAAAAATGCGTACAACGTGAAATCAACTGATGTGTTTCAGCGTTTTTTTCCTAAAATACTAGTTAAAAAGATATTAATTTTATTCCGGACTTTTGCGCACCCCTGTATAAAATTAATATTACTGGAGTTTTTTTTCAACACCAAATCGTTATTTTCAACACCTCGACACGTGTTTCGATCACCAAGTGATCATCTTCAAAAAGGAAGATTAAAACTGAGGTGTGAAAATAACGATTTGGTGTTGGGAAAAAACTCCAGTAATATTCATTACTACACCAAAGGTTCCAAACAGTGCATCATAAGCACCCCTGTATAGTCTTTCCAATACACAAATTTGATCAATGAACTTTTCTCATTGTAACACAAGTCGAGCAATTGCAGCTAGGAACCAGTAAATCTGTATCATCGGCATAATTAGTGATAGTAGCCCCCTCGTTATTTTAAATATCTGGTATGAATACTATATTTCTGTAACCAATTTACTAAATTAAATGAACGAAAAAATGAATTTTCAATTATCTTTGCAGGAATCAATTGCTGAAAGTTGGTTCCACGGCAGAAACTCCTAAAGGTGTGTCAAATGAATTTTTTTTTTCTTGTGTTAAACTCTGTTTTCTGCACTCTACTGACCTACTTATATTTGATTCATTTATTGAGGTTTTGGCCCTAGATATTCATCCAATTTTTTGAAAGTATAAGGTAGTTTTTACAAGATTCGTCATGAAAAATTTAATAAAACCGCTCGAAACTGAAAAACGACTACACTCTTAATCAACTTTTACGTTTGGAATTCTGAGAGATTCATTAATTAAATTTAGCATAATTGGATTCATCAATATTCGTGTCTCCTCGACCTTGTGATCCAAAATCATTTCATTTTCTATTTGAATTTAGTATTAGAGGTGAAAGTGAAAGTTCGACGTGTTTGTGGGTACAATTACGACCATTCTGCTAACTTGCAGCAGTTGTCAACGGTTTTTACATACAAATAAATAATTTCTTTTGTGTGACACCTTGATCAACAACTTTAATGAATTCAGAACGTTGCAATGTGCAGGATCAAGGTTGATTGACTCATTCTTTCTTCAATTCAGTCGAAAGTTTGTATTTATAAACGACTATCGAAAACATTTGTTTCCTAATGACTTTTATTATTCTTGAATGCAACTGTAAAGTGTGTGTAATGAATAATTCAAACATACTCCCAAAATTGATTATTTCGAACAGTTTGATATGTGCTTGAGCTCTCTTACCGATTTGGTATTTATCTCCCCAATTGTCACATAACGCTGTCCTTTCATGGGAATCTTGGGAACAACAGGAAAAAGTCGACTGACTCAGAGTACAATCACCGTATGCCACTGTCAACATTTCAAGTTTTTTTTTGAGCATTCACCCTCAGTCACGGGTCATTTTGACCCACACGACATGAGACGAACCGAAATTTTTGGTTTCGCATGTGAATAGTGGGGTAATTCTTTCAGTATTCTCCTATCGCCACATCATATTTGTTCTGACATGTTAGTCGAGCATTGTGCGTTCCTGTGTTTGTTGATATTGCTGTATTTGGGTCAAATTGATCCGTGCGTAGTTTGAAGTGGCCACTCCCTGAAGCTGAAATCTTACAAATTGTTGAAGATGATATGTATGTTGGGAGGTATGTAATTCCACAGATAATCCAGATGGAGATGTAAATATTTTCGAAGTGCAAGAGAGAGTAGCTGCCACTGAAGCTCTTCTAAATGAAGGAGATAAGAGTGAACCCGAGGAGAGTCATCATGAAGAAATAGGCGAACATGATACTGATAGCGAACTGAATGGATACCTGCCAATGAACAAGAATCTGCTGAAGTTGAAAGTGCAGAGAGGAAAACTGAAGAAGTAAAGGAATATAATCGTCAAGCATTTTATGGTAGAGACAAAATGAAATGGTCGAAAAATGCACCAAAGATGCACCAAGAAAGAATCCACCTTCGACAGTTTTGCAAGCCTGGAAACTATTTTTTTCGGACGCGATGCTCAAGAACAATACATACAAGTTCCAAAATAGAGAATATGCAACTGAAATATACCATGTTGGAAAGAAGGAGGAATTGCCGATCGCAGTTCTCTGCTTCCTTCTTTTATAATACCGACCAAGAAGAAATAGATACTTTGATTGGACTGCTCTATTTAATTGACGTTTTCAAATCAGGTCATGAGGATCTCAGATCTCTATAGGCCAGCGATGGAACTGGCAGACATATTCAGATGTACGATGTCACCTGCAAGGTTTTCTTTCTTGTTATCCTCTATTCGATTCGATGATGAGAGGACAAGAGAGGAAAGAGTGAAGGAAAACAAGTTGGCCGCAATATCTGAGGTATTCAATCAAATCGTCCAAAATTTGAAGAGTTGTTACCCTCCTTTTCTACATTTGACTATAGATGAGATGCTAGTACCGTTTAGAGGTCGGTGTGGATTTCAAATGTTCAAGCCAAGTAAGCCTGCCAAATATAGGCACCAAGATAGGCTTGTTTGGAGTGAAAGAGTCTCTCACTTCCAACACAAGTAGTTATGAGGTTGATTGTACCTGTGAAAAGGTCCAATAGAAATATAACTACCGATAATTGGTATACCTCTCTAGAACTTGCAAATGCCCTGAAAAAAGAAAAGTTGACGTCTGTTGGTACTCTGAGGAAGAATAAATATTTAATTTCACCAGAATTTCTACCGTCCAGAGAAAAGAAAATTGGTAGCTCTCTATTTGGGTCCACTTTCGATATGACGATTATTGCTCATGTTCCGAAAAAAACAAATCTGTGATTTCATTATCCTCTATGCACTCAGATAATATAGTTGAAGAAAAAAACAAGAAGCCGGATATTATATTATTTTATTTATCAGCTTTCACCAGCTGGAAAGGAATTATCAAGAATAGGCTTCCTGAAAATATTAGCCAAGGAGGTGTGTAGACCGCATGTGAAAAATTATTCTCTGAAAATTATTATTTTGGAATGAAATGTGAAAATATAGTTTTTTTCCATTTGTTAATACCCATCAAGAAATCGGTGGGTCATATTGACCCACTGTAGTACTTGTGTTACAAAATGTTTGTGAAGTAATTGAGGGTTTGATTCCATTTTTTTATAAAAAAATTTATGCAAATTCTTTGCTCAATTTTTAACGATAGCTGAAAGTCGCAGAACTTGTATGCCTGTCACCAATAAACTGAACATACTAACAGCTGAAACTGTGAAAATATGTTCGAGACGAGTGTGTCAACATAAAAAATGAAAACATTGTTAATCGAATGTACGTATAGCTCACGAAATTTGAACATTAAACATGTATATCAAATTTCGATAGTTGATTTTTTTGGGTAAATTCACCAAATATGTACGTTCTTCATTTCATTTCAGTCGTATAACCTTTAGTCATTTCACTTCAACAATTTCTGGACTTCCAGTTTTGAAGTTCATAAACATTTTTTCATAGCATAAGTGTGAACTACCACTATTCAAGATTGTTTTTAGAAGTTGAAGATGTGCAGTCGGTTTAAGGACTTTTGTGATAGGTATTTTATAAATACCGTTTATTTAAAACCTCAACGGCCTGTACCTCAGAAGCGTAGCAACTCCAAAAATATTTTCATACGA